TAATAGCATTATCCTTGAGAATAAAAAAGTTCATTGTTTTGATATTTAAATATCCAACAGGATGTTAAACAAATCCTGAACTGTTAATGAAAAATGTTGTATTAGGGCTGGGGATTTAGTTCGGTGGTTTCGCAGCCTGCTGCGCAAGTGCAAGGACCCAAGTTCGATCCCCGGTACCAAAAAAAAAAAAAAAAAGTGTTGTATTATTGAGCAAGGAATTTGGAAAATAATTGATATCCAAGAATGTTTCTTCCACAGTTATATAGATTATGTGCATTCACACACATTTATATTATGTATACGCACACATGTAGACTATATGTGTACCCTGTATACATTATATATACACATATACATATAATTCATACATGTACTTTCTTAGAATTTAGCTTTATTTTTTATTTTTTTGTTACCGGAGATCAAACTCAGGTCCTTGCACTTCCGCAGCAGGCGGCGAAACCACTGAGCTAAATCCCTGGCCCAAATTTAGCTTTATTTTGAGATGCTGATAAAACTGGAATTTATTGACAATCTGAATATGTAAGTGATAGCATCCGTCTTTCTTCACGGCCTAGTTTGATAGTGGAAACATACTTCTAAAAACAAATAGATTGAGAAGGCAAAAATTTTTCTTACATGCAAGAAGTGTAGCCCATTTTATTTTTTCTATTTTGCAGTATACCTCAATCAATAATTTTTAAAAGCTTTTACGTAGCACACAAAATTTCAAACTAGTAAACTAATAAATTAAGGATTTCCAATTTTATCATTATTTTTAGGCATGCCACTTAAAATAGTATCAATTAATGTAATTCCAATCCTGGTTATAATTAAACAAAAGCACACAGAAAGACTGAATAGATAAGACATTTTATTTAAGGTAGCAGTGGTGAGTGATACCATATTTATATCTTTGTAAAAAATCTACTTTATAGATTTTCCATTTGTTGATTGTTTTCCTCATTGATAATGTATTTCTTAGTTAACAGAGCCCAAAACTTGATGATTTAATGTTTTGTTGACAATTTCCTGAGTGAAGCTAGTATGTCAACCCCAGGTTTGCATTTCTATCAAGTTCTATCAAGGTTCTATCACGTTACCTATAAAGTAATTATCATGTAGCATTTCTATACAGGTGTTATTGGTCATAAATATCTCTTTGGTGTGCTTCTTCTCTTTTGAAAGCAGGGGTGTCCCTCCTCTACTAGTCTTTTCACATCAGCTCTCTTATTTATTGGTGGTTGCTCATCAGAGAAAATTTGGGGGACTTTAGATTCTTTCTTCTCCATTTCTTTGTTTGTGGAATAGTGTCGAAAAAAACATATCTCACCTGGGTGAAATTTTAGGAGATGGTAGTTTTTGTATTATTTTGTTGTATAAAAAGAATCAAGTTTCTTTCCTGAAGTATACAGGCTTCAAAGTGAGTGTCCTGAATTTCTTAGCATTTATTTTCTCCCATGACTTACTACTGACAAGTTTTATGGCATTCCGTCTAGATCCTTGTTGTTAATAGGTTTTGGTGCTTTGAAAAACATTTTCCCAGTGGAAATTTTGAAATAGAAATGAAACTGTATACCTCTTGTCCCACGAGCCCCTAAGCCTACTAGTTGGCTCCTTCAGCCTGGGGACAATTCCCTGTCTACCCACCCATCTCCTTTCTAGCTTATTCCCCAAGTACCTCACCCTTATTTGGATCGATTGAAAAAATCTGAGTATGCTGACATTTAGAATGCCCTCCCTTCATTCTGGCTTTCCCCTTTTCTGGCCCCTAGCATTCTGAGGGATCTCTGTTTTCAGTTTTGATAGGATTTCTCCAAAGTTTTAGAGAAAACAACTTTTTGGCACATTTTTTATTAGTGGATAATGGTTATGCAGATTAATGATTTTCATTTTTTCAGATTCAAACATCCACACAGCATACTTTGATCATCTTCCCATCACCTTGGACTCTTCTCATCCACCTAATTCAGCTAATCTTCTTGGCTGAAAATGATAGGACTTAAAGATATTTATTTTGTACCCATATCTACTTTCTCTTTCAAATAAAGCATTAAGCTAAAAAATGCAATTAAGAATACTTAATTTTGTAAGAGCTTTGCCCAATTCAAACCATATTACAAACGATGTTTAAATTAGTAAGGTTGAAAAAAATGCTGATACTGAGCTATATGAATAGAATTCTAGATTTGGAAAGTTTCTCAAAAGCAGGAGAGAAAAAATATCTTTCTCTGTCCAAGTTCCCTAAGAAATGATTAGAAACCATGTCTATTAACCCAAAAGATTTAATCCCATTTGGTAGAATTTTCCACAGTATAATGTAACATGATAAACTTCAGGCAATATAGGGAAAGATATTTTGGCTTAATTAATCCTGCTTAAATGCATCTAATCTATACTTCAGAATGCCACTCTTGGTTTTCACAGCTTCTTTTTCTTCCATTTCTGAACTCATTGATACTCTTAAAACTCCAAGTTTTTCCATAATGACTTCTAATAATAATAACACAAGCATTTTGGAAGTACAAATATGAAAGAGAACCAAGCCACTTTTGCTTGAACATGGAGTGCTATGGCCTTTTAATCCTCAATTAATTTTGCTTTATATATATATTGAGATAAATTTGAAAGGTGACAGGCAGAAAGTTACTTTTTGTGATTAAATCCTAAAGATCAGTAGAATTAGGAAGGGAATGTTAACACAAATTTTTTTTGTATATTTTTATTTATTTATTTATTTTAATAATTTTTTTTTTTTTTTGTGGTACTGGGGATCAAACTCGGGTCCTTGTGCTTGTGCAGCAGGTGGCGAAACCACTGAGCTAAATCCCCGGCCCTTGTATATTTTTATTTTTAAAGAGCTATTGTGTTTCCTCAAAAGATGTCATAGCCACAACCCTCTGTAGTAATGAAATGCAGATATTTCTTCTGCTCTTTAGTAGACTTGTATTTGGGAGGAATGGGTCCCTCATAGCTATGAGTTAGCCCAGTAAAGTATATTTTCTGTCAGGTGGGGCCTGGGATGTTTACAGTAATAAACTTTCACTCACAAAACATTTTAGATAAAAATATTTCTAAGTTCATCCTTAAGTATCTCCATACTGTTTGATTGTCAGATACCCATTGTATCATCTTCTGTTTTGTTTAATCCATTTGAATGTAGTCTGGATCATCTGACATTTTAGGCTTTGTGGTTATCTATAGTAAAGTCCATTTATAGAAATGCCTGGCTGATTAGAGCTTTCTTTTATCATATACACATGCATGCATATGATATAGCAAGGAAATGTGTATGAACCAGAACAGCCAATATCATTGTAACATTCCTCACTAACTAGCAATGTGGCACCCCTTCTAGGCATCTGGACTGGGAAGCTAAGGCTAGGGACATGTTCTCATTGTTTTAAACAAATTGGTCTTTGCAGCTTCATCAGATGTTGTTCTATTTCTTTGTAAAAAGTATCAAACAAGCAACTGATAAATTCCCACCTGTAATTATTAGATCCAACCTCTGCTAAAAAATGATCAACTGTAAGGAAGCAAATGCGTGTGGAAGTGGGATGGGGGAGGGATGAGAGGCAAAAACCTTTAAAAACACAATACTTTTCAGAAATGATTTTTGTTCTGTCCAATAAATGTGGACCATTTTTGTTTAGTCACTAAAATGTCTATTTCTGAAGTCTGAATCAGAAAATACTTCAATTCTCAAATAAGGAAACAAATCATAATAAACATCGAAAGTGTTTAATTATATTTTTATCAGTAACCTAAGAATGAGCTAGTTCCCTAATCATATAGTGGAAATACAGTTAATCTAGAATTTTAACTTTTTAGATTGCCCATGGAAATTTTTCTTTAAAAGCACTGTGCATACCAGGTGTGATGGCACACACCTGTAGTTCCAGCACTTGAGATGCAGAGGCAGGAGGATCGCTGCAAGTTTGAGGCCAGCCTGGGCTACACAGTGAGTTCAAGGCCAGCCTGAACTATACAGTGAGACCTGTCTCAAAAAACAAAAACAAAAACAAAACAAGTAAATAAACAAAAGCACTGTGCAAGTAGCATTCTGAGAAATGTAAGGAACATAAGGTGAGAAAAAAGGGCCTCATAAAGTCCAACAAAAACAAGTGTTGTTTTTCTTCTTTGTTGTTTTCCATTCTTGCTTCATAGCTATGATATAGGCATTTAGCCACCTTTGTATAGAATCTGTGTAATATTTGCTTCTCTTGGAAAGGGTTATTCAAGATATATATGCCCACACCATTTTTGTTTTGTTTAATTTGATGTAATTCTAAAATACAGTGGTCATTATCATAATTGTCTACTTAAGTCTTAGCTCAAAAATTGTAAAAGTGCCTAAAGCTAACTATAGTTTGATGTCACAATTTTCTCACAACACTTATTTTAATAAACTCTTTAATGATAACAGTAAAACAAAAAATAAAACAAAACACAAGGTCTTGTTCTATGGCTCAGGCTGACCCTGAATACTTGGGCTCAAGACATCCTCCTACCTCAGCCCTGAGCAGCTGGAACTAAAAGTGGATGCCAGCATGCTTAGCTAGACTCTTTGCAATGAGCATACTCTCTTCATAACCAACCTATTCCCTCAGTAATGATGTTAACCATCCCTGAAGTCAGAGCCTCCGTTACCTAATTACCCCTTCTTAGCCACCACCTCCCAACACCATTGCACTAAAGTTTAGGTTTCCCACACAGAAACTTTATACAGCCACATTCAAACCATAGCAATCATGTACAGTTTAAAATTAGAAATTCATATTGGGAGCCAGGCATGGTGGCTCATGCTTATAATCCCAGCACTTGGGAGGCAGAAGCAGGAAGGTTACTATGAGTTTGAGTCCAGCCTGGGCTACACAGTGAGTTCAAGGCCAGTCTCAACTACATAGCAAGACCCTATCTCAAAATAAATAAATAAGTAAAAATAAAAAAGAAGGTTGAGACTACTTAGCCTTTGTCAAAGAACTGCTTTCTTCTTCTAGGGTGTGTCGGCCATCAGATGCCTGAAGATGGGGGGTTTGTTGGTGGGCTCTGGAGCTGGATTGGTGGTCTTTTGTAAAAGCCCCAGCTACAAACCTGCCAAGTAAGTTCTGGGCCCCCAAAAGTTGGGATAGATAGAGACTCACTGGAGGGAGGTTCACTTAAAGCCAGCTACTAAATGATATTAGCAAAGTGATATTTTATCAGAGAATTTCATCTTGCTATTGAGTACCTGGAATCAGAGTAGACTGATTTTTTTTCCCAATTAAAAAGCTTGTGTTGATCAAACCAAAGTAATCCACTAGGACCTAGCTGGACACTGCCCTTTTAATAAATATATGTTTTTATTGCACCAACACATTGAAACATGACAGAGAAAATAATGATGTTATAAACATATTGCTAAAAAGGAAAAAAGATTCATTTACTGAGTGCGTACTAAACACCGGTTGCAGGATAAAAGAGAAAGGAGAGACCACTGGGAAACAGGAGGATCTATTTTAGGTTTTAGGTGAACACTGGCTCAATGGGCCGTCCCAAGGAAGAGCAGAGAACAAAGGAAAGGTTCCAGTTTTTATACATTTGGTCAAAGGAGGGTGGTCTTTCTAGTGACATAGCAAGGAGTTTACAGAAACAGGACAAGGACAGACAGTTTTGTAATTTATCTTTGAAAGAAAATTGAGCCTTCTGAATAACAGAGTGTTATAAACTTTATTTACAGGACATAGCTGTCAGTTTTACCTGTACCAGAACAAAGAGTTACAGCTACAGGGGAGGTGTTGTATGTGCATTGGGGGGCGGGGGGGGGCGGTATCTGGGGGCAGGGAAACGGCCCAAGGCTGAGAGGAACTTGTTTTTCTTTAAGTCCTGCTTCACACCAAATGCTTTGCTTAAATCATCTCATTTAATCCTTACAATGAGAAAAAGTTGTAGGTTTTCTTTTGATAATGCTAGGGACAGTTGGTGGCATCATGGATTCCATTTAATCATTTTATGCTTCAGCTACTAACCAATAGGTTTCTGGAATGTTAATGAAATATTTTTTTAATCAGGATTTTATTTACAAATAGGACACACAAAACAATTACATACATTTATTTATTTATTTATTTATTTATTTATTTATTTATGGTACTAGGGATCTAACTTGGGACCTAGTACTTTTGAGGCAGGTGCCAGAACCACTGAGCTAAATCCCGGCCCAAAACAATTACTTTTAAATCGGAGTTCACTTTTAGATGTATTGGCCAAGTTGAACTACAATAGCCCTTTCCTAGTTTTAAGTTTAGAACCATCAATAGACTAGTCAGTTAGAACTTTATCTATGGGTCATCCATTAGTGGTTTTTAGGTGAGTAATAACAGAGATCTCTTGTAATAAGTTAGCACAAATAAGGGTTAGAAGGGAAATGAAAGAAAAAACCTTTTTTGCCCATGAAAGCAAGGACTATTTTTAAAGGACTTTAGATTGATGGCTTACCTTAATCTTTGGAATAGCTAGCTGCTCCATACTCTAGGCTCCTAGGATCCCCTCTAGTAGATTCACTGTGGTAAACTGCTCCATTGATAGCCACTGCTGTTTCTTATGTAAAAGATCTCTCCAAAGGGGCAGAGTGTTAAAGGTACAGTGCTGTAATTTAAAAATTTTCTTTTAGCAATCACTTTTTTATTTTTTAGGTCCAGGTATGGGTGTAGAAAAAGACTATGCATGCTGAGGAAGAGAGGGAAAGACACTGGGTCTTTTAAATGAAAGAATACAGGTTTTGCTTTACTGCTGGCTCTAGTTTTAACAGTTCTGTACAGACTTGGATTAACACCTCTGTCTCCCTTAGGGAATGGTACTAACTTGGTTTTTTGTTTTGTTCTGTTTTGTTTTGGTACTGGGGAGTGAACTTGGGACCTTGCGCTTTTGAGGCAGGTGGCAGAACCACTGAGCTAAATCCCCATCAATACTGACTTTGGATGCACATAAATGATAGTGTTTATGCAAGATAAGATACCTCGTCATAGCAGGGGTTTAGAGCTTTCTGGCATAATCAGAAAGGCATGAGAGAATAAAAAATAAAACTACAGCAAAGGGACTGTGAGAAATATCTGACACTTCCGACAGTTGTACTGACTGCAGGCCAGGATTGGAGAGAACAGCAATAGCAACTCCTGAATTTAGGAGGAGATTAATTTCTCTCTGCAGTTAGAATCACCCAGGGCTTCCGAGTGGTGATCAGTCCAATTTAAGGGAGCTCGTGAAGGGTGCCTTGGGCCTCCTTAGTCTCCTTGTTGGACCAAGTGGAAGGCTGGGTTTGATCCTGATTCCCCTTACAGAATGGGCAGGGGACAGGTGGCTCTTTTCCCTACTGGTGCCGGGACTGTGATCAGTGCCCACAGAAATGTCTTGGCTTTCTTAGTTATTGCAAGTGCATGAGTTACCTTTAGAGCCCTCAACATTCCATTGCCCCTTCCCCAGAGGGCAGCCATGGGTGCAGCTCCCTATTTGGGACCTTGATCTTCCTTCTCTTTGGTCTCCTCTCAGTCTTGGTTATAAAAGACCTCAGGGCTACCTTGACAAGTGAATCTAAAGAGCCATCATGACCAAATACCTTCTTTTGTAATTTTCTCCTGCTGTCTGGGGCAAATTGGTTTACAAATTTATCATTAAGGATTACCTGCCCCTCTGAGTCTGAGGATGGGAGGGTAAATGTAGTTAAAGACTTCTGGAGTCTCCATAAAAAGGCTGAGGGATCTTCTTTACTACCCTGATCAATGATTAATAACTTGCAGGAATCCTTCTAGGATACAGGCCTGGAAATATTTAATGTGCTCTCTGGTCCTCACTATCATCAGGACCCAGTAGGGCTTACCTCCTGCTATGGCCTGACTCCCTGTGGGAAATGGTCTTTCCCTGGCTGGAGTTCCTCAGGCCTCCTGTGACAAATCATAGGTAATTCATCTCCAAAGACCTGCTGCATGTAAAGCCACTCGCTTTTCACTAGGGGTTAATGTTTGATTTTAAAAGGAGTATAATAACCTATCATGCTAGAGCGAAAGATTGAGCTAAACTTTGAAATGCCTCTCTGTGTTTACCAGGATCACCAGAAAGTCTTCCTAAATCCTGTTTAATCCATTTTAAGACCCCAATTCTGCCCTGCTCACCTCCTGAAGTGGGTACAGTCCCTCTGTGGAGGCTTCTTTTGGTCTTGGCAGCAGTTTGGGTCTTGGGGGGTGGACTAGAAGCCTTAGATGGAGCTGCCTGAGTCTCAGCCAGACCTCATGAGCCACGAGTGACCTGGGCTCCAGGCTGCATTGTTGGAGCAGCTTGGGGTTGCCTCTTCTTTTTGGTACCAGGGATTGAACTCGGGTCCTTGGTCTTGCGAGGCAAGCAGTGGAACCACTGAGACAAATCCCTGGCCCCAGGGTTGCCTCTTAAAGCAAAAACTATCTGGACATGGGAAATTTCTGACCATTTTCTCTCTTACAAACTGATCTAATTGAAGGAGAGTTTTTTAATTCATAAAAGTTCCAGTTAGTATACAATCCAAAGGTGTGTGGGAAGCTGGTGAGTTCCTGTATTCATTCTGAAAGACAAACAGAGAGAGGCCCCCTCTTCACCTGCCCGTTTCAGCCAATGGCTTGGGGTGTCCCCCAGCTTGGACCCCTCCAAGGCTAGTGGCAGCTGCTGGAGTTGCCTGAAGGAAGTGGTGGCCAGAATCTGCTTTTACTGACTTGTCCAGAGCCACAGACCTCTAGTTAGAAACGGGGCTGGGATAGGACTTGTGGTTTTCCTTTCTTCATTAACCAGCTCTGTGTCCTACCAACTAACAGATCTTGCTCAAATGTTGCATTACTCATGCAGGCTCCTTCACATTGAATATTGTCTAGACTAAATTAGGTGTAAAGCAATGTTGAGTTCCTTGAGTCTTCTTCATTTATGTGTTCTATTTCTTTTTTTTTGAGTTCATATTTATTAAACTGGGATTATTAAACAGGGTAGGAGGCCAGGTGTGGTGGCGCACACCTGTAATCCCAGCACTCTGGAGGATGAGGCAGGAGGATCACTGTGAGTTCATGGCCAGCCTGAGCTACATAGTGAATTCGAGACCAGCCTGAACTATACAGCGAGTCCTTGTCTCAAAATTTCAAACCAAAACACAATCAAAACAAAACAAAACAAAAAAACAGGGTAGGGAAAGAGGGAGAAGTCAGAAATGTGGAAGAGGGCCAGGGATTTAGCTCAGTGGTTTTGCCACCTGCTGCACAAACGCAAGGACCCGAGTTCGATATCCGGTACCAAAAAAACAAACAAAGAAAACAAAAAACAGAAATGTAGAAGAAAAGAAAATAATGTCTGAAAGTCAGGCAAAGACAACCACTATTAATATTTTGTTATTTCTTCTTGTCTTTGTTATTAATATAGATCTGGAAATAATTGTGCTTATATTATATGTAAAGTTTTGTTTGCTGACATTTTTACATCATAAAGGTATCAAAAATATTTCCAATATTACTACACATTATTTTTATCATCATAGTAAAATATATATAAAGTACACAATCTTTTAAACATTTTTTGGCCAGGCAAATAGTCTATGAAGTTTATGTCTTATTGATCGTTTAACAATTCCATTACAATTGGATATTTAGGTTGTTTTCATTTTCTCACAATTTTACATAAGGTTTCAGTAACATCCTTTGACATAAATGGCCTCCCCTCCTTGACTTTAGGGTTATTTTCCAGAGACAGAATTAATAAAAGGTTTAAATTGTCATAGTTATTTGTACCCATAACCTCACCTAGAGTGTTCGTCCTATCAAAATCCTGCCTGTCTTGCACAACCCATTTCAGACTGTATCTGACTAATGAATCTTCCGACTGTTTTAGGTACACAATACTGTGAATAGCTCATGCTTTTCCAACTGTGTCACTTCCTTGAGGGTATGTCCCAAATCACATGCCTGATTTGTATCTTCTGTAAGGCTTCAGATGGATAATAAATACTTGATGGTTGAGTGAATCTACTTTACCATATTTTTTTTCCTTTAAAGGAAAATTCAGTTACAAGGTGGCATCACTTCTATCACACTTCAAGGAGAAGGACACCAATTTTTTGTAGGAACAGAAGAATCACACATTTATCGCATCAGCTTCACAGAGTTCAAAGAGACTCTCATTGCGACATGTCACTTTGAAGCTGTCCAGGACATTGTCTTTCCATTGTAAGTAGAAGAGGAAAATTAGGACATGGCGATTTGGTGCAGTGTGCAAGAAAAATTAATTTTAGTACTGCATATTTAACATCTAATAACATAAGTGTGATTTTTCTCCTTAAATTTTTCTAATGTACTAAATTAATTTCACAACACTTTCTTTTGCCTTTACCATGAAATTACATTAGTTTTCCCAATTCAAATATGGGCTTCTTTAGAATGTGGACTTTTAAAAGTAAACCTATCATGGAAAGAGTATATTTGGCAAAACTTTCCTGTCTTCCCAGTGCCATCTGGGAAAAGCTTAGTTGTGCCTTTCTCCCAACGCTTTTCCAGTTACTCATCGGACCCTCTTGGCCTCTTCCATATTTGCCAGACTTTGTGGTGGGCATGAGGTCTTCTGGGTCTAGTGGCTGTAGTTCTTGGTAAATCCCACCCAAAACAAATAAATATTCATCAGCATTTTTACATCAAAAAAGAGCTTTAGTTGTAGTGGGCCACTGCTTGGTTTTGAAACACATTTTGTCTTTGGTGACATCCATTCCATGAAGTTTGTCAGAGTTTTTGTTCTGAACTTCCTTAATGTTCAGCTTGAATTTAACTCAGAAAAACCACTGTTGTCAAGATCAGCAAGACTTCAAAACCAGCTCCTGAGATAATGAGCAAGCTGTAGCTTTTGTTCCTTAAATCCTTGTGATTCCATTCTTCCAAATATTTCTAGTGGGAAAAATGGTGCTTGCCAATTAAGTGAATCTTTATTTGAAAATGGGTCATTTCCTTTCAGTCTTGATTTTTATAGAACTTGGTAGCATCAATCTGTAAAACTGTTTGGTTCTGGCTCATTTTAAGAGGGTGGAGTTTTCAAGTATCTTTGGAATTTTTATACAGTTATTGATCTGTTCAGGTTTTATACCTTTTATTTTCTTTGTTTTTAAAAGAGATTTATTAAAGTATAATTTATGTACTGTGAGGTTCATCCATTTAGAGTTTTTAGCATACAGAGTTGTACAATTTGCTATCTAATTTTGAAACATTTCATATTTCCTCTTGACCAGAAAACAAACAAAAAAAGCCCTCTGGCAGTCAGTCCCTCCTCCCCCAGTGCTAGGCAAACACTGATCTACTTTCTGTCACTGGATTTTCCTATGCTGGACATTTCATGTAAAAAGTATCATATAGTATCTGGCCTTTTGTGAATAGTTTTTTTAAATTACCATAATATTTTTGAGAATGACCCATGTTATAGGTTATATTAATACTTCATCTCTTTTAAAAAATGAGTAAATTCATTGAATAGATATACTATGTTTTTTTATTCACCAGTTGATGGATATGTGAGTTGTTTCTACAACTTGGGAACTATTTCTTTTATTAATTCAGTAGTTTCCCTAAAATTTTTAATATATATATATTTAAATTTATTTTCTGTCAAAGACTGAAGTTAACCAACATTTATGTCCTATCCATTACTAAGAGAAGAATTAGTATATTTTTATTTTCTTCTTAACTTTTCCTCCACAATCTCCTGTGCTAAAATTATTGGGAATTAAACAAACAAAACAAAACAAACAAACAAATAAATAAAATTATTGGGAATTATAGATCAAGGTAACATTTTTATTGTTTTCTTTAAAGTACTTGGTTTAACTTTAAACTTTGCTCTTTGTTTTTATTACTCTTTTGATCTCACACATCAACCCCCCCCCCCCCGTTTTTTTTGAGACAGGGTCTCATATGTAATTCAGACTCACCTTAAACTTGCAACAATCCTCCTGCCTCAGCTTCCTGAGTGCTAGGATTACAGGCATGTGCCACCATACCTGGCCCCTATATATTTATATTTAAAGTACATTTATTGAAACAGCAGATAATTGATTCTTGCTTTTCTATAGTCAGAAAAATCTTGCTTTTTATTTGGAATATTTAGCCCATTTACATTTAATATAATTTGTTTAGTTTTCCCTCATCTATTGTTTATTCTGCTATTTTCTTGCTGCCTCTTTTTGTGATGATCAGCTATTTTCAGCATTCCAATTAATTCCTGTATAGGCTTTCTAGCTATGTATCTTTGTATTGTTTTTTAGTGGGGCTCTAAGGATGGCAATATGAATCTTTAATATTTCAAAGTCTAATTACAGTTAATATTTAATTACTTTAAGTAAAATACAGTACAAGAATTCTATAACAGTAATACCTTACCCTGTTAATAAGACCATCAATACAATATTATGTTTATTTTAAACAATCATAAATCTTTTCTAGAAATGGAGGAGTAAAACATTTAAAAAATTTTTGTAGTTACCCACATATTTGAGCCTTCCAGGTCCTTTTTTTTTTTTTTTTTTGGATGGTAGTGGAATTGAACCAAAGGACTCCTTCATGTTAGGCAAGCACTCTACCACTGAGCGACATCCCTAGCCTATTTTATTTTTGAGACAGGGTCTTACTAACTGCCTTGGCTGGCCTCAAACTGGCAATCTTTCTACCTCAATCTCTGGAGTAGCTGAGATTACAAGCATGTGCTATATACCAAACTTCATTTTTTTTATATAGCTAATTATCTGATATCTTTCCACCTCAGCCTAGAGAACTTCATTTAGCATTTTTAAAAAGGCATAAGTCTCTGAAAAAATTTTTCAGAATTTTTGTCTAATACTATTTTTAGCCTTCTTTTTTGAGTTCTTATCTCATAGTTTTCTATTTGATCATGAGTTTGAATATATTATTTGAATGTTTCTGGATTCCATAGACTATTGAGAAGTCACTCTATATTCTTATTGTTCCCTTCTTTATCATGTGTAATTTTTTTCTACTTACTTTTGTTAAAACCTAAAATTTGTTTTTATAGTTTTCACCTGTAGAAAAATATACAATTATAATATAATACATAATAGCTTCTAGTTCTCTGTTGAGATACCTATCTGTATATTTATCGATATCAGAGTTTCCTTCAGTTTTTTTCCACACTGAGTATTGAACCCAGGGTTTTGTGCATATTAGGAAGGTACTACTCTACTAAGCTCCATCTCCAGCCTTTTTTATATTTTATTTTGAAAAAGGGTTTAAGTTCCCCAGGCTGACCTTGAACTTGGGATCCTCCTGCCTCTGCCTCACAAATAGTTGGGATTTATGGATGTGTAGCACCACTGTCAGTTCTAATATTTTGAATGTATTTTAAAATTTTAAAGAGTTGTTTTGAAGTTTTTATCTGCTAATCTAATACTTGGGTTTACTTGGAATCTGCTTCTTTCTTCCTTTCTTGTTTTCTTCCCGACCCTTCCCCTCCTTTACCTTCCCATCCCCTCCCTCTCTTCCTCCCCTTCTTTGTTTCATTGAAGCCAAGTCCTCACACATGCTAAGCACACATTCTCTCCCTGAGTGCCAGGATCAGCTTCTTTCGACTACCTTTTCCCTGAATCATAGTTTCTTATTTCTTTGCTTGTCAATAGTTTTTTGTTGTTACTGTTGTTGAAAACTTGGAATTATATACTATACACTACAGCAACTCTGATCTCTGAGCATTGTTGGTACAGACTCAAACTGTCAATTTTGTCTTTCCCATGGTATGTGTAAACTGATTTTCTTGTAGCTTCCCATTGCTGCATTTTTAGCCTGGCCTTGCTTTCTCCTGTGGGCTTGCATTGTTTTGCACTAACCTCAGGGTTTGTGTAGAGATGAAACTATCCCCATGATTTCTTTGCTTCTAATGATTCATGAATCATTGGGGAAAATATATATGAAAAATATATCTATGTCTGAATCTCTATATATCTTCATTTCATAGTATTTTATCACATTTCCACTAACTTGAACCACAAGTGGTACATACATGATTGTCCCATCAGGCGGCTTGTACCATTGTGGTACAAACAAATCTAATCACTTTCATCAGTCTTTTTGCTAATAAGAAGCTGCCCAATGGGACAGTCATGCATGTACCACCAGTGGTTTGAGCCACCTGGCAGTGAGACACATGAATTACTACCCTATTGTGAATGTGGTAAATGAGAGCATCAGAACCTAGATTGTCACCATGATTCAGTCGCTTTGGTTCCTTCTGGACCTTGACCTGTCAGAATTGAAACTAAGGACATTTTCCTACTTGAGGGCCTCATTTTCAGATTAGGTTTGAGTGTTTACACCCCAGATGGCTGAGAAAGTGGATAGTCCATTCAGGAGAGGGAGTTTGAAAGTTCTCCAGGGCATTTGTTTCATGATACTTGAGTAGTCATCCATCTACATCATTATGAGCTCATTTTTATTTTAGATATATTATTTAAATACATTTACATTTAAATGTATTTTATATATTAATACTATATTATTTATTTTCAATATACTTATTAAATATATTTATTATAATATGATAAATGTATTATTCTAACACTGGCTTGATTTAATCTCTGTTAACTGAGACTGTATGGCTAGGAGCGTGACCGCGTCTGCCATCTTGTTCCAGCACTTGCTCTTTTTAACTAACTAGGCCTGCATCATAATTTTAACTCTGAGCCCCAAAGCTAAATGTGTAGAAGGGACCCGCTTTTTTATTCTGTTAATTCCAAACTGAGGAGACCCTGAAATAAGGAAGAAGGACACTTCCTTTTCTTTGAAATGTGTTTGTGATGGAATGTAGAAATTGCTTGAGAAGTATTTAATCTAAATGTTAGCTTTAGTCTCTGAAGAGACTAACTAAACATTTATGTTTATAAATAAGATGGTTTGTTATACCCCAATAGTATTTTTTTTCTTATTAATCTTGGAGTAATCTGTAACCTTTTGATATATTGATAATTTAAATTCTATATACAAGTTGCGTGCGTGGGTGCTTGAGCTTGTGTGTGTGTATGTGTGTTTTGTTTCTGAGCCTGACAGACTAATTACTCTGGGATACTCTTGCTTGTTCATAATCTCAGATGTCTTCTCATTACTAAGCAAAGAAAGACTTTCAGCTGTCTACAAATATGAATTCTATCATCTTTGTCTTTTTCTTCTTTTAATAAGATTTTCTTCAAATGGTAAAGAGTTTCCTCTTTTAAATATTCTATGCATGTTTTTATTTCTAGAAATGTCACTTACCAGGTGTATATTTATCTCCAAACTCATCAAGTTAGATATATTAAATGTATACAGCTTTGTGTGTCAATCATACTTTAATAAAGTGGACTTTTTTAAAGAAATGTGACTAACCCCCAGTTTTCCAAAACTAAGAGAGATTCCAAATTGACTTTTTCTGAGCAATTTTGTCCTAACCCTTCCTAAGGAGAAAGGACTGTAAGAGATTTTCCACGGGCAATCTGAAGGTGTTGAATGCTGCTTTGCACAAGAAATCTCTAAGATCCTCAAGCCTTCAGATAATTCGTATTTGAAAGGCACCACGCCTATATCTTGTGAAGCACATTTTGGTGTCAAATAAGCGTGTAAGAAACACTGTGTCTTTTATGGCCTCATCTCTTATCCCTTGATGGCTCCTTTGCAGTGGCACCGCTGAGCTATTTGCCACCTGTGCCAAGAAAGACATTAGGGTCTGGCACACGATGTCCAATAGAGAGCTGCTGCGGATCACTGTGCCCAACATGACCTGCCATGCCATCGATTTCATGAGGGACGGCAAGAGCATCATTTCAGGTAACGGCCACCTGTCAAGACTTGGCCCCATGCTGAGTGTGGTGGCACACACCTGTAATCCCAGTGCTTGGGGGGCTGAGGCAGGAGGATCACCGTGAGTTTGAGGCCAATGTGAGTTACATAGTGAGTTCAAGGACAGCGTAGGATACAGAAGACTGTGTCTCAAAACAAAAACAAACAAAAAAATATTTGGCCCCAGGTCCTGGCTGTGGTTATGATCCTTGTCATCCCCCTAGTTTCCCCAGTGATAACCTGGAACAGCCTCCTGATGTCCATCCCTCCATGTCTGTCATCTAGCCTCTCCTTAGAGTTCTCTTTCAGCTGGGAGATATTCTGAGCTTGGCAGAACCAAATATGCAATTTCTCTTCTCTCAAATTGCTGCAGATACCATGGATCTTTCTCTTAGAGGGAAATTTAGTAATTCAATTTTTAAATGAGTTTGAGGCCTTAGTGAGTACAGGACACCTGTGTTAGAACACTTTTGTTGTATAAAAGATAAAATCTTTTGGGAGTAGTGCCACATGCCTGTCATCCCAGCCCTTGGGAGGCTGAGGCAGCAGGATCGCTGTGAGTTCTCAAAAAACAAAAACAAATAAAGAAAAAAGATAAAACTTGATTCAAACTAAGTTCGGCTTGAAAGAGTATTTGCTTGTTTGAGACAAGGTCTTGCTTTGTAGTTCAGGCTGGCCTTGAACTCAGTATGTAGCCCAGAGTGGGCTTGAATTTATGGAGATCCTCCTGCCTCAGCCTCCCAGGTGTTGGGATTATAGGCATGCACCACCATGCCTGGCTTAGTGGGAATTTTTAAAAGCTTAATTTATGGCAAAGTTTTTTGTTTTGTTTTTGGCTTATACTGGCTATTGAACCCAAGGAACACTGAGCCACATCTCTAGACCTTTTTCCTTTTTTTTTTTGAGACAGGGTCTCACTAAGTTGCCCAGCCTGGCCTAGAACTTGGGATATTCCTCCTTTAGCCTCCCAAGTAGCTAGGATTACAGTTGTGTACCACACCTGGATATGACGAAGTATTTTAACAAGTTATAGATACCATGATATTCTACCTCTAAATTTTTCAGTGTACATCTCTAAGAGTATTTCCTCAGAAAATGATAATTTCTTAATATCATCATGTCTGTAATCTCTCAGCACAGTTCCCCAGTGGTCACAAAGTAAATGTCCTGGTTTGCATCAATGAAAAGTCAGATAGGCCTTTAGGTACAGCCATTGGTTGTTTTTTGTTTTTTGGGGGGGGTATTTTGGTACCTGGGATGGAACTTGGGTCCTTGTGCTTGCTAGGCAGGTGGCGGAACCACTGAGCTAAATCCCCGGCCCTAGGTACAGCCTTTGGAATGGGACCTCAGGAGCCCATCCCATGCACTCTAGTCCTGGTGCTGTGCCTCTGCTGTCAGTTTCCTGGCAGGGGTGTCTTTTCCAGAGTGGCCACTGGGAGCACTTGGCTTGTTACTCTGAAAGCTGACCAATCCACAGGTCACAAACCTTGAGGTCATTACTGCGGTCCCCTTTTCTCTCATCCCCACACCCATGTGCCCCGATGGCCCTCTTTACCATGTGGCCAAGGGTCTGTCCATCACTTTTCACCATTCCCACCTTGTCTCAGCCACCACCCTCTCTTACCTGGTTCATCTAACCAGGGCTCTCTGCTCCTGCCATTGCCCATCACTCCTTCCCAGAGTGTTCTCACACAGAAGCCAGAAATCTTTTTTTAAAATGCCAAGTCTGATCATGCCATTTACAGGGCTCAAATGTCTTTTACTCTCTGAAAGGTGAAATTCCAGCAGTTGCCTGTGGCTTAGTCACTTTCTCATCCCTGGGACACAATACCAGACACCCACAACGTAAAGGAGGAGTTTAATTTGGCTCAGATTTCAGTCCATAGTCAGCTAGCCCCAAGGCAGGAGGACAGCATGGCAGAGGAAATGCTGCTTACTTTATGGCATCCTGGAAGCAGAGTGAAAGAAGGAGCCAGGAAGGGAGATACACCCTCCCACATCACATGACCACCTCTTCCAGCCAGACCCCAGCACCTACCAGGAAGTCAGCTCTGCCAGGGCCATAATAGTTACCTTCCCAAAGCCCTGCCACTGAGCCCATGAAGCTTTGGGGGACATGAGATACAAACCAGCACAGCCTGCACGTCTCTCACACAAACTTTGTTCTCCACCTCTCCTCTCTCCCCCGTAACTTCTCCTATTTACCCTTTCCAGCCATACTTGCTGCATTGCTATCCCTCTAACACACCAGGCATAGCACTTTTTTGCCAGCTGCTCCATCTTTCTGGAATGTTCTTCCCCCAGATCTTCCTGGGGTACATCCTCTCATCCTCTCACTTCCCTGAGTCTTTGCTGAAATAGGATCGACCTGAGCATCCTATTTAAGATTGCTAAAGTCAAGAGTTCACACACACACACACACACACACACACAGAGTTAAAGCAAATGAGAAAGTGTCAGCCATGTGAAGTCCTGGAGGCAAAGCATTCCAGGCAGAGGGGACAGCAAGTACAAAGGTCCTGAGGTGGGAAATCATTTGGTATAATAAGAGGGTCACTGTGTCTGGAGCTTAGTGGTCATGGTTGGGTTGAGGGTTTAGAGAAAGAAATCACAGAGGAGAGGTAGGTAGGGGCAGAGACTACTTACTGTGCTGGATAAAAGAGTTGTATTTTACTACTGCATGCTAAAAGCTTGATCAAAGAAGGTGACATGGCTTTAAAAGGTTCATCCTAACACCTGTACAGATGACTGATTTTAAGAAAGAGTGAAAGGCAAGGGAGGGACCTGTTAAAATAATCCAGGAGGGTCAGGTAGGATGGCGCCCATCTGTAATCCCAGCACTCTGGGAGGCTGAGGCAGGAGGATCACAAGTTCTAGCCCAGGCTGGGCAGCTTAGTGACTTAGCAAGACCTGGTCTTAAAACAAACAAACAAAAAATTAATAAAAAAGGCTGGGGGGATATAGCGCACTGTGAAAGTCCTGGGTTCAATCCCTAATCCCCCCCAAACAAACAAATGAATGAATATCCAGGGCAGATGTGCTTGTGGCTTGAGTAGAGTGGTACTAGTGCAGGGTGGCTAGCACTAGTGGCCAGGTTCTCAGTGGGTGTTTTTGGGGGTTTTTTTTGGTACCGGGGATTAAACTCGGGTCCTTGCACTTGTGGGCCAGGCGGAGCCACTGAGCTAAATCCCCAGCCCTCTCAGAGTTTTTAATGGCAGAGCTGATGGGACTTGCTGATGGGTCAGATGTCAGATTGGGTGGAGTAGATGGAACATAGAGGAATAATCAGGATGACTCAGGCTGTTGGTTTAAGGCACTGGATAGATAGATGATGGCAATGTTCATTGAGGTGGGAAAGAAGTGAGAATGGGGAAGGATCATCATATTTAAAGGTAGGGGTGGTAGGAAGCCAATAACCATTTGGAATTGTTAAGTGATATGTGCCAAGCCTGATTCCAGCTAGCTAGTTGCATGTACAGGTCTGCAGCTCATGGCGAGGTGGGAGCTGGCCTCCTTCCTCTCTCCCTTCCCCACTCTCCCTTATTTGGGGCTCAATATCCTCGCAGGCAATTTCAACTAAACAAACCCCTCCTGTCTCTCAGCCAGGCCTGGCCTGTTTGGGGACTGGGGGTCAAGGACATGTGATCACTGGACCTTAAGGGGGGCTGGCTTCTTTCCTCCATCCTTGCCACTCCTCCCAGTTCTCACTCTCACGGATCAGTTAGAAGAGCATGGTCTGTAGAGAGGACGTGAGTGTGCTGATTCTGCTGCCCTCTGTTTCCCTCTCACCCCAGCATGGAATGACGGTAAAATCCGGGCCTTCGCCCCTGAGACGGGCCGACTGATGTATGTCATTAACAGTGCTCACAGGATCGGAGTGACTGCCATCGCCACCACCAGTGACTGCAAAAGGGTCATCAGCGGTGGTGGGGAAGGGGAGGTAATGTTCTTGAAAACAGAATTTTTTAAAAAAATTCAAAACTTTGAATTAGAGCAGTTAACTCATAGGCCATTTATTTGATTTTTTAATATGTACCTGTACTAGGATTCAGGCAGAGCCGAATTAAGATTTTGATGAAACCTTAAAGTACATCATAAATTAAAGTTCTAATCATATAAATAAACACATAAGTGTACTTGTTCACAGAAAAGACGTTTAAGATACAGATGTGCGAGCACTCTATGTGGAATTCAGCTATGAATCCAGGTTGGTGTTTTGCCAGAGCTTTGACATACTTTTTCTTTTTCTCTAAGAACCATAGTTGTTTAAATTGTCTGTATCTTTTAAAGCTGGTAATATTTTTAGAATCAACTACCTGTATTTAATATACCAGATGTTTTGGGTATTATTTTACAATTACTACATTCAACCTTTTCATCATTTCAAGGGACCTAAAATACCTTTCATTCACAGATTTATGTCAGAGTCTCCCTTCCCCTGTGCCCCAACTTTTTTTTTAAATCCTAAATCCTTCCCTTTGTCTGCACAGACATTATCTTTTCCTTTCTTTTCTCAGCTCTTGTAGGAAGATTTGTCAGGCAGAAGAAAGATACAACATCTGGAGGGAGCCTTTGGCAGAATTTAAGCAAAGCAGATGAATGCCTGGGCTCAAATTTCCCTCTGCCACATCTACTTACATGTCCTGGACATGTGCTTTAACTTCTCTGTGGTTCGGTTTCTTTAAGTCTAAACTGAAGAAAATGTTTCTATTAATGAGCTATCTTATGTTGTTTATTTTCTATCAAGTCTTTATAATCTAGTCTATGTATTTGACAGTCAGGGGCGCCCCCTGTCTAAAGAGGTATATCCCCCTAACTACTCATTCAGCCAAAGGTGGCCCCTGCCCCACACCTGTCACCACCCCCTGGCTTTATTGCAGCCCTACTTCACCTCAGCCACACCTATGCTGATGTCCCAGCATCCTTCCTTGCTCCTTCATACTTTGGAAGGACTCTGCATTCTAAGGACCTGAGCTCAAGCTGGTGAGAGCTGCCCAAGGAAATTACATTTTCCAATTGCATTGCTCAGCTGGGTGTATTCCAGGCCTGTATTCCAGCTACTGGGGAGGTTGAAGCAGAGGAATCTTAAGTTCAAGGCCACCCTGGGCAAGTTAGTGGGACTCTGTCTTAAAATAAAATGTGCTGGGGTGTAGCTCAGTGGTAGAGCTTTGTTCATGCCCAAGGCCCTGGGTTCAATCCATAGCACTGCAGCAAGCAAACAAAACCCAAAAAGGCACGCTCTGGGCCTGCTCAGCCATCTTTTCACAGTCCCACATCAACTCCTCCTCCTGTTTGCTCCACTCAGCTATTGCAAGTCTCTCCTTTCTCAAGACAGCCTTCAAGGTCTTTAGAAGTATACTACAGGTCAGAGCTGCTAGTCAGCAGGTATGCACAGAAAGGAATGCAGCAGTTGCTAAAATGCTCAGACACTTCCATTTGCTAGGGTAAATGGCATTGCCCAAGTGACCACTTGCCAATACTTTAACTCCACCACCTGTCTCCTTCCCCTAAGTGTACCCTAAGCTCCCTACAATTCCACAACTAAAGGATTAATGCCTAGCATAGCCAAATGGCTTCTAAGACCCTGGTTCTAATCCTGGGCTGTTTGGTGGATACTGACACCTTACTTGCTAAATACCTTCAGTATCACCCCTGCTAAAGATTAAAGCTTCACAGGTAGTGGGGATCCTGATACATTTGGTGTGTATGGCTCAGTGGTAGAGCACATACTTAGCAGGCACAAGGCTTGCATTGGATCCTTAGCACCGAAAAAAAAAAGAAAGAAAGAAAAAAAAAGAAATTTGTTTTCTTTGATGCTGGTAATGCCATAATAATTTGGATACTATAGAAATGAAATCCCTGCTCATTTGGGATGACCTCACACTTTGTCATTTTCTTTGACAATGCACAAAATATCTTACGATGTTTTCCTTATCTCCTTTAAGGTTATTTACCTCTTATCAGGTAAAGTAAGTCCAGTCTGTTACTATTTGTCCAAACACCAGTTTTTAATCCAGTGTTCACTTGGACCTCTGTCCCCTCACTGTCCTGGACTACTTGTACAGAATGGTTTCTGCTCTTCTTCCTTTGTTTTGAAACAGGTTCTCACTATGTACTTCAGGCTGGCCTTGAACTCACTGTGTAGTCCAGGCTGGCCTCCAACTTGCATCAATCCTCCAGCCTCAGCCTCCTGAGTGCTGGGATTACAGGCCTGTGCCACCACAACTGTCTCCTTTTATTTTTTACAATCTAACATATTCATTCTAAGATGGTGTAAGCATCTGACTACATGACCGTGTTTTCTGGTGTACTTGTAACAGAGCCTTTATTTATAAAAGGACATATTATAATAACTAAATGAATTTCCTTTTATTATTAAAATTAGGGCCATATCCATATTGACTGAAATTTTGTGTGTAGGTATTATATTACCTATGAATTTCATTTCAGGAGAATAAACAGGTATTAGAAAATACTTGCAATAGAAAATGGGAATTGAATTCCATAGGATTGAGAACCATTGGTTTTAAATGATTAAAACTGAATGGCTGATATGAAAGTTTAAATATGGCTCCAGGTATCCAAAAGATTTCCTCATGGGACCAGAAATTTGAGATCAATGCTAGGCAGAAATGAGTAGACATTACTGCACTTGGTTTAGTGGAGGCCATTATATTATCGATTTTCCTTGTGGGTGTCTGATAAATTTCTCAGCCTGAAAGTAGAAGCAGGTACAGGATCATTGGTACCAGTCCTCAAGTTCCATAGAAGATGACTGCATCTTGTCCATGAATATTCTTGCCCTTCAACATGGCATTCCCATCTCACCCAACTGAGAGCAGGATAGGGAATTGAAAACACAAACTGGGTACGATGGCCCACACCTATAACCCCAGCACTCCAGGAGGCTGAGACAGGAAGTTCGAAAGTTTGTGCCCAGCCTGGGCAACTTAGCCACCTAGTGAGACCCTGTCTCAAAATTTAAAAAGAAAAAAAAAAGAGGACTAGGGAGATAGATTAGTGAGAAGGCCCTGGGTTGAATCCCTAGTACAAGAAAAACAAAATTAGTCACAGACACTGTAGGGATGGAAAGGCTTTCAGGATCCTTTTTGATCCCTTCCAAGTTCCCAAGTTGGTACTGAGAACCTGTGCTTTGGGGCCCTCAGGTGAGGGTGTGGCAGATAGGCTGCAAGACCCAGAAGCTGGAGGAGGCCCTGAAGGAGCACAGATCCTCTGTGTCCTGCATTCGGGTGAAGAAGAACAACGAGGAATGTGTCACAGCCAGCACAGATGGCACTTGCATCATTTGGGACCTCGTGTAGGTACCTGGGATGGGGAGGACAACATGACACTCACAGAACCCAGCCATGCCTGTGCTTTAGTGAACCCGGGTGGAGAGTGTAAAGGTGGGCAGGAATCTAATTGGGTTGAAAGCAACAGTAAATGGATGTTCCTCAGCAGCCCTCAGTCTCCAGGAGTGGCCAGGGTATACAGATGCTGGTGGGAAGAGGACGGTCTCTAGGAGGAGCCAAGCAAAACTTTTGGGCAGATAAGGAAGTAGCTTTTGGAATACACACAGCAAAACATGATTTAACTTGCACCAATTCAGGTCCAGAAAAGGAGCAAGAGAAATAAGGGATTCAGGCAATTTTCCTGGTCATTCTACTCTGTCACATGAGGCCCAGAATGAGCTTGCCATGGGAGGGGGGACAAGATTGCCCTTCCCCTCAGTTGGCCACATTGCCAGGACCTCTTATACTGTGAGCAGACCATACCCCACAGAATGTGTTAACTGCTGAGCAAACTAAACTGAAGCATGTGAACCTCGCCACAGGAATAACTCAAAGAATTTTCAAAGGTGATTTTTGAATTTTTGACATAAGCATTTTTGCTGTGTGTTTGTATTTTGGAATCAGACCCTATTCTCCAACCCCTCCTCCCAGTCACCCCTTTACCCCTCCTGGAATGCAGTGCCTCTGTATGACTGCATAAGAGACTGGAATAAGTATAGAGATGGAGGGACACAGGTTTGGCAAAAGAATAATATTCTTGATGAGAGAGAGAAGAGAATGAGGACTGAAATCAGAGACAAAACACTTTTTATTTACATTGAAAAGGAAAAAGCAGCCAGGTGCGGTGGTGCACACCTGTAATCCCAGTGGCTTGGGAGGCTGAAGCAGGAGAATTACAAGTTCAAGGTTAGCCTGAGCAACTTAGTGAGACCTGGTCTCAAAATAAAAAATAAAAAGAGCTGAGGATGTAGCTCAGTACCCTCTGGATTCAATCTCCAGTATTGGGGGGAGGGGTGGAACAAAGCAAGCCTCTGTCTTCTAGACCTGCGTGTCTCCAGCTTTGATCCTCAGTCACCTAGAGATCATGTCAAAAATGTAGATTTTGGTTCAAGACCATACTTGTAGAGGGGATCAGTCTACACTTGACCTTTCCATTGGGAAAATGTGCAATAAGAAGAGAATGTTTAAGCTTATTCCCATGGATGGTTTGTGACTGCCTCAAATCCTTACAGCCTTCCTGTTGCATAGCAGGAACATTACGTTAATCTGTACCAAAATCTTTAAAAATGCTCAGCTCAGTTACCATATTTGGAAACTTCCTGATGAGAAGAAACTGCAGAAGGTGATTTTTTTTTTTAAGGCAGGAGAGCTGGGCCTTTGAGATGGTTACCCAGCACATTTATCATGGAAGGAGAAATGATATTTATATATTTCTTGGTACTGATCTGAAAATCTGAAATCCAAAATTCTCCAAAATGGGATGCTCAACTGGCAAAGCTTATGGAGTATTCCAAAATCCCTAAAACTTCCAAATCCAGGATACTTTTGGTCCTAAGCATTTTGATTAAGGAACACAACCTATCTCTCATCTAAGGCAGAAGTTCTCAAACTCTCGTGCACATAACAGTACATTGGGAGGTAGGGTTCAAATGAAGATCTTTGGACCTCCTCCCAATCTACCAAGTCCAAATTCCTAGAGGTGGGGCCCAATAACATCCATTTAAAAAATCTGTCCCCACTCTGCCACTTACCTTATGGGAAGCTCCATGTGGCTCCAGATGGTGGTCTTGAGAATGAATGCATTTTGTAGGAGGCAGCAGGTTGGCTGTGAGTTCAGCCTCTATCTGGAACTTAAGGTTCCTCATTGAATTCTGCACTGTCTCCAGAAAGGGACCCCATATTGGACTGCTACTGACAGATGCTATAGGAGGACACAGAAGCAGAAAAGGCAGAGTATCCAGAAGTCATTTTTTCCCCAACATTGGGGATTGAACCCAGGGCTCCACACACATAGGCAAGCAAGTACTCTACTGTTCAGCCACAAGTGCTACTGTGTGGAGTCACATGAAAAGTTTGAGACAGATAAACCAACCCAAATCCAGGCTTGTACCAAATGCGATTTGAGTAGTAAATACAGTTTCAAGGGCAGAGAAAGTTGACTTTCACAGCATCTGAATCTACTTTTCAGGCGTCTTAAGAGGAATCAGATGATCCTGGCCAACACCTTATTCCAATGTGTTTGTTATCACCCCGAAGAGTTCCAGATCATCACTAGTGGGGCAGACAGAAAGGTGAGCACAGCAGGCTTTCCATATCTGCGGGTTCCACACCCACACATTCAAATCAGCTCTGAAGGACAAAAGTATTTTGGAAAAAAGTTTGCACTTTTACTGAACATGTACAGACTTCTTTTCCCTATACCATTGTTCCAGACAATGTATTATAACAGAGCATTTACATTGTATTAGGTGTTATAAATAATCTAGAGATTATTTCAAATATACAAGATGCCGGGCACAGTGGTGCACACCTGTAATCCCAGCACTTGGGAGGCTGAGGCAAGAGGATCGCCCATGAGTTGAAGGCCGGCCTGGGCTCCATAGTGAGTTCAAGGCCAGCCTGAACTACATAGTAAGACCCTGTCTAAAAAAAAAAAAATACAGGAGGATGTGCATAGGTTCTATGCAAATACTATACCATATCATATAAGGGACTTGAGTATTTGTGGATTTTCATAGCCTTGGAGGGCCCTGGAACATATCACTCTGGCTGATACCCATGCATGACTATGACTATATATTTAAAGACCCCCCCCCCATCTAGTTCTCATTCCCTGCAGGGATCAAGGTTTTCAGTCTGGCTTTAAGCCCCACCCTGTGGGGTTTAAAGCAATATTTTATTGCTTTGTGGCAGAAGGGGAAGTTGGGACTAAGGGTGGGTCAGAGAAGAGGGAGAGTCCTTCTGGAGTGGGGTTTGTGACTGTGTAGGCCCAGTCTCTAGAATCCTCAGTAGAGTCCTTCCTCACCCCTCAACCCCCACCACAGAGAAGGAACTTTTTCTCCCACAAGGCTGGTAGCTTTGCTATCCTCCTCTAAGAGCAGAAGCAGAGGCTGCTCTCTTGTTTATTTTACATCTTGCTGTAGACTCAATCTGCTTAGTCTTATCAAAAGCTCTTTCTGTCCCAATGCAGGTTTATCAGCATATCAACATCTCTTTAAATAGTATGCAAATTTAAAAACCAATACTAAAAATATTAGGATGGGTTCTCCACCCCCTACTGTAGCCTATTTATAATTTCAAGCCAATACCCTCCCATGATGTATTTTTGCTACCTTCTATATAAAGTGGAAACATTTTTTGTTCGCATGTGCGTGGATGATTCCACTGAGCCGAATCCTGCCTAATGTCTCTTTCTGGAATTTCAGATTGCTTACTGGGAAGTATTTGATGGGTCAGTCATCCGAGAGTTGGAAGGTGCCTTGTCTGGGTCAGTAAATGGTATGGATATCACACAGGAGGGAGCGCACTTTGTCACAGGTCAGTCTGGGATAAGAAAAGAAAATTAATTGTGGCTTATTTAGGTAGGAGGCCGTTAGAAGATCTGGCAGAAGGTGTTAAGGGGGATTCAGAGCTCAGCAGGACAGCCAGTGTGGCTGGAAAAGAAAAATCCTAAAGTCACATTTCAGTGAGAGGAAATGTCTGCATAGGCACCATAGGGTCACAAATAAAAGCTAAGCCTTATGCTGCTTTTTTTGTGGTGGCCATTTGATGATAGAAATGGGCCTTTAAATGCCCTTGGCCAGTGATGGTGAACCTTTTAGAGTTTTCAATGATACAAACAGCCCTCTGTGACACTTGTGCCATAGGTTCATCACCACTGTCCTAGGCTGTCCAATACCTTTCCATACTGTTTTCTACTGAAGTCCTATACACTATTTTTTTTTCTAGTACTAGGAAAAAAACCCAGGGCCTTCTCAATGAGCTACATCCCAAGCCCTTTTAAAATTTTTTATTTTGACCCAGGGTTTTGTTAAGTCATCAAGTTGCCCAACTGGAGTCAACTTAATACCCTTCTCCCTCAGCTTCCCAGAGTGCTGGGGTTACATGTGTACACCACCATGCCCAGCCCAAGCAGTCTTTTTCATTTCCTTTCATTGTTGAATGATATGGTGCCTTCCCCCAAGTAAATGAATTGACTAGTATTCCCGGGGGACATTTATCACAGAACGTGTCAACTGGAACAACATCACTTAATTAAAGTTTCACAAACACATTGACTAGAAGCAAGAACTGAACACAGAGTGATCCCAATCACACATCCAGATATGTGTGTGTATACCCATACACCTCTAGAGAAGACTGCAAAGAACTGAACCAAAATGCTGTCAGCTGGTAGGATAAAGGATGATTTCACCTCTTTGTATATCCTCCCCCTCCAAATTTATTGCAACATGATTTTTATAACCAAGCAAAAGCATTATATATAGATTTTTCTTTAAATTGGCACATGAGGAATTGTTGAAAATGATCTGGTTATTTGAAACCAGAGCTGGTTCTATTCTATTGCAGCAGTGCCATGTAACTGTGTTTTTCAGGTGGAAACGACCATCTGGTCAAAGTTTGGGATTACAACGAGGGTGAAGTGACTCATGTTGGGATGGGACATAGTGGCAATATCACTCGTGTCCGGATAAGTCCCGGAAATAAGTACATCATTAGCGTAAGTGCTGATGGGGCCATTCTTCGATGGAAGTACCCCTATGCCTCTTGAAGCCACCAGGACCTCACCAGCCTCTGCCCTGTGTGCAGTCCTGAAGGCTGAGTTTGGATATTTCAACACTAGTCTTGATTTCTTATCTCTCAGGTTTTGCTCTTTAGTCAAAACATTTTATCTCTAAGTTTCTCCTTTCTAGAATGCATCTTGCATTCTTAAACCGTACCTTAATATTGAAATGTTCAAAAATAATTTGCCCAGACTGTAATTTTAAGGGGTTTTAAAAAATTATGAATAAATTCCCAGTTGTTGGCTTCCTGTCATAATCTCTTTTCTGTGACTCTGCGAAACCCACAGACTTTCTGTATAAGTCCACAGATACAGCATTGTTATCTTCCAAAAATGAGGTGAAGTGAATTTCCCTTCTGAATCATCTTTTCCCTAATCAAGCTGTATGGAGCAAGACAGGTTTGAACCCAGATCTCGGGCAAGCTTCTAAAAAACTCTCAGCTCTAGTTTTCTCTTTTGTCAAGTGCGAATAACTTCCTCTCTGTGAATTCGAGGCCTGCCTGGACTCCATAATGAGTTCAAGGCCAACCTGAACTATGTAAGCAAGACCCTGTCTCAAGAAACAAAATAAAACAAAACAATTCCTCTCAAAAGGTTATTGTGAGAACTGAGTGAAATATTGTTAAAAAAATCAGAATTCCTTCCACAGAGGGTTAAACTTGTGTGCTTTCTCAAACAAATTGCATGTTGTGGCATCTTGAGATTTTCAAAGATGAACTTACAGAGATGTTGGATTTGGTCATAAACTCTTTGTCCAGTGCTCACCGCCAGAAGGCAATGAGATGGACCTTGTGTACTAATTATTCAATAGGGTATCTTTTCCCAGGGAATGTAGATGGTAGTATTTTCCAAAAACATTTCAAGTCTCCAGGTCACAGTACATTCTTGTGTTCTAGGCATATTCTTTAACCTTTAACTAAGGCTACTCTCTCGTGGATCAGGTAATTGCTGAGACCCGGTTTGAAAGATCAAGGAGGATATTTAATAAATGACTATCACTTATTTATTAAATAAGTCACATTTCAGAGAGCTGAGGTAATACTACATCTTGCTGATCTCTTTCTGAGAGAGAAACTGATAAGAAATTCATTTTGCAAGACGGCTGCCTGGTTAATTATGAACCCGACAGTTAAGGAATAAAGTGAGCAGAGGCCCCCCGGGTTACCCAAGGAATCAAGGGCGGGGCGGGGCCGAACTAGTTCTGATTGGGCCACCATTCAGCCAGGATTTTGCGTCGAGGCTTGAACAAGCCAAGGGTTAGGGGGCGCGCCTGAGAGCTGGAAAACTTCCTGCTGAGCAAGTACTGAGCTTGGAAGAGGCCTGTGCCGAGCATGGAGCGGAGCCGGCTCCAGTTCCGGTTTCTCTGCGTGCGGGTCCGATGGCCTCTCTACATGGTTTGAGCCCGAGCCCACCTTTCCACTTAAAGTGAAGATGATCAGGTCTTGCAAGTTTTTGGAGAATGACTCTAACCTCGCCTGTAATTAAAAACAAACAAATAAACAAACAAGCAAACCCACAACTCTGTTTCTTCACAGAACAACACGCTGCACTCAGTTCAGGTCCCCATACAGCTTCGAGGAGGTGGCGCGCCGATTGGCGCCCACCCGAGCGCGGGAAGAACGCGCGGCAGAAAGGCGCTGCCCACCCTTCGAAGCTCCCAGCGCGCGCCTCTCCACACCCGATCTGCCCTTGGGAGACTGTCCCTTTCCTCTGTCTTCGCCTGGGCGTAATTACAAGAAACTTGGCACTAGCCTAGGTTTTGCAATTTCCTAGGCGCTTTCGGATTTTCCGTTCCTGTTATTTCCGCGGCTTGAAGGATGGGAGGGGAACAGGAGCAGAGGTAAAATCCAGGCCCGCTGGTTTACAAGAAGCGAGGAAGGGTGGGGAGTTCGAGTGCGACAGCTCCGGGGGCTTTTCTCCCGCTCGGGTTTGGGAGGGTCCCCGGGTGGCCGGATTCCCGCGCGGGGCGGGGCGGGGCGGGGCGCACCCGCCCTCGGCTCCGCCCTCGTCCGTCCCCGCACACCTGGTCCGCAGGTAGCCGGTGCCGGCGGCCTCTCGGAGCTGGAAGGGCCTGGGAGCGGCGCTCGCGCTCGTCCCAGGCCCCGGGGGCTGCGCTGTGGGAGCAGCGCCGGCGGGAGCTATGGAGCCGGGCCTGGGGGACGCGGCGGGAGAGGGGCGGCCCGCGCCCCGGCCCCGCCGCCGCCGCTCCCTGCGCCGCCTGCTTCACCGCTTCCTGCTGGCGCTGGGCAGCCGCTCTCGCCCTAGGGACTCTCCGCCCCGGCCCCAGCCCCACGCCCAGCCCGGACACTGCGATGGCGACGGCGAGGGGGGCTTTGCCTGCGCCCCGGGCCCGGCTCCAGCGGCCCCCGGGAGCCCCGGAGCGGAGCGACCCCCCGCGCCCCAGCTCCAGCTCCCCGCGGGCAACGGGGCGCGGCCGCCGGGCGCTCAGGGTTTGAAGAACCACGGTAACACCTGCTTCATGAACGCCGTGGTGCAGTGCCTCAGCAACACCGATCTGCTGGCCGAGTTCCTGGCGCTCGGGCGCTACCGGGCGGCGCCGGGCCGCGCCGAGGTCACCCAGCAGCTGGCGGCGCTGGTGCGCGCGCTCTGGACCCGCGAGTACACGCCCCAACTTTCCGCCGAGTTCAAGGTAGGTGGCGCGCAGCGCTCCCTTCTGCTTTCGCTTCTCGGAAAGTGTGTGCACCTCCGGGAAAGGGTTTTCTTGGGGTCCTCCGTGGATGGCCATTTACCACGGCAGCCTCGGGATACTGCTTTTGTTTCGAAGCGAGGCGTCACGTTTAACTGGTGTACTTAATCAATTAATTTCTCCCGGTTATTTTGAGCAGGAGCGGAGAAAGCTGACAGGTTTAGTGTGTACCAGACCTGTAACTCCGGGGTTGGTTACAGCTTCCAGTCTGAAAGGTTAGAGGTGGGGAATCGATGGAGGTCTCAGGGAAAGGAGGGGATACTCGCGTTTTGAAGACTGAGAGAGACGCAGCGGAGCCCAAATCTAGGAATAATCCAGGCAGAGGGACCCGGTGTAGGCCCTAAGGAGCTGAGACACATGAACAGAAAACCAGTGTCGCTGGAGGTCAGGAGGTAGACGAGCGTCAGGAGATCAGGACGACCTGTGGGCAGTGGTAAAGACTGGATTTTAGTATATATGCTGCTGAAGCGAGCATAGTAAAGACTGGATTTTATTTTAAGCCCAATGGGCGCTGAGAACCGGTGGGATAGGTCCTGTGCTGAATGCCAGAGAAAAGGCAGTGGGTGTGCTATTTTGGAGATGTCAAACTTTTTTTTTTTTTTAAGACAGAATCTTGCTTTGTAGTTCAGGTTGCCCTTGAACTCATTATGTAGCCAGGCTGACCTCAAACTCTTGGCAATTCTCCTGTCTCGGCCTCCTGAGTGCTAGGATTACAGGCATGCGCCACCACACCCAGCTATTATTTTGTTTAATGCACAGTAAATCCCCTGCAATGTTTTGGCATGGGTTGAACATTTATTGTCTGCAAGATCGTGGTCCAGTTGCTCAGGGTGCTGGGAGTTCCTGAGACTTGGTGAATTGTGTGTATCACTTCACCTGGGGTTAACGTGGAGTGTGGATTTGAGGGTCCTCATTGGATTAAAGAGTTCCTGATAATTGATGCCCATGGCTTGCTTCCTGCTAAAAACTGCAGCTCTGGGCAGAGAGCTGAAGCTCCTCACAGAATAGTGATTGTTGTTCTTGGGGGAGGGGAACCTGTCCGTGTTCATTCCACAAGCATCACTGCTCTTGAGTTTCAGCCCCAGAAGGCGGTCTTGGCCATGTGACCTGCAAGGATGCCAACCTCCACCTTCTTTCCCCCTGCTTCAGTTAGTGAAGAAGCCCTGTTCTGCAGCTGTCACTGTTTTTGGCAATAGTTGCTTTTTAAATATGAGAGGCAGTATATATTGGTTAAGAGCAAAGTGGCCGAGACTTTGTGACCTTGAGCAAGTTACCATATTTCTTTGTGCCTCGATTTCTCTCATCTGTGAAATGGGGACACACCAGTACATACATTATTATAGGGTTGGTGTGAGAATTTAAAACACTGCCTGGCCCCTGGGAAGTATTCATTATTCTAAAATTACACCCCCTGACCTCCAGAGACTTAGGAGGAAGGTAATCTTTGAGTAAGTTTTCCCTTGCCTTATGGATTCCCACCCAGTTAGAGCAGTGACAAGAGAGATGGAGTAGTTTGGAAAAAACTCAAATTAGTAATCGTCTTCAGTGACTCAGTATGATTTTCTCTCTCTCTCTCCGGCTGTCAAATACACAGGGCCTGGGATTCCCCAGTGAGCCTTGGGGAATTAAGGATAATTGTTAATATGTTAATAAGAGAGATGTAATCTGGGGGGTTTTCTGGGACTTTCAGGTAACTGGCCTTGGAGGGTTGAATATTGGATTCCAGAGTCAGGGCCTTTATGCATTAGGAATTGAAATCTAGGTGTGCTTATTTTATTTATTTATTTATTTATTTATTTATGGCTTTTAAAATTTTACTAATGATGAAACATTCATTCCACACATATTCATTGAACGTCTAGACATGCTATTGGAAACACAAAATGTGTGGTGAGGAATGGGCACAAACCCAGGTCCTGTAGCTGCTCTCCAGAAGTTCACTACATGTAGAGTGAGAAATGGATGTTAAGGAAATGGTCACACAAGCTCATGATTAGAACTGGTGGCATGGTAGGAGGGAAAAACACAAGGTGTTGTGACAGGTGTGGCAGGAGGGTGTGATGGGGGGAGCAAGGTAAGCTTTCTCAGAGCGGTAACCCACCCCTCAGTGGGGTTTTGAAGGATGAGAGGTGTCAACTAAAGCTAGGAAAGTGCATTCCAGCCCTGGGAATGGAAGCTGCTAACCCCGGAGTGGGGCAGGGCTGTGTCCCTCTGCCAAGTGAGTTAATAAAATTCTATGTTTTATCAAAACTGGAGAAAGAGAGTCAGGGGAGTTCGCTTGCTAAGGAAATGTAAAGGACTTTAAGATGGCTGCAGTGTGGGTGAGTTTGTGGTAACTCTCCTTCCCGAGTGCAGGCCACCTCAGCCTCCCACTGACGGTAGGACCACTCTGTTTCAAACACAGCAAATGAATTAAATGCATTAAAACACTTCTCCCTACAATATTGTACATTATTCCATGCTTTCCCAATGATATAGTTAAATATACGTATTGAATAAAATTGGAAAGTGTACAAAAAAGATCTGTAATTCCACCCCCTAGAGAGAACCATCATAAGCATATTAATTGGAGGGCCAGGGATTTAGCTCAGTGGTTCCACCACCTGCCTTGAAAGTGCAAGGACCTGAGTTTGATCCCTGGTACCAAAAAAAAAAAAAGTATATACAATTGGAAATTCTAGTTTTGTATTTTGTTTTTTTTCATATAAGTATTGTCATAAGAATTTCTCCTGGTCACCAAAATAGTCTACAAAACTTGATTATTATTATTACTCTTTTTTGAGGTGCTGGGAGGACCCAGGGCCTCAGGAATGCTAGGTAAATACTCTACCACTGAGCTGCAACCCCTAGACTACAAATCTTGATTTTTTTTTTTTGGTACTGGGGATCAAACTTGGGCCCTTGCACTTGTGACAAAACTTGATTTTTAATGATTGTATATAGCATTAAATAAATCAGTCCCCTATGGCTATATTGATGTACTACTGTAAGGCTTTCCAATGATCACACTGTATTGATATTTCTCCTGTTTAAATCCTTGTCCTCAGCTCTGTTCATTTTCACAAACTTAATTTCTACAAGTGCAATTACACAGTCTAAGCAAATATATGACTTTTTAATCTGTTTTTACTTTTAAAATCAACTTTATTGATATATAAATTAAATACAGTGATGTGTACTCATTTTAAGTGTAGAATTTCATGACTTTTAACAAATGGCTGTACCTGTGTAACCAATTTAAATCAACTTTATTGGGTTTTATTATTTTTACCACCCATATTGACATTTTTTTTTTCCAAAAAATGTTTTTGGATACATCAGTATGGTATATTTTCTTGGATCTTGACTATTCCTCCCATCAGTTTTTCTCCCAGCTTTATGAAGATTGTAATTGACAAATAAAAACTGTATATAGTATATGTGATCATGTTTTATATACATTTACATGGTAAAATGATTGATTCAAGCCAAGTAACATGTCCAGTAACTTACATACTTAGGATTTCTTTGTGGTGACAACATTTAAGATCTATTCTCTTTGTAATTTTCAAGTATATAATACATTATTATTACATGACACATATTTTCTATACAGTAACTGTATTCCTTTTTTTTTCCTTTCTTTTTTGTTTTTTGATACTGGGGATCGAACTCAGGTCCTTGCGCTTGCACAGCAGGTGGTGAAACCACTGAGGTAAAGCCCCGGACCACATTAGTATTACTTATAATCACTCTGCTACATAATAATTCTCCACTACTTAGTAATTTGTCAAACAAAAAGAAATAACATCTTGTTTTTATTTTCATTTCTTTGTTTAGGAGCAAGGTGGAAGAATTTCCATGTTCCTTGACTATTTTGTTCTTGGAATTGTCTCTTTATGTTGTATGTGTATCCACCTCCTTTATCTTAATGTTCTTTTCATAAGGTTCTTCAACCCTTGCCGTATTTGCTACAAATATTTTCTCTGAATGATCTCCTTCTACCCTCTAACCCAACATTGTAAGCTTTAGATTTATTTATGTTATACCTTTTGATAAATATTCTATTTTGCATACTTCTAGCTTTTCTGCAGTTATATTAAGGACTTAAGCCATCTGGAACTTAGCTTATGTGCTTAAAATCAATTTTAGATCTACAGTGATGTACTAGAGGCATTGCTTTTTTAAAAAGGATTCCTTCATCACTCTTAGTTTTACAAGTTCTGAACAATAGGAAGATGTAAAATGGAAATGTAATAAAAATATCAAACAAAGAAAATTGCTAAATGATTCTAGAAATCCACACTTTAGAATTATTGCTCATAGGTGTTGGGGAAGTGGGAGAGGTAGGGGAAAGGAAAAAATATGAGAAAATGAAAAAATGGAAACAGAATCTTTGTAAATAGGGAAGGGTGGCAGGGTCGAAGGGAGGACAGGGAAATGGGGAAAAAGTAAGAACCAAGATACATCATGTAAAGGTACAAGCTCCCAATGATAAATTTAAATGTATTGTATACCTAAAATGTACCAATGAAAGAGTTTAAGGGAAAAAGAAAAGAATTATTGCTCATATTCATGAGGTCAGATATAAGACAGGAAGTCAAAAGCAGTAACAATTTGGAATATGTAAAAATTAGATTTCACTCATCAAAACAACCAGAAATATGAACAACTAAATATTTTTAATAAGAAATATGTTAAAAGTTATCAGTGTTGGAGTGAAAAGCACGTGTCCTGGCCCCTGCCTTTGCAGGGTCCCTTTGTCAGGCATGAGCAGAGACCAGACTTGAGCCTGGGTTGAGGCTGGAGGCTTGGCCCTGCTGTCTCAGAGGACACAGCCACGGTGCACTGGTGCACACACATATACACACACAGATGGGGATGTGCTTACATTTGGTTGCTTGTGTTCTTGCACACACATAGCAAAAGTCCCTGGAAAGATGCAAAGGAATGGCTGAGGCTGGCCATGTATTGGGAAGGGACCAAAGTGGGGTGGAGACTGGGCAGAACAAAGACTTTATTATTGTTCTTTCTTATATTTTGAATTCTTTTAAAAAGTAGCATGTACATACATTACCCTTTGAAATAAGCTTTTCAAAAGCTAGAATATGCATTTACTTAAAAGATGACCAAGTTGTTATACAATTTAATGAAAGGACAGTACAAAAAGTGCAGGGGACCACAAGGGCAGGGAGTCTTGTCTGTTTTGAGACGGGGTCTTTCTATGTAGTTCAGGCTGGATTGGACGCACTATGTATATCCCAGGCTGGCCTTAAAGTTGTGGTGATCTTCCTGCCTCAGCCTCCCTCCCTGGTGCTGGGATTACAGGTATGCACCACCAACCTTAGCTTGTTTCTTCATTGTTGTACCCCAGTCCCTACATGTAGGATTGGCTGGCCCATTTCATGATCAAGAATTTTATATTCTTAAATTTTCAACCATATCTGAAAGGGGTGGGAAAGGAGCTACATACATTGTGTTTTAAGAAGTTAGCTTTGCAGCAAGAGTGGTCATTGCCAGAGGATGGAAGCCATGGTGTAAGTGGAATTAGTGAGGGAGAGAGTAGGTTGTGAAAACTCTGCACTGCTGTGGGTTGACTGGAGAGAGAGAGCGGGGGTGGGGGGGTAGGGGGGATGGATGGCGGGGAGGCTACTGCAGTGTGGGAGGAGCTTCAAGGAGAACAGATGGTCACCAGCATAGACGTGTTCAGCAGACAGCCCCGTGGACTTTGAAGGGATAGGGCGTATTAGTAGATCTTCTGTAAGAAAGGGGGTCATCCTACACCAAGCATGCTCAGACCATTTGGGAGCAGGTCATCAGCAGGAAAGAGCATTTCTACCCCAGGATACTTGTGCATTGTCAACCCTTGTGATGATTACTTGGTAGCTTAGTGCCTGTAGGACTTGGGTTCTTGCGTTTGTATGCAGGGCCCAAATGACCTCTGTTTTTCTTTATTTCCTTTCAGAATGCTGTTTCCAAGTATGGCTCCCAGTTCCAAGGCAATTCCCAACATGACGCCCTGGAATTCCTGCTCTGGTTACTGGACCGTGTCCACGAGGACTTGGAGGGCTCTTCCCGAGGGCTGGTCGGTCACTCTCAGAACAATGCATTGTACTGAATTTTCTGGTTTTGTTTTTTCCCTTTGAATATTTACTCAACTCCTTAAATTCCTGGATATTCTGGCTACTGTCTACAGAGAGTGTTCTCTGCTTCCTTCTTTTAGCTCTTGTTTCTTTTAGACAAGGCATTTCCTCCCACTGCAGTATTTCTCATCCTCTGTAACCCCAGTGAGATAGTGAATAGGGCTCAGATTTTGAGAAAAAAAATGTGCCTTTCTGTCTGTAGTCTTTGCATTAGTCTGGCCATCTGAGGCCATGAGGGCCATTCCTTATTATTTCCGGATGGCGTCATTTCAACTCTACTGTTGCTTTTTCCGTTAGGTACCCCACAGAGCAGCAATTCCTAACCTTTTCTCTCAATTCCCAGGATGGATGATTTTTACATTGTGCATTTAGAATTTCTGGTTTTGATGAAACTCCAGACCTTTGGAAAGAGGCAAGCATTACAAAAATCTGTAATGGCCACAGTTAGTTGATACATCAGCTATTTTCTTTATGGACTTTGCTAAATAAAGATCAATAATGGCCTATGCTTTAATATGACCCCTTTATCTCCCACTTAAGAAAGTAGAAGTGAATGAAGTTATTATATCATGAGTGAGCAGTTATTATAACAATATCTGTGAATAACCTGCTGTAATTTTTTTTTTCTGGTACTGGGTATCAATCTCAGGACCTTTCACTTGCCAGGCAGGTGTGACACCACTGAGCTACATCCCCAGCCCGACCTGCTGTAATTTAGAAAAGTGTTTCATAAGCTTTGGTAACTAATCAGTAACACATTCCTTTTGATGTATCTCATGATTGATCCAGGTATAGTGCCAAGAACTGTTTCATCATTCTTTTCTTTTGGTTTCTTTGAGACAGGGTCTGTAGTTCAGGCTGGCCTTGAACTTGTGGTAATCCTCCTGCCTCAGCCTCCCGTACTGCTAGTGCTAGCATCATAGGTGTGCACTACCATGCCTGGTTGCTTTATCATTCTGTTGTTGTTTTAAATCAGGACACTTGAGCCAATCCCTCTCATGAATAAACTGAAAAACCCTTGGAAAGTAGTTAGGTCTCTCAACCATTACCCTCCCTGCTCTTCATGATTTTCTTGGAGCCCATCATTGAGATTAATAGAGAAGGAATGTTTCCAGAAGCTCAGCCTTTTGTTCTTTTTTGAATTTGTTGACATAACTGACTGTTCTCTTTCTGATTCTGTTTTATTTTATGGTTTTCTTGAGACAGGATCTTGCTATGTATTTCAGGCTGGCCTTGAACTCACTAGGTAGTCTAGGCTGGCCTCAAACTTGTGGTGATTCTCTTGCCTCAGCCTCCCAAGTCACTCTTTTTTTTGGGGGGGTGTTGTCTTTCTCTCTCTCTCTCTTTTTTTTCCTTCCTTCCTTCCTTCCTTCCTTCCTTCCTTCCTTCCTTCCTTCCTTCCTTTCTTCCTTTCTTTCTTTCTTTCGAGACAGGGCCTTTGTATACAGTTTAGGCTGGCTTCAAACTTGAAGCGATCCCCCTGCCTCAGCTTGCTGAGTCATTACAGGTATCCACCGCCATGCCCAGCTTTTCTGTTTTAAAATGTCAATGTGGAACTTTAGGAAAAGAAGCCCATGACCATATATGTCCCATATATCAGAGAGGCTGGGTAAACTTGAAACTGCACAGGTAAGAGAAGGGGCAGAGTCAGGATTCTAGCCTATTTTTTAGTTTTGAAAAGGGTTACCTCAGTGAACCCCAAAATGCACAGAAACAAAGCCAGTGATCACCGCAACAAAACCTGGGAGAAACAGGCACTCCATGGTTATGGGGGTTTCTCTGGGTTGTGTGTGCTGCCATGCTTGGCTGCTTTATCATTCTGTTGTTGTTTTTCTTTTATTAACAGTGATTTTCCTTGCTAGGCGACGCTGAGGCAGGAGGATTGCCATGGGTACGAGGCCAGCCTGGGTTACATAGTGAGTTCAAGGCCAGCCTTGACAGAGCAAGACACTGTCTCAGAAAACCTAAAACAACAAACAAACAAAGAAACAAACCATAGTGATTTTCTGTCAGTCTTATCCAGACCCTTTTAGTTGACAGAAATTTAATTTGATCCAATTTTTTTGGATCCAGTTTAGGGGAAAGGCAGCTATTGGCTTCTATACTCTGTAAGTCCAAGGATTGAAGAAGCATCAGGTAGGGCTGGATGCAAGAGCTCAACTATTTCCAGGCCCTTTCCTGTGTCTGGCCTCATTCTCACACTGGCTCTCCTACATGGCAGCGAGGGGTGCTTCTCATTGTCTCTCTTTAGATCCTGCCATTCTAGAAAAATCCCAGGGCAGAGTTTGATAATCCTAGCTTGGTTCACAGGTCCATTTCTGAGCATGTGGCCAGAAGAATGGGATATTCTTACTGGGCAACATGGTCACAGGCCTGTGGGATGAACATGGGCTAAGAAGGACTTTGTAGAGCCAGCACCACTTGCTTCCCCAAGGAATAGAGTATTGAGCAGGTAAATGTAGGTCCACTATACTGTGTACTCCACACATTTAAGAGAACACATTTTGAAATTAAAAACGTTCGGATACTGTTTAGTGAATGTTTCTTGTGTGCCAAGCATCTAGCTTGGTGCTTTTCATGACTCATTTTATTCCCTGGAACATGGCAGACACTTGATAGACTCTTGAATTAATAGTCATCATGCTGTAATATTTATGAGGACAGCTCTTGTTCTGTAGTTAAGGGAGATTTCAGTTAAGTAAGTTGTTGAGAGTGAATCATCCTCTACTGGGTGGAAATAGAACCAACCAAACCTGGGCCTGTCTGCTCCAAATCCAGTGTGCTGGGTGCCCTTACGAGTGATTCATGTCGTCTTAGTCACCCACTGAGGGAGAGGGGACTTAGGGACAGGTGGTCCTGCTCATGTTGCTGTATAGGAAAGGCCTCTTGCACTGTTTTCCCCTTCCCCTCTCCCTGACTATACCAGGGACTTCCTCGTACCTGGAAAGTAGGTGGACAGACAGCTGCATTAGCTTCCCATGACTATAATAAAATACCTAAGATCATTAGAAAGAGGAAAGGTTTATGTTGGCTCACAGTTTTGGAGGTTTTGGTCTGTGGTTGGATGGATCCATTGCTTTTGGGCTTTTGGCAAGGCAGAACATTGTAGCCCAGAGCCCAGGATGGAATGAGCTGCTCATGTCATGGCAGCTGGAAAGAAGAAAGAATAGCAAGTAGCTGTGTCCCTGCAGTCGCCTTTGAGGGGACACCCTTGTGACCAAAGATCTCTACCAGGCCCCACCTCCATCCCTAACAGCACCAAGCTGGGACAAAATCTTTCACATGTGGGACTTTGGAAACATTCTAGGTCCAAACATTGATCTTCCAACTTGCCTTTGGTTTTCCCCTTCAGTCCCTTGGTAACAGGAAAAGTCATTGAGCTTAAGAATGGGAAAGATCACAGAGAGGTTAAGTAACTTGGCCCAAGCCACACAGTTATTAAATGGGAGAGCCAGGACCCAATCTAAAAATGCAACTCTATACCAGGCTTTCTTAATCTCAATACTTTTGCAGAATGAGGGGTTTTTTTGGTACCAGGGATCGAACTCTGGTCTTTGCGCTTGTGCAGCAGGCGGCGAAACCACTGAGCTAAATCCCCGGCCCATAATCTCAATACTTTGGACTCTTTTTTTTGGTATGTTTGTTTTTGTTTTATAGATAGGGCCTCACTATGTAGTCCAGGCTGGCTTCAATCTCATGATTCTCCTGCCTCAGCCTCCCAAATCCAGGGATTACTGGTGTAAACCATCATGCCTGGTCCACTTTTGACATTTTGAGTAGATAATTCTTTGTTGGCTGCCTTGACTATTGTAGCATCTTCCCCTCTACATGTAGATGCCAGGGGCTATCAACAGTTGTGATAATAAAAAAAAAAGGTCTCCAGACATTGCCAAATGACCCTGATGGACAAAACCACCCTCAATCGCAAAGCACTGCCCTAGAACCTTTGTTCCTAACTGCAGTGTACCACCCCCCAGCCTTCCTGTAAGATAACCTTCAGATTATTTAAGCCAAGAGGGCCTGCCAGTAATTCTTTTTTCATAACTTCAGTAAGAAGTGAAAGCAGCCATAAATGGTCTCCCAACTTCCTTCTTTTTTTATTCAAAGTAGTACTGGGGTTTGAACCCAGGGCCTTGTCTCTGTAGGCAAATGCTGTACCACTGGTCCACATCTCCAGGCAGCCACTACAGTGTTCTCCACTGCGCAGCCAGATCTCTTCAGAAAGAACATCAGATTGTCATGCTCCTTCCTACATTGCATCAGTGGCTTCCTGTCACACTGAGAACAAAATCTAGACTCTTATGTTGTTGACAAGGCCCTACCCGACTGGTCCTGCCAATCAATCCCTGACCCCTTGCCCCTCTGACTCACTATCCTTGGCACCCAAGCTGCTTCCTGTCCCTTACTGGGCCCAGCCTCGGGGTATGGCATTCCGCAGGATGCCCATGGTATGGCTGTTGGCCAGAAACAGAAGCTTATGCAGCCCTTACTTGGACCCAAAGAAGGCAGGAACCATCTTTTTTCTCTGTCTTGGGGTTAGGTCAAAATCTGTGCTGAAGTTTGCACTCAGAAAATCCGGCTGCCTGTGGAGGCCTGCCTGCGTGCACTTGAAGGTAGAGAGCAGAGCTGTCGCGATTATTCGGCATGAAATTTTATTTTCCGTTTCCAAGATGGAAAGTTGCTGTCCTCTCATAACTCCAAATGATTTTTCATTTTGAAGTTATTTTTGTTTTGAGGACATAGGAAAGCCATATAGCTAGATTTATTTGTAACTGGAATAGAAAACATGAGGACTACTTTCTTTTCCATTACTTTAATGATGCTCAAATGTTTTCATCCTGCAAAAAGGGTATATTTTTACTACCCTATAAACACCAACACATAAGCAATCTTGTGGCAGTTTGTTTTCCAGAGAATGCCACTCTTGCAGAATACAGGAGGAGGATGAAGCTGGGCAGAGGACCAACAAGCAAGCTTGTATTAAGCACATACTGTGGGCCAGGCAAAAGGTAGATGGCATCTCTTGATTTGTACAGTTGCTCCATGATGTTGAGGGACTATTATTTCTTTTAGGCATAAGATGGAGCTTTAAGGATATTCCAGGGTCACTGAGCTAGCAGAGTGGAGCTGTTCATCTGACCTCTAGTCAGTCGTGGTGACTTCCTCCTTCCTGTCACCCCGGCCTTGTTCAGGTTTTTCTTTTTGTACCTCATCCCTGTTTGATCCCTTCCACAGTGGCTGCCAGTTTCTCATATTGTTACCTTGATGCAGAAGCCTCCTATGTCATTTTGAGTTCTTTGGTTGCAAGTGACAGAGCCAACCTAAGATGACTCCAAAAGGACACGTAAGAGAAGACCAGGGAGGAGCACGTGGATTAGAGAAACTAAAGAGTCAGGCCCTCTGGGAGAGGGAGGAGTCCCAGAGGCATGACACAAAGCTCTCTGGCATGGATGTGACTGCTGGAATCAGTGTTTCACCTTTGGGTCACTCTGCTCATGGTCCACATTCAGGGCAGGAACATTTCATCAGTGTGATATGGGTCAAAGACTTGCATCCTGGTAGGGGTGGGCAGGAACCCTGGTGAAAGAGCCCTCCCCACCCAGGAATGGATTCAGGGGCTCCACTGGGGTGCTCTCACTATAGAGGAGGAGTGAGTCCTGGCAGCCAGAGTATCCCCATGTCTACTGTATGTCCACGTTCACTCCTCAAGTTCACACCTTTACCTATTTGTAGTTAGATGTCTCTGCCTGGATGTCATCAAGTCACCCTCAAAGTTGGCATGTCCTTCTGAAGCCCACTTCTTCCTTTGACTCTTCCATTTCTGTTGATGGAACTGGTATTGGTGTCAGATTGGAACCTTGGAGTCTAAGGTCATGTTTATCCCTTCCTTTCTTCATCCTGTCTGCTTTCTGGTCAGGTGCAGAGCTATGAGCTATTCACAAAGGTGTCTTGAATCCAATCCTTCTTTCATCTTCATGACTTCTCCTCTAGGTACCTTGTTGTTACCTGGACCCTTACCCTCCTTTAACTGTATTCTATCTTCTAGACTTATTTCCTTCAGTGGGAATCGCTGTTGAATTAAAACATCTCTCAAGCATGTGGCCACCACTTAGGGTCAGAACCCATTGGATACTTCCCATCATGAAACACTGCCACCTATAAAGGGCTGTTCAGTGCTCACTTTGTGCCAGGCACTGTTCATATATATATTTAAACCCTCAAAACATGCCATCAGATAGATATTATAATCTTATTGCAGTAGAGAAATTGTTGTGGCTTGAATGTGTCCCCCAGAATTTCATGTGCTGGAAACTTAATCTCCATGTTAATAGATTTGAAGATGGGATTTGGGGAGGTAGCTAGGATTAGATAAGATCATGAGGGTGTGTCTGCTTTAATGGCATTAGAGGCTTTAAAAGATGAGGAAAATACTGAGTACAGTTGCTCTGTCTGTCCACGGGGTGCCCTTTATCATGCTATTATGCAGCAGGAAGGCTCTCACCAGATCCAGCGCCATGCTCTCAAACTTCCCATCCTCCAGAACAGTAAACTAAATATACCTCAGTTCTTTATAAATCACCTGGTCTTTGGTATTTTGTTATACCAACAGCAAATGGACTAGGAGAAACCATGGACCATATAAGAGTCATTTTTTAAGTGGCCTATAGAGGTTGAGTAACTCTTGAAACCAACTCTCAGGGCAAGGATTTGAACCCAGCAGTCTTGAGTCCTGACTCCTCATTTTTGACCCTGGTCTTATGTTGTTCATTGCAGCAGGTGCAGTGTCTTCCTTGGGACTTTGAAAGCCCTACCCAGTGTGATACCAGACTTGCTCCCCAGCCCTGTTTTTTTTCTTCCCTTTGCATATCCTGTATTCTAGTCAAATTGGGCACATTAAAATATTGGGACAAATAAGAGCAACAATCCCAAATACTCAGTACTTGTCCCATATTTTGTTATGAAAAATTTCATAACACAGAAATGTTAAATTAATTGTACAGTGAACACTCATACCTACCACCTAGAATCTGCATTTTACAGTTTACTAAATTTGTGATACTTAGCCATCTGTCCATTCTTTCATCCACTCATTTCTCCCTCCATCTTTTTTTTTTTTGCTCATCTTATTTTTCTGATATATTTTGAAATACATTGTACACTTCAGTACACTTTACCCCAGGTGTTTCACACGCATTCCTTTTGTCTGGTTCCAACCTTTGCTTTCTCAAATCCTTCAACATTCACCTTGAATCCCACCCAGATCTTCACCTGCCCCTCACTATCAGGGCATTCTCCTAATGAAAGTTCTTTCATTCTCATGGGGGGTGATAGCACAGAAGCACGGAAGACCCCAAAGTTCCAAAACTTGGTCCTGGGAGGCAGATATTCATACAGTCTATAGACACATGCAAAGTATATCTGTGGTATTACCACCTCATGTTGGGAGTGGAGGAGGAGGAAGATGTCTAAAAAGACTCCTTGAAGCTAGGTGTGATGGTGCATGCCTGTAATCGCAGCAGTCTTGGAGGCTGAGGCAGGAAGATAGCAAGTTTGAGCCCAGCCTGAACAACTTAGTGACCTAGTGAGACTCTGTCTCAAAAAAAAGTTAATAAAAAAGGGCTGGGGATGTAGCTCAGTGTGAAGGCCTTGAGTTCAATCCCATGAACCATTAAAACAAGAAAAGAAAAGACTCCTTGAAGTGAGTGATCATGAAAAAAGCTGAGAAGCATTGTTCTGGGCAGTGATGGTGAACCTTTTAGAGCTTTCAGCTATACAAATGCCTGCTGCAACATGTGTGCCATAGGTTCATCACCACAGTTCTAGGGCATCTTTTATGTGTGGCCACATGTGAACACTCATAGGTAATTCAGTATTTTACTAAATAGCTTTATATAATGAGTGGCTTTGATTCTGAGATGGTCCTCAGATACAGACCTTTCAAGCACAAAGATTTTTGCCTGTCAAGGCCATGATAGATACTTGTGTCCCATGTGTGGAGGGAGTAGGGAATAGGTTAAAGGGTGGAGAATGAATGTAGGAAAACTAGAAACTGTAACAATTCATATTGGGAGTGGTAGGAGGCCATAGGAGTTTGGTGGCATTAGGACAGGCATGAGCCCCAGGGTAGGCTTGCTAAAAAATGACCCCCACGCTATCAGATCCAAAACCCTGCATCCTATAATGTTCTCTTACATATGGTAAAGACTTTACAGATGTGATTCAGTTAAGGATCTTGAGTGAGGGTAATTAAGCTGGATTATCCAGGTGGGCCATTAGTTCAATACTGAGTGTTTTCATAGATGAGGCTGAGGAGAAGTGATGTGGACAAAGCAGAGGGAGATTTGAAGATGCTGGCCTTGAAGACCAGAGTGACATGGCCACAAGCCAATGAATCTGGGCAGCTAGCAGAAGTTGGAAGCAGCAAGAGTGGGTTCCCCCTTGGAGTCTGCAGGGAGCATGTCCCTGCCAACACTGTGGTTTGAGCCTGTCAATACTGATTTTGGATGTCTGGTCACAAGAATTGAGAAAATTAATTTGTTGTTGAAAGCCATAATTTGTAATGATTTGTGACAGCAGCCACAGGGAACTGCCACACAAGGCGATAAGTACACAGCACAATGTAGAATGAAGCAAGTTTATACATCAAATTGTATAATTTAAGTCTGCTTTGTCTGTGAACAACGGTACATACTTAGAGGAAAACTGGCTTGCTGAAAGTGTGGGCAGGAACAATTAAGCAGGTGGAGGATGGAGAACTTCGGTGTGACCCAGCTAGAGGTGATGATTGTCCACCCAAGTGGACATACAAGAGGCATCTAGTCAGGGAGGGCCCAGCAGGTCAGAGCAGGGGCTATCTGTCCCCAGGGAAGGGTGTTTACTGAGGTTTACACTTTCACTTTGTTCTGTTCTTTTCTTTTCTTTCTTTCTTTCTTTTTTTTTTTTTTAGTGTTTTTGAGACAGGGTCTCATTGTATAGTCCAGGCTGTCTTGATCTCACTATGTGGTCCAGGCTGGCCTCAAACTTGTGGCAATCCTCCTGCCTCCACCTCTGGGTTTGCAGGCATGTGCCACCATCCCCAGGTAGTTTTGCTCTTTTTTTTTTTTCCATTAATTTTTTGGGTACATTTTAGGTATACAATATGTTGACATTCATTATTGGGAGTTTGTACCTTTACATAATATATCTTGGTTCTTATTTTTTCCCCATTCCCCTTGCTCTTTCTATACATTCTCTTTCTTAGGGATTTTGGGGATCAAAAGGTTGAGAGTACTGACTGACATTGAAGATGGATTCAAAGGGCTGACATGGGCCCAGGAGGAAGCTTTGTGGTCTGGAAGCAGTCATGTGATACACAGGAAGGTGGATTTTGTTCATTTGCTTATAAGAGGGTCTTGCTGTGTCATTCAGGCTGCCTTTGAACTCATTATGTGTAGCCCAGGCTGGCCAGGAACTTGCAGCAATCCTCCTGTCTCAGCCTCCCAAGTGCTGGGATACAGCCGTGAGCCACCACGTAGGGCCAGGAAGGTGGATAGTATCTAATCTTGCTTCCTTTCCTGTTTCTTTGCAGCTGTTGCCTGAAGCCAGTAAAACCCCTGAGAACCTCCAGTCCTCATCAGCTCAGCTTTCTCTAGGCCAGAGCTTTGTGCAAAGCCACTTTCAAGCACAATACAGGTGAGACCAGGAGTGTTTGGAATGTGTTGCCTGGGGGCTCAGTGGACTTGACCATTTTCCCATTGCCGCTGACCCTGAAATCACACAACAAAGCTGTAAACCTGGCTCTATCTCCCCTGTAAATTCCCATCAATCATTTGCACCTGTTTTACCTCCCCTTGAAGCAGGGGTGATGCAGGGCCGTTCCACAGTGAATGTGGAAGCTGGGGGATCCCCAGCAAGCGATCGCCCTGAAGCCAGTGAGACCCTGTTTGCCCTTTATGGTCAGAGAGCCCAGCTGAACAAGTCATTCTGGGCACAAGCGTTACCCACATTCTGGAGGACACAAAAATAAATATAATTCCATGGCCTTTGACTTCAGAAAGCATGTGTGCTCTTTGGGCACTCGTACATAAGCATATCAGGACCCACACAAGGCAGAGTATGTCCAAGTACTATAATGTTTAGTGAAGGCACTCGCTGCAGCAAGAGGTCAGAGAGGCTTCTCAAAGGAGGCCCGCCTTTGGAGGGGCTGAGGGATGAAGAGGATCCAATGGGTGGGACAGATTCAGCTTAAAGCTGGGAATGAGCATAGGCATCAGAATTTAGGGGAAGCCACTGGTTACAGAAAATTTCCTTTAGGTGGAATGCCTGCCCATATGCATTAGCTTTAAAAAAAATATTTACTTATTTAGAGACAGGTACTCGCACTTTAATTCAAGCTGGCTGTGAGGTCATTATGTAGCCCAGGCTGACCTCAAACTCGTGGCAATCCTCCTGCCTCAACCTCCCAAGGTTACAGCTGTGTGCCACCATGCCTGGCTTAAATGTGTTTTTTAGCTGATACATAAAAAGAGACATTGTACATATTAATGGGGTGTGTCGTGTAATGTTTTGATACATGTATGGTTATACATTATGCAATGTTTAAATCAGGTGAAATATACTGGTACCTCGGGTCAGACCCCCGCCCAGGCAGAAGAGAAAAACTTCCCAGGCAATGTAGTTACACATCCTGTAAGGCACAAAGGATAACAGGAAGCTCAGGTCTGGGTTCTAGATAAGCAGCCTGTCCCATGCAGCAACATCTGTGGGTCCAGATACCCCTGGGGACCACCAGCCTTCCCCTGCCCCATAACAAAAGACTTCCTCCATTCCAGGACAAAATTTTCCACTCCTCCTGGCACTAACCCTTCTCTTCCCAGACTCCCCTATAAAGTTTCTCCTTGCCCAAGCCCCCAGGGTCAGTGGCTTTGTTGCCCTTGACTAGCCTGCACCCAGGCTGAAAATGAAACCTCACTTGTTGCTTTATTTTTGCCTGCTCTGGAGGTCTTGGTCATGCCTCTGTTACCCTAACATCTCAGTTCACAAACTCGATTCTCTCTATGATCCTGGTTGCAAACTGAACTGGATGAGAACCCAATCAAATTTCCTCATAAGTCAACATTGAACTTAACCATTGAATTTGATTTCGTACTTGTCCAACTCAGTTTGGGACTAGAATCATGAAAAGAATCAAGTTCATGAACCAAGGTACCACTGTATATCTAACTCCTCAAACATTTATGATTTCTTGATGGTGAAAACTTTTAAATTTCTTATAGCTTTGTAAAATGTATAGTATGTTAACTGTCATCTATAGTCACAATAGCAACTGCACACCAAAATTCTTACTCCTATCTAACTGTAACTTAATACCAGCTGATCAACCCCCATATTCTACTTGGGCTCTGGTAACCACCATTCTACTCTCTCACACAGACAATTTTTTAGATTCCATATGTTTTATTTTTGTTTTTGTTTTTGCTTTTGTTTTGGTACCAGGGATCAAACTTGGGACCTTGCGCTTGTGAGGCAGGTGGTGGTACTACTGAGCTAAATCCCCAGTCCAGGTTCCATATGTATTTATTTGTGTGTGTGTGTGTGTGTGTGTGTGTGTATTATTATTATTTTTAGGTTTTTTTGAGACAGAGTCTTGCTGTATAGTTCAAGCTGGTGTCAGACTCATGGCAATCCTCTGGCCTCAGCTTCCTGAGTGCTGAGATTATAGGTGTGCACCACCATGCCTGGCCTAATTAGGTATGGCTTTACAGGGACACAGTGAGTAAGAGACAGCTTCTGGCCTCTAATTTCTCAGAAGCATGAGCCCTGTCTTGGTTTTCTTTGGCATTCTTCCTCTTCTGTTCTTTTCCAGTTCCTCTTGTTCATTCATTGTGATTTCTCTGATTTTCAGTTGCACCAGTGCTGGCCTGTCTTGTTTTCTATGATGGATACCAAAACATCACCGAGTTTTTTCCTTTGAGATGTCCCATCAAGTCATTTCAATGGAATGCTTTGCAATGTTTCTCTCTGGGTCTTTTAGATGACTGTCCCTTTCCTTTGCTCTGTGGGCTTTTCATAGCTCTCCTGTTGGTTTTCTTCTCTTAATTACTTCTCTTCAAGCAAGATGACACTCAGTCTTTTAGAATTTTCCACTTCTGGCCATTTGCTTCCATACTTTTTTGGGATTTATATTCTTTGTGTTTCACTGAGAGGAGGTTGTTTAACATTGCTTGGAAACTGTCCTGCTTTAGGAATTATGTTCAGTAATTACAGGTAAAGTAAGTAGGAAGTGATCATGGTCTTTGAAGGTGAGGCCAGATAGTCTCTGAAACATGTGTGTGCCCACTAGAGCTGCTTGCCACTGGAGCAAACTGATCTGCAGCCTGTGAAGAGCTCCGTCACTGCCCCCAGGAGAAGAGGACCCTGAAGAAAGGATCAGAGTGATAAGGACAGGGGGTGCTCCATTCCTGCCCTTGATTGCTGAAAATATTTCCAGGAGAGAAAAATCCCTTCTGATTGAACCTGACTTTTACCATTACACTGACTCATGCCCTGAGAGGCATGGGATGCTGTAGGAGGTGTGAAGAGTGGAATCCCAGCTTTGCGGCTGTGGACCCAGAAAGCTGCTAGCCATGACAGCCACTTGTTGGCCATCTCTCTTATCCCTGATTGTCCAAAGCAGAGGCTGCCAGCAATGAAAATAAAGAGATAGAGGAAGAGAAGAAGGAGGAACAGACGGTGTCTAAGGGGAGGGTATGTTGGGGAGTGGGGAGGGGTCACCATCACTACCTTGTATCATAAATCCACTCATTTCTTGCTTGCTTTGTTTTCTCTACCCTCCTCTTTATATTCACTGTCTTCCTTTTCCTCTTCCATTGATTCAACTGCCTGCTATTATGCTTGGTCCAGTGGTTACCATGAGGGGCTAACTCCTTGCCCACAAGAAAGAAATACAACCAAGCACATACAGTTAGCTCTCTTATCCACTGGTTCTGCCTTTGCAGATTAAACCAATCACAGATTCAAAATATTAGAAAAAAATCGCATCAGTACTCCACATGTGCAGATTATTTTTTGATCATTATTCCCTAAATAATACAGTATAGCAACTCTACATAGCATTTACATTGTATTAAGTGTTATAAGTAATCTAGAGATGGCAAAACATACAGGAGGATGTACATTGGCTTTATGCCAATGTGATAACATTTTTTATAAAGAACTTGAGCATTCTGATATCAGTAATGGTGTTAGCTATGAGTTTGTTTGTTTGTTTGTTTGTTTGTTTTTGGTACCAAGGATCGAATTTGGGACCTGGCTTTTGCGAGGCAGGTGGTGGAACCATTGAGCTAAATCCCCGGCCCTGATATCTGCGATGGTGATGGGGCCTGGGAGCCAATGCCCCAAGTATACTGTGGGACAGCTATTCTCCTGATACTTCCTGCATGCTGTCCTATGTGCCAGGTTCTCTTTTGATGTCACAAGCCACACCCAGACCCTATTCTCATGGAGCTCACATTCTGTGGAGGGGATGTTGGACAGCATACAAGTCAACAGACAGCTGGCGCTAGTGCCCCCTGAGTGATAAGGAGTAATTTAGGAGGAGGGAGGTGGAACTTTAGATAAAGGGGTCAGGAAGGCTACTTTGAAGAGGGCCATTTGAACCGAGAGCTGAATGACAAGGAGTCTGCCATTCAAAGGATTGGAGACAGGGTATTTCAAACAGGAAATAGCAAAGGCAGAGGGCCTCAGGTAGGAATAGTCTTGGCAAGTTCTATGAACCAAGGTGATCGGCAGGTATGGGAGGGGGCTGGGGAGGTGGGCAGGGACCTGGCGGGTAGGGTTGTAGTCCAAGTGTGGGTTTCAGCTGAAAGGGCACAGGAAGTCACTGCAGTGGTAAAATGAGTGTGGTCAAGTTCATCAGTTTAAGGGGTACTCTGGTTGTTAGGGGGGTTGGAGGAAAGTGGGAGAGGAAGCAGGAGTATCCCTGGGGGACAAGGGTGGCTGGAACCATGGAAGTGGTGGTAGAGGTGAAGGGCTATAGCTAGGTTTGGAATATGTTTCAAATGCAGAGTCACCAAAACTTGCTAGGGGGTTTAAGGGTGAGCGGCAGAGGGCCACAGAGAAAGATGAAAATCTAGGGCAACTCCGTGTTTTTATAGAATTGTAACTAGTAAGTGTTTTGGAGGAAAAATTCAGGGTTACTGAAATCCATGTTACAGGTGCTTGATCTGGTGTGGGACGAGCTGGGCATGTGTGGATTCCTCAGGAAGTAACATTTGAGCTGACCAGATATTAAGGACTAGCAGTGCCTTTTGGGTGGATTTCTTTCCATAGGCTAATGAGGAAGAGATGAGGTGTTCATGCTAAAAATGCACTGGTAACAGCTAAAAATACCTGCTTTGTTCTTGAGAGTCTGAAGTGGAGAAAAAGTATCATTAGGGATCTCATCAACATAAGGGCTTTCCAGGTGTGGAAAGTGATTTGCTGCAGTAGAAGTGATTGGAGCCCTATAGGCTGATGCCCATGCACAATGGTACCTGTTGTGTCTGCCCTCTCCGTGGAGCAGGGCTTGCCTGGGATAAGATCAGTCTGCTTTATGAAACTGGGTGTGGATGTTGGATTATGGGTTAATTCACAAACCTCTCTTCCATGAGGTTCTCCTGCTTTGATTCCCTGCCCCCCCACCCCCCATTTTGTAATAAGGGGATTGAACCCCAGGGTCTCATGCATGCTAGGCAAGGGCTCTACCACTAAGCCACACCTCCAGTCCCCCTTAATCCCTTTTTAAGGAGATGGCTTTTTGTCTTTGCCTGGAGGGATGATGAGGAAATAGTAGTAGAGTGCTGGAGGCTATGGACTATAGGAAAAATACTGTTATTCTCTATGATTAGTATCACAACCTAAAAATGCCTACAAGCTTAATAACTAAGGATTGTTGCTACATTGGAGTATTGGCTGGAGGAGGGAGTGTATATATGTGCGTTTTCCAGGTTCTTCATGTCATTTGTACCCTTTATTCCTAGAGAGTCTAATCTGTTGTCTCTATCACAGGCTGCATTCCCTTTTAGGCAGAGGATATCCATCCATCCATCCATCCATCCATCCATCTCTTTTTTTGTTGTTGTTGTTGTTTTGAGACAGAGTCTTTCAATGTGGTTTAGGCTGGCCTTGAACTTGATATATAGCCCAGACTAGTCTTTTTTTTTTCTGGTACCGGGGTTTGAACTTGGGTCCTTGTGCTTGTGCAGCAGGCGGCGAAACCACTGAGCTAAATCCCTGGCCCAGCCCAGACTAGTCTTGAACTCACAGTGATACCCCTGCCTCAGCTTTCTGCCTCACAGCACCCCTGCTGGGTGCTTGGATTACAGGTGTGTGCCACCGTGCCCAGCCAGGCAAAGTATATTTTTAAAGCCTTCCTCAGAACTGATCTTGGAAAGGTGAACTCATGATTCTGTACTGTCAGGATGATTGCTCTCTGCACAGGCATCAACCTACTGTCCAGCGAGGAGTCAGCTTGCCTAGGTCTGAGTTGTAAGATGTGTACATATCCAGCAGTCAAAGGGAAAGGTGTGCAGGCCCAGGTCTGGGCCCATTTCTGGGCATTTGAAGCAGGTTGCAGTTCTGACTTTTAGTAGCAGATGACTAGCAGATTAGCTTTACAACCAAAGTAATTTGAGCAGGAGAGCAAACACCACAGAGAGGTGGGTTCTGACCATTGAAGGGCAGTGGGACAATTTTCTGTCCCCTGCAAGTGCTTGGGGGACAGTAGGACAGGACAGCAAATGCTCTGGAGGGGATGGTGAGGATGAAAGGCTCTCTCAGGCCACATTTTGGGTACTGTGATAGCCTGGTGAAATAGCCAGAGTTTTCCTTAAAGGTGAAGCTGACTCTGTCTTCTTTTGGATCTGTTGGTCACATTCACTTTGTCTTCATTTCTCAATCTTTGAGAAAGAGGTGCAGTTCCCACCCTCTCTGTAACTTCTTAGGAAAATGATACAATTTCTGTGACAGCCAATCTTGACTGTCAACTTGATTGGGTTGGGAGATGCCTAGGAGTTTTGTAAAGCACACTGTTGGGTGTGTCTGGGTGGGTCTTGGGGGAATAACCTTGAGGACTATATCTAGTCCCCAGTCATTCCCTCCTCTCTGGAGCTTTTCCCCCACTCACTTCTAGGACGCCATGGGTTGAGCAGCTCCTGCCACAGTGTTCTTGCCTCGGAGCCAGCAGATGTACACTGAAACCTCTGTCACAGTGAGCCAAAATAAACCTCTCCTCCTAAGTTGTAAGTTGTGAATTTTGTTCCAGCAATGAGAAATCTGACCAATACATTTTCTTTGTTCCATAAATCTAAAATGAGGGCTGAAGATGTAGGTCAGTGAGTACATGCTTAGCATGTCCAAGGTCCTAGGTTCTATCTTCAGTACCACAAAATAAATCAAATAAATAAACTTAGCCCATTCTATTTTTTTTCTCCCAAACCACAAATCTCTTGCTACCTGGTGCAGATTTGGGGCTCAAACTAAAGGTCACATCCCTGAGCCAATTTAATATAATGCAGTCTATGAGAAAAATGCAACCCAGCTTGGTTTTAGATGGCTGAAAAAAAATGAAGAAGTCAACAAAAAAATATCCTTTTTCATTTGTTTGTGTAAATGTGAAACTGGGATTTGGAAATTTCCCAAAGACAAAAATACATCCTGCAGGCTGATTTTATGCCTAGGTATGCAGCAGCGAGTGAAAGAGAAGGAGGATTGGAAGAGAAACAAGGTAGCAAGGGACTCCACAGACACCAGGTCCTTGGCTCTCTGACACCAACCATTCCCCTGCTTCTCCCGAGGGGAAATCAGTGAGAGGCAGTGATCAGAACTGAATGTTAGCTTGAACGTAAGAGCTGGGGGATGACAGGGATGTAGCTCCATGGCAGAGCGTTTGCCTAGCATATGTGAGGCCCTGGGATTTAATCCTCAGAAATGCAAAACAAACAAAACCCATTGGCATCTATTTTCTGAAATCACTGTGACCTTCTGATGACCCGTGTCCATTCTGATAACCGAGTGGACTAGCAGCAAGCAGAGCCACAGGCTCACCTGGGGCAGCGCCCCTAGGTCCATGTTCTTGCTGGTCTCTGGTTTTCCCTATTTTGCTTGTTTAGTGGAAAACCACTCACGCAAGACTAGTGCTTGCCACATGGACTTGGGTCCTGAGCCCTGCTGCGGTGTCCTGGCTGATGGCCAGTGGTGAAGGCGCAGACGATGGCCAGGCTGCCACCAGGCAGTTGTTCTTAAGTCTCAAGGAAGTGCATGCAGATTTTAGGATACATTTAACACAGTGTGCAGAAGTCCCTTATGTCCTGGAAGAATATGGTGCATTATACAATTAGGGAAATAAAACCGGAGCACCCACATGGAATATAGAAGTTGGGCTTCACTTTTGGAGATCCCGCTTGAACTTTGGGAGGGACAAATTTATAAGAATTGAAAAATATAAATAAACAATATGCATAGCTACTGTGAAACAAACAATTTCTCACTCATACCAAAGACCACAGGAGTGATGGTGAGTCTGGATTTACCTTGTTACATAGCAGCTGTGTGTACTATGGCAAGTTACTTACCCTCTCTGTACTCAGTTTCCTCTTGTAAAATGGGTATTATTCTGGTTGGTATGTGTAGTAAATAGATTAATATATGCTCAATCTTCAGAATAATGCTCAGTTTCTGGTAAGTGCTATTTCGATGTCAACTACTCTTACTATTAGCTACTATTTTCTGACTTTTATTTTTTCTTCATCCTTTCAATAAGGGGTGGGGGACTTTTGCAATTCTGATGCCTGGCCTTCCTCACCTCCTTTGAAGTAGAATCTCTAGGAGTAAAGTCTGGACACAGAAAGGTGCCTGAGTGGCTCTGGGGCACAGGAAGGCTGACAACCAGAGGAAAAGGTGGTCCCCAAAGTTCGCATGCTGGGTTTCTATCTGGAGGGCTTATGGTGTCCCTTTGCATACTCAGTGCACTGTGTGATTAAACTTTCTTCTTCATCTGTTGCCTTAGTTACCTTCTCATTGCTGGGAGAAAATAGCCAACATCTACAATTAAAGGAGGAGCTAACATTTCAGTCAGGCCCATTCCCTAGTGGCCGGCTCCAGGGTAGGATGGAATGGCACAGGGGCATGGCGGAGCAATAGCGGCTCACCTCATGGGAGCCAGGAAGCAGCATGAAGGGAGGTGCCAAAGAGGAAAGTGCATCCCTAGATCACACTGCAGGTGACCCACTTCTTCTGGCCCGGCCCCACACATTTAGCCAGAAGCTCATCAGTGGACTAATCCGCCAATGAGTATAGCACCCCATGATCCAATGTCCTTCCCAAAGCCCTGCCTGGGAGCACATGAAGCTTGAGGGGTATCTACATATAAACCATAATACCTATTTTTTGAGATGAAAATCCTCAACATAAAATTAACCATTTTTACTTTTTTTTTTTAATCAATTTTTTTTTTTTTAACGTTTGCTTTTTTTTTTTTTTTGAGACAGGGTCTTGCTATGCTGTCCAGGCTGGTCTTGAACTCCTGGGCTCAAGCGATCCTTCTGCCTCAGCCTCCCAAGTAGCTAGGATTACAGGTGCATACCACCAGGACTGGCTAAATTATCCTTTGAAAAGTGTGCAGTTCAATGGCATGTACCATCACAATACTGTGCAACCAACACTGCTTTCTATTTCCTAATCATTTTTATCACCCAGAGATATAATCTGGTACCTAATAAGCTGTCACACTCCTCCCTCTTCTTCCAGCCCCTGGCAACCACCAATTTGCTTTCTGTCTTTTTGGCTTTACCTATTCTGGCTATGCCACACAAAGGGAATAATACAACATGTGGCCTTTTGTGCCTGGAGTCTTGCTCTTGTTGAGTCCTTAGTATCATGTTTGCAAGGTCCATTCACATTGTCTCAAGAGTCTATTTTCTTTTTATAGCTGAGTTGTGTTCTACACTGTAGATCTACTGCATTCTGTTTACCCACTGACCTGTTGGTGGACAGTTGGGTTGTTTCTACATTTTGGCTATTATGAACAGGGTTGCTAGAAAGAACATTTACATCCAAGTACCAGTTGAACAGCTGTTTTCAATTCTTCTGGGTATGTACCCAGGAGGGGAATTGCTGGGATGGATATGCAGTGGTAATTCTATATTTAACTTTTCAAGGGGCCACCAAGCTATTTTTACATGTGATGACACTTTCATCTCTCTTCTTTGTCCTCACAGATCTTCTTTGACATGTCCCCACTGCCTGAAACAGAGCAACACCTTTGACCCCTTCCTGTGCGTGTCCCTTCCGATCCCCTTGCGCCAGACGAGGTATGTGAGACTTGGCGCTTGCCCAGTGCCCTTGACTTCCCTCTTGCTGGTTACTGATGGGGTCCATCTGACCTTGAACTCTCCCCTTTTCTGTTTTGCTTCTCACTGAGCCTTTCTTTCTCTAGGAAGCTGTCTCATAGGCCGGTGACATTCAGTTATTAAGTGTGACAGTGTGAAAGGGGGCCTTGGCCCTTCTTTAGCAGGGAGAATGAGCCTTGGGCTGTGGAATTGGGTCTGACTCTGAGCTGTGTATCAGTGCTGTTGCCAGGTGTTGATCTTTGGTCCATTCAGGACCTGGTGCAGGCCCCTTGGCTAGACAGGGACAAACCAGAGCCAATTGGTCACCACCTCCTCTTCCTTGCTTTACTTCAAAATTCTTTTTCTTCTCTGTGAAGGTGTGGGAAAATGATTTCTTGAAGAAACAAAAAGAGAGGAAAGGGTTGTTTTGGGAGAGGAGAAAAAGAAAAGCAGAGGCAGGGTTGGGTGAGGGCAAGGTGTGCAAAGCCAGAAGCAGGTCTTGCTGCTGCCTCACAGATGCCATGGCTCAGCAGTGCTGTGGAGGCGATTGGCCGGTGTCAGCGCCATAGTGTGTTGGTGAGCTGCTACTCGGGGAGCTGTCGCTGGTGACCATTGTGTTCTCCACCTCTGTAAGCACCATGTCTCCTGCCCTCCAGCTGTCCACAGTCTGTCCTCAAGATGCAGCAGACACCATAACCTCTCTCCGTCTGTCTGCTCCCTCCCTCCTCTCTCTTTTCTTCTTTCTTTCTTTCTTTCTTTCTTTCTTCCTTCCTTCCTTCCTTCCTTTCCTTCCTTCCCTTCCTTCCTTCCTTCCTGCTTTCTTTTCTTGTCCACTGTCTGTTCTCAGGATGCAGCAGACAGCATAATCTCTCTCTCTCTCTCTCTCCTGGAGATTGAACCTAGGGCCTTGAACATGCCAGGCAAAGCTCTCTACCACTGAGCTACTGTTGCAGAAATCTCGGAAAGAAATACACAGAGACACAGAATTCAGATAAAATAATAAAATTTCTTCTTGTGAGCAGGCGGGAATGCCAGAAACCAGTCTGGTCCGTATCCGCGTCCTCTTTGTTCAGCATTTCCTTTTTTATATCCTTTTTAGCTATTATCTCATCCCTAGTGGTCTTTGATATGTAAATACAATTCCAGTTCCTATTTTCAAGTCACAGACGTGAGATGGGCCATATACATTGTAAATTCACCCTGGCATGGTAACTTTGTTAGGTTAATGAAGTTCCTGGTTAGAGTCAGATAATCCTCACCTTAAACAAGGAGTTACAGGAAAAGCAAATCTTAAAAGAACACATTACTTATTTTGCTTCTACAACTGCCTTAATATTCAGTCCATCAAGTTATCTAAAACTTTTCTGTATCATTACATTCTCTTTTAAAATTTTATTTTGAGACAGAGTCTCACTTAAGTTATGCAGGCTGACCTCAAATTTGTAATCCTCCTTGCCTCAGACTCCCAAGTAGTTGGAATATAGGTGTGCACTACCTTGCCTGGTTTAACCTCCCTTTCTGTTCTGAAGCCCTGTGCTGTCTGTACCACCAGTGTAATTTATACTATATGACATGACTGATGCTACCCTTAGATTGATTGTCTGTTAATCCATGTAACTTGGCCTGATGCATCATAGTGCAGTGGTTAGGATCACTGGCTCTGGGACAGTCTGCTTAGGGTCAAATCCAAACTCTACTAACTAGCTGTGCAACTTGAACAGGATGAGAGAAATAATAGTCAGAAAACTGAGCTGCGGGAAATAGTGGGAGGTAGAAGTCAAGATTTCCAAGGAACAATTTCATTAAGACAAGGAGAAAATCATTCATAAGGTTGACTTGTTCTTGAAGAAGCAGTTTGTTTGCTTTATTTTTCAAACTTTATCCGCTGGACAATTAGAGTCTTGAGATCAGAGAGCCATATAGTGATTCATAATCCAATACCTTCTACTTTCAACTCTCTGGAAAACCAGTTTAGGAGATTTGACTCTCTACTTCCACCTGGTGGGAGCACGGCTAAAGTGCAAGGGGCCAACCTGGAAGCTGAGATCGTTCTAAACTTGAGCCATTGTCAGCGGTATTGGTGACACTTAACGTCAGTCCTTTAAGGATGTGGCCCCCTTTCTGTTTTCTAGATTCTTGACCGTCACGTTGGTCTTCCCCTGTAAGAGTCAGCGGTTCCTGCGGGTTGGCCTGGCCGTGCCAATCCTAAGCACAGTGGCCGCTCTGAGGAAGATGGCGGCGGAGGAAGGCGGAGTCCCTGCTGATGAGGTGTGATGGGGCTGCACTGGGCTGGCCCCAGGGGCAGGATGCTGACGGGCTGGCAGCCTGTGCTGATTTGTGGGGTCCCAGGCCAGTACGACTCCTGGTTTCTGTCTGATTCCTAGTCCCTGGTGTCTGAGGAGACTGGGCCTTGCCTTCTCCTTTGGTACCCATGAAGGACACCTGCCTTCCTAGAAGGTGGTAGTGATTATGGTGGGAATACTTTCAACAGCACCTGACCTCAGTTGTGCTCGCCAAGTTCTGGACACTGTCTAGAGACCTTTACATTCATTTCTCCTCATAGTTGATTTCATGCCAGCCACTCTAAAGTAGACATTATAATTGTCCTCATTTTGCTAGCGAGGAAAAAGAAGTCCTCAGGGGTTGAGTGACTTGCCCACAGTCACACAGCTACGAAGCGGGAGTCAGGGTTTGAACTTCGGTGGTTTGATTTCAGACCCTGAGTTACTACTCTGTATTTTCACTTGTGAGAACATAAACCAGGCTGCTGAAGGGACAGTAAGCAGCTGCTGAGCGAACTGAGCATGTCTGACATGGGGAAGGTGGGCGGCTATGCTTTTTCACTTTTTTTAAAGGAGTTTTGGTGAAGGATTGGAGTCACTGTGACTGTAACAGCTTCCATGACATGGAAGGGTAGAGCCAATGGTGGTGACAAGCCGGGTGGCAGGAGTAGAAGGGTTCTGAATGGGGTTCTAACTGTGATTCAGTTATCCTCTAGCTTTCTGACCTTGGACCATGTAAGTGATTGCTGGTCCCTCTGTTTCTTTACCTTTTATACCTCTCTGACTACCTCATTGCTAAATAAAAAAGTATTTTTAACCTTTTTTGTTAAGGTATAACTTACTTACAGTACAGTGTGGATATCCTAAGGTTGCAGTTTGTCGAATTTTACACCTGCCTACATCCGTATAATCACCATGGTTACTGAGGAGCCTTTCCAACACCCCGGCTCCTTTCTGTCCCCCACCCCCACCCCAGAAATGCCTTTGACCTCCATCACTCTGTATAGGTTTCTTTTTTTTCTTTTCCTTTTTTTTTGGTACTGGGAATCAAACTCAGGACCTTGCACTTGCAAGGCAGGCACCGGAACCACTGAGCTAAATCCCCGGCTGTATAGGTTTCTTACAAGGATCTCAAAAAAAGGGGAAATATGGGCCAGAGATTTAGCTCAGTGACACTGCACCCACCTCACAAGCGCAAGGACCTGAGTTTGATCCCCAGTATCGGAAGAAAAAAAAAGGAGATATATATGTATCTTGCTTTCTACACACTAAAGTGCACTAGGGGGCCTATTTGTGTGTGTGCATGTGACAGGGAGAGGGAGGGGGGGAGAGAGAGAGAGAGAGAGAGAGAGAGCAGTAGAAAAGAACCAAAGTGGAACATCTGAGAGAGATAGAATTTGAAGAATAGTAGGACTGTCAGGAATGTGAGCAGTGTGATATGTTCAGGGAGATAGAAATCTCTGGGGATGTTTGTATGAGTATTTTGACCAGAACTTAAAAAATCTATCTTGATATTTTATTTTAAATGGCAGTTTTATTCCACTTGTATTACCTATGATCACAGATGTCTTTGGGTGCATTCCCACCATCTTATTTTATGTTTTTTATTTACTCAACATTTCCTGCTTTTGGGAGGGGGAAGCTTCCCCCTCTCATTCTTTTACTGCTTTGTTTTTTAGTTGAGCAGTTTTTTCTTATTCTGTCTTCTGATTTGGGGCATACATACTATATTTCTTTCTTTTACTATTTATTAAATGTCACAATGTATAATTGACAAAGTGTAATGTTACTATTAAACAACACAAAGATCCTGATATACTTTCTTTTTATACCTTTATATTCAGTACATGTTTACACTTACCAAATTTTACCATTTTCTTTTAAGTTATTAATTTTACCTTACAACTCAGGTTTTACTTCTAATTGTTATTGTTTTTTCTTTAATCCTGAAATGTATTGTTTATAAGAGAATTTCCTAGCTGATGTGCCTCAGATGGGTTCTGTGAGTTGTGTGTTAAGATGTTGATTCCTTTATCCTTGGGGAATCACGGTGGAGTTTGGGTTAGCCATGACACCCAAAGTAGTCACTACTTTCCTCCCTTCTCCAATATAAAACTATCCCCATAAACCTAAGTTCCAAAAATATTTTTCATGTACAACATAATATGAAAAAGGTTAGTAACACTTTTTAGATGTTCACTCAATGGAGCTCTGTAAGTGGTAAACATTTTTTGTTTACCCGAAGATGGCTTTATTTAATTTAATTCTAATCCTTACACATAGTTTAGCTGGGTATAAAACTATAGATTTAAAAACAATTTTTTTGGTTGCAGTTGAAATGTCTGTGGTCAATCTGTTACACCCTCTGTGTTTTATTACTTAAAATGTAACCACTTAGAAGGGAAGGGTATAAAAGACTTTTAAGGCTTTCAGTCACTTTTTGATTTCTTATTTGTTAGGTTCTCCTCGAGAAATCAAAAGGGAAAATGATCCTTCTCATTCCAGGTCATCTTAGTTGAGCTGTATCCCAACGGATTCCAGAGGTCTTTCTTTGATGAAGAGGACTTGAATACCATAGCAGAGGGAGACAATGTGTATGCCTTCCAAGTCCCTCCATCTCCCAGCCAGGGGACACTCTCAGGTACAACAGTGTTTTGTATGATTTTATTTGGTTATTATGAGTTATAGATTTGAGATGGTTCTCTGTGGTCGCTAAAGCATAAAACATTTAGTTTTAGCACTTGGAACTGTCAGGCTTATTTTCCCTGCAATTTTGTGTATAGGTGGTTGATTGATGATTGATACTAAAAATTATTTTGCTGAGGGCCAGGGATTTAGCTCAGTGGTTCCGCTGTCTGCCTCACAAGCACAAGGTTCTGAGCTCGATCCCCAGTACCAAAAAAAAATTATTTTGCTAATACTGAGGTTCTCAATACCTTAGTGAATATTAGAATCAGCCAGAGGGTTTGTTAAACTAGATTTCTGGGCCTTGCCCCCAAGAGTTTCTGATTCAGTTGGCCTGGGGTGGGGTCTGAGTTTGCATATCTAACAACTTCCCAAGTGATGCCAGTCCAGGGATATTTTGGGAATCACTGTTTAGTGTGGTTGCTGGTATAATCTTTATTTTCAGGACTCTTGTGATTTAAGGTCTGTGCTTAAAATAAAATTTGAATGACCAAAGAAATTAGAAAATAACTTTCTTTTTAATGGCTACATTTTGTAATGCTTTTCTTTCTTAAACCTCACACTAGCTAACATGGTCAATTGTTTTGTTTTTGTTGTTTTGTTTTGTTTTTTCTTTTTGAGACAGGGACATGCTATGTAGCTCAGGCTGGCCTTGAACTCTTCATGCAGCCCAGGCTGGTCTTGACCTTGGGACAATCCTCCCTCCTCAGCCTCCCAAGTGCTGGGATTACAGCCATGCAGCACCAACCGTGGCAACATGAGCAATGACTAATAGCCTGTTGTTGTCAGCAATATACATTTTGGCCCAGTCAGGCAGTCTAGAAGACCAATATTAAAGGACCCTGTGCCAGTGTTACAATATACAGCAACCTCCTTGATCTGTGGCTCCCCTTTCTGCAGTTTCAGTTACTTGTGCTCAACCATGGTCTGAAAATATTAAATGGAAAATTCCAGAAATAACAATTCATTTTTGTGTTTGGTTTTGTTTCTTCTGTGCTAGGGATCACACAGAGGGCTTTATATATGCTAGGCAACTGCTCTACCCCTGAGTTGCATCTTAGCCCCATATTGCATAAGTCTTAAATAACTTTTAGTACTCTATATTGTTGTAATTATTTTATTTTATTACTATTGTTAGTGTCTTACTATACCTAATTTATAAATTACATCCTAACATAGGAACGAATTTTTGGAAAAAAACATAGTATATGTAGTTTGTTTGTTTGTTTTTTAAGTGTTTGGTACTTTGATATTTTCTGAGGTTTTAGACAGCTACGGACTGTCTTGGAATGTGTCTTTCACTGATAACAGGTGACTACTGTGTCTCAGATGAATCCTATGCCCTGGCCCTGTATCATGACCCAGCTTAGGTAGCAGGCTGTGGGGACCAGATGTTTGATATTCTCCAAGACAACATGAAAACTCTGGGCATTGGAATCTGGGAAAAAATATTAACTGATTTTACAACCTAGTGAAACAAGTCTTCATTTCTAATTTAATCACGAGTGACATATATTTTCCTGAAAGTCACAATTCAGACCGGAAATGGAGAATAGTGAAGTCCTTCTTTCTCCATGGGAAACTTTTGCCTTCTTGATATACTTCTTGTGTTGGCTTCCAAAGACTGTAGGTGCTCTGGGGGCTGTCTGATCAAGGCATAAAAAGAGCAAAATTATTTTGGAGTACTTTTCAGGTTGCTTTGGAAAGAGTTAACTAAACTCTTGCCCGTATTTTAAAATTATTGGCTGGCATAATTGCACATTCACTGCCATGCACATGATGTTTGTATGCCAGGTGTCAGATGGCACAAGTGCCATGAACCTTTTTATCATCTCCCAAAAGCCACCAGGTGTCCTCCCACTGGTGGGGAATAGGTGCTCAGAGAGAGAAAGAGCTGGAAAACCCAGGGCTCCGGCCCACACAGGGGCTCTTTAATGCCATTCTTTCTCTTTCAGCTCATGCACCCAGTCTGCCATTGTCCCCGCGCTTGGTGGCCCAAGAGGGTCAGCGATTCTCCCTGCCTCTCCACAGTGAGAACAAAGTGCTCATCCTCTTCTGTAACCTGGTGGGCTCAGGCCAGCAGGCCAGCAGGTACGTCTAACTTCATCCTTTTCTCACACCGTGTCTGGGATTTGTAGACCTGTACTTGGGGTATAGTGTAAAATACTAATTTGATGAAATTAAATATCTATCCCCAAGATTAATAAAATTAGGAGAAGGGAATAGGGTACTTCCTGAACAAGAGGATTGGAAATAATTGCTTTAAGCATATGGTTAACATCATCCTTAATTAAACATCAGAGCTTTCTTGTTCATTGAAGGAATAATTACTATGGCCCTCACTACAGTTATTTTATACAGTATTGTGTTATAAGAGCTATGTGTGTCTATAGTCCCAGCTGCTCAGGAGGCTGAGGAAAGAGGCTCAAGAGTTCAAGGCCAGCCTGGGCAGTATAATAAAACAACAAAACAAAACCAAGAACCAGAAAGTGATTAGAACTAATGAGAAGGGAAAGGGACTGTCTGCATTACAAATTTGCGAAAACATAGCTTTTTTATATAGTCCAGATAAAGTGTTTACAAAGAAATGATAACTGTTTGCAGTGATGAATATTGTAATTACTCTGATTTGACTATCTCATGATGTATGGAAACATTGCTTTATATTCTATAAATATGTATTCTTGGCTGGTCATGGTGGTGCATGCCTGTAATCCCAGCACTCAGGAGGCTGAGGCAGGAGGATCACTGTGAGTTCAAGGCCAGCCTGAACTACATAGTGAGACCCTGTCTCAAAAAAATTTTTTATATGGAATGATAAAGTACTAAGAATAGCCAGAAATATTGGGGGAGAGAGAAAGGAAGAAGAGGAATTAGTCTATTGAAATAGAATAAATTTTAATTATTAAAATATCGTGACCTGGGCAAAAGAGTATACAATTAAATCAACCAAATAGAATAAGCCAAAGTCTTTAAATATTTATTATATGATAAAACAGCATATTTCATATTTTATAGGATAAAAAAGTGAATAAAGGGCCGGGGATTTAGCCCAGTGGATCCGCCGCCTGCCTCGCAAGCTAAGGTCCCAAGTTTGATCCCCAGTACCCCCCCCCAAAAAAGTGAATAAATTATTCAATAAATAAGCCCAAACTAATTGATTTCTTTCTTTTTATTTTAAATAATTACTTTTTAATTTTGGGGGGTATAGGAGATTGAACCCAGGGCCTTTGCACTGAGCTGCATCCCCAGCCCTTTTTAATTTTTTTTGAGATAGGATCTCACTAAGTTGTGCAGGCTGGGGTCAAACTTGGGATCCTCCTGCCTCAGCCTCCCAGAGTACTGAGATTACAGTCATGTGTCACCATATTCAGCCCCAAAATTACATTTTTACTCTTGCCATAAATTCATATGCATAAGTCCTTGATTGATTAGAAAAAGAAACCTTGAGATATTTTTTAAAAGGATGAGCATGGTGGCACATGCCTATAATCCTAGGATTTGGGAGGCTAGGCAGGAGGATCACCAAGAGTTTTAAGTCCAGCTTGGGCTTCCTTGTGAGTTCAAGGCCAGCCTAAACTGCATAGTGAGATCCCATCTCAAAAACCAAAACAAAACAAATAAAATACATAAATTTTAAAGAAAATATAGGGGCATATTTGTGTCTCTGGTGGAGGGGGTTATTTTCACACATTCATGACAGGGCCATAATTTGTCTCTCTGCTAGGTGGCTTGAACTATACATGCTTGGCTGTATCACCTGTATCACCAGTGGTACAAGCCACGTGATGGGATGGTCATGCATGCACTGGTGTTAAGCTGTTCCTGCCAACTTTACACCTAAGACAGGAGGCTATAAAGGAGAAGGCTGGTGTTTTAAATATATTTAACATTCTAAACTAAGAGCACATTTAAAGTCAAAGGACAAATGTGGCAGAATAGCTGTCATGTGCAAGGTGAGATATTAATATCCATCATGTAAAACCTAGTGCTCTCTCAGTGAGATAAACATTCTGTCAATAAAATGATCACAGAAGGTGGGCAAGGTGCTGCACACCTGTGATCCTAGCATTTGGGAGGGAGGCTGAGGCAGGAGGATTGTCATAAGTTCGAGGACACCCTGGTCTACACAATGAGTTCAAGGCCAGTTTGAACTACATAGTGAGAGCCTGTCTCAAAAACCACCACCACCACCACCACCACCAACAGCAGCAAAACAAAACTGACCACTAAGATTAACATGAGTTCACAAAAGAAATACATTCCCAGGTTAAAGTATTCAGCATCATTAGTAGTAGGGGACATTCTGATTGCAATAGCAAGATAGTATTATTTGTTTTATTTTGTTTTTTGAAATAGAACTATAATTCAGTCTGATCTTGAACTCATAGTATGGCCCGGGCTGGCCTTAACCTTGCAGCCTCAGCCTCCCTGGTGCTGGGATTGTGCACCATCATGCCTGGCTCAACTGCAAGATACTATTCTTTTTTTTTTTTTTATAGCAAAACATTTATTGTTGCGTTTTAGACATACATAATAATAACACTTATCATTGGGAATTTGCACCTATACATGATACATCCCACCTCTTTTTTCACATTGCTCTCTCTCCCCTCAAGCCCCCTCACCTCCCTATGTACAAAAGCTTTGTTTCCATTTTTTTTCTTCTATATTCACTTTTTTTCTTGTCCTTTCCTTCCTTTCTCCCTCCCCCCTCCCTTGTTCCCATTCCCATTTGAACATTTTCTTCCTATTTCTCTATATCTATTATACATTTTAGTCCTTATTTCCACTTTTGGTTTCTCACACCAGAGAAACAATGTGGTACTTAAACATGTGTTTCTTTTTGTTGTTGTTGTTGTTGTTTTGGTGCCGGGGAACGAACTTGGGTCCTTGCGCTTGCTAAGCAGGCGGCAGAACCACTGAGCTAAATCCCCAGCCCAAAAACATGTGTTTCTGATTTATTTCACTTGAGTATGGTCTCAAGATGCATCCATTTAGCTATAAATATCTGAAGCTCGCCCTTCTTTATGTCAGAGTAGTACTCCATCGTGTAGAAAAACCACATCTTTATCCATTTGTCGGTTGATGGGCATTTGGGCTGTTTCCAAGCTTTAGCTATTACAAACCGTGCTGCTATAGACATGGGTGTGCATGTATCACTGTGGTATGATGCTTTTAATTCTTTTGGGAAGATATCAAGAAGAGGAATAGCTGGGTCGAATGGAATCTCTAGTTTTAGTTTTTTGAGAAATCTCCACACTGATTCCCACAGTGGTTGCACCAGTCTGCACTCCCACCAGCAGCGGAGCAGGGTAGCAAGATACTATTCTTAACCTTTCATATTGTTAAGGAATTTTTAGAAATTGATAATACTCATTCTGGGCAAGACCAAAGCTAATTTTTTTTTTTTTTCTGTACTGGAAATTGAACCAAGGCCTTCACACTGAGCTACATCCCAAGCCAAGTCTTTTTTATTTTTATTTTGAGATAGGGTCTCACTGTTGCGAGTTGCCCAGGCTGGACTTGAACTTAAGATCTTCCTGCCTCAGCCTCCTAGAATCCTGGGGTAACAGGAATATACCATCACTATTTACTCAGGAAATTGGGCACTTGCCTCATTGCTAGGTTGGTGTGGTTTTTCTGGAGGGCAATTTGGGAATAAAGCACTTTGGTCTGCCTTTCCACTTCTGGAACTTTATCCTGTGGAAACAATTGGTTATGTGCAGCTAGAGGTACATGTACAAGAAAATACATAGTTCCTGATATAAGCAAGCATTGTTTACATAAAAATGAGAAGCAAACTGAATGCTTGTGATTCAGGATTAGTTAAATGAACAGACCTTGCTACTCAGTGGACACACAATGCCCTTCCCTGTCCAGACCCATCACTGCCTATTTGTGCTACATTTTAAGCAGTGTTTACAGAACAGTTTCACAGTCCACAGTGGGTCTTCACATGACCCTGGAACAGTGAGTGGTCAGTGATTTTTCAGCAGCGCTCATGGTACAGCTGGAATGACAGCCACAAGAACATCCATGTTCTTTGCACTACAAGTTCCCTGTGGTGTGTTTGTTAGGATGGGATGTGGGAAACAGTCCCAGTACTGAGATATTTCTGATGCATAAAACCTACAGCCATGTTGTCTGGATTTATCCCTGCTTTGCTTTCTTTTGCTCCCTTACTGTTCTCTCCACCGTGAGAAGGGTCTTCCCAGCCAGTCCAGCACAGGGAGCCGCTGTTTGAACTGCCCTATGTCTCTGGCTGTGCCTCTCTGGCCCTCTTTTGCCTAGCAGTATCTTCCTATGTAATGCGGGTCTCTGATTGGCAACTGTGCTTTGTGCTTGGCTCTAAACTCTTCACTCATCTAATTCAGAGGAAGCCATGAGTAGAGCAACACTCATGACTGTAGGGTGTGGTTGGTTTTCCTTTGCAGAAATAACCTGATTTCCTTGGATTTCCAGGTTTGGACCTCCTTTCCTGATAAGGGAAGACAGGACCATTTCCTGGGCCCAGCTCCAGCAGTGTATCCTCAGTAAGGTCCGCTGTCTCATGAGGAGTGATGCCCCTGCCCAGGTAGGGTATGTGTATGTGTGTGAAAGTGGAATCTAGAGGTAACTCGGGAGAGGGAAGGATTTGCTGTGAATGAGAGTGCTCATGTTGTTTTATCATACAACTCTGATTTATGTGCAAGGGAGTAAACCATTTTATGCCCTTAATGTTTTAATCTTTGTGCTATTACAAAACATATTTCATAGCCAGAGCTTTTTCTTGTTAAATCTTTCCAGACACCACTGGAATAAAGAGCAGTACTTACATTGTTATTCTAATTTTTGTATATTTGTGATTTTCTAGTTTTCCCTAGAGGATGGCATACTGTAGTAAATTGTATCTTACACATCTAGATCAACAATTTCAAAGGACTTGAGATATAATTTTTGTGGCAAGGTAAAATTCATGATTATGTCTGTGTGTGAAAATCTAGATATTAAAATGAATTTGTCCAGTCTTACAGAAAGTGAGATTTAAAGCTCAAAGGAAAACACTTTTTTGCCATATTTATTTATTCTCAGATTGATAGTTCCCCAATTTAAAGAAACTATTTAAAAATCATAGATTTTTAGTACCTATAAAGCCATTAATGTTTTAGCTCCTATAATATCAGAAACCATTCCGATGGCTGCCTGGCATGGAAGATGTTGAAATTTTTAGGGACAACTCAGTCGCATCAGAAACTTCTTTCTCGCCAACTGTTCTCTTAGTAAGAGTCTTTCACTTGGGTGATCTACCAAATTTATTTCAGAGCTAATTCCTCATAATTCAGGTTCCTTTCTGCCCATACCTTTGATTTAGGGTTCATATCAACTATCATTTTGTTAAAGGCCTTCACTACATTTGTACCAACCTTTATCTCTCCAGAGTTTTGTGTGTTGTACTACAGAGTAGATCTGCCACAGTGCCCAAATTAGAAACTAACTTCTCTACAAGTAGGTCAGAATATCTAGTAATAGCTTTAGCCAGCCCCCAAACCTGGGTGCTGCTGATTGTTGAAAGTGGGCAAAACCACTTTCATGTGAACATTTATCTCAGCTGACCTTATTCTTTACCTCATTGCATACACATAACTTTGGCTTCTGTACGTCTATTGTCATTTCAATATTAAGAACTGACCTGGCCCAGGATGTCGAGCAGCTGTGCCTGATAGCGTGTCTGACGCAAGCTCGGGTCGGGTAGAGAGTAGGGGGCCGTAGTCAGGGGTGGTGGGAGAAGGAGGTGGCGAATCACTTATAAATGGCGCCCAAGCAGGACCCGAAGCCCAAGTTCCAGGACGGTGAATGAGTACTGTGCTTTCATGGCCCTCTTCTTTATGAAGCAAAGTGTGTAAAGGTTGCTATAAAGGACAAACAAGTAAAATTCTTTATACATTACAGTGGTTGGAATAAAAATTGGGACAAATGGGTTCCAGAAAGCAGAGTACTCAAATATGTGGACACCAATCTACAGAAACAGCGAGAACTTCAAAAAGCCAATCAGGAGCAATATGCAGAGGGAAAGATGAGAGGGGCTGCTCCAGGAAAGAGGACATCTGGTCTGCAACAGAAAAATGTTGAAGTGAAAACAAAAGAGAACAAACAAAAAGCCCCTGGTAATGGAGATGGTAGCAGTACCAATGAGACACCTCAGCCTCCTCGGAAGAAGAGGGCCTGGGTAGATCCTACTGTTGACAATGAAGAAACATTTATGAACGGAGGTGGAGTTAGAGTAAAGATCCCTGAAGAGCTAAAACCGTGGCTTGTTAATGACTGGGACTTAATTACCAGACAGAAACAGCTCTTCTACCTTCCTGCCATGAAGAATGTGGATTCCATTCTAGAGGACTATGAGAATTAGAAATCTCGAGGAAACACGGATAATAAGGAGTATGCTGTTAATGAGGTTGGAGCAGGGATAAAAGAATACTTCAGTGTGATGCTGGGCACTCAGCTCCTCTACAAAGCTGAGAGACCACAGTACGCTGAGGTCCTTGCTGGCCACCTTGATGCACCCATGTCCCAGCTGTATGGAGCTCCACATCTACTGAGATTATTTGTATGAATTGGAGCTATGTCAGCTTACACACCTCTGGATGAGAAGAGCCTTGCTTTATTACTGAATTATCTTCATGATTTCCTCAAGTATCTGGCGAAGAATTCAGCAACTTTGTTTAGTGCCAGTGATTATGAAGTGGCCCCTCCTGAGTACCATTGGAAAGCAGTGTGAGGCCCTCTCACCCGTGTTTGGATCTTTGTCAACATGTTTTGTTCCTAGTCCTTCTCTTGTACAAATGATGTACTTTGAAGATGTTAGTATATAACAGAGTTGATGTTTGTTTTGATTTTAAAAAGAGAAAATAAAAGGGGTTGCAGCCCTTTTTTTCTTTTCATTTCAAAGTTGCTACCAGTGTATTCAGTGATGGAAAACAGAGACATGGTGTAGAGTGTTTCATTGCCTAGTTGACAAAGCTGCTCTTGAATGCTGGTCGTTCTATTCCTTTGACACCACACACTTTTATAATATGTGTTAATGCTATATGACAAAATGCTCTGATTCCTAGTGCCAAAGGCCCAATTCACTGTATATAACTGAAGACACTCATCCATCTGTGCTCTTTTTTTTCTAATGGTGCTTAAAGAGCCCATCCTTTGCAAGTCACCCATGTTGTTCCTTAGCCATTTTCTCTTTGCTCAAATTGTTGAAGAATGGTGAATTGTTTCATGGTTTTTGTATTTGTGTCTAATGCACGTTTTAACATGATAGATGGAGCTACAGTTTTCTGGAAAAGTCAATCTTTTAGGAATTGTTTTTCAGATCTTCAATAAATTTTTTCTTAAATTTCAAAAAAAAAATTAAGAACTGACCAAGTCATCAGTAGGACCAACGACATTCAAAACAGGAAAACTCCACTTGGCCCTGGATGCTTTCCCATATATCCATTAGTAAATGTGTGGTTGGGTATGGTTTTCTGTAAAAATAATATGTTCCAAAAAGTTCTGAGGTCCCCAGGCTAGTCCATACTATATAATGGTGTAGTAAACATCGAGTCCATATGATAATAACTCGAAAAGAACATATTCAGAATTCTCAACGTTGAACTGAAAAGATGAAGCATAGTGAACATGCATTGAGGCCTCTTGAATGAACTGGCTTAGCCAAGAACAGAGGACAGGAAAATGTTTCTTATGCAAATGAACAATTTGTTGGAAAGAATTACTTTGCCTGAGTTATGAAGAAAAGGTTTATCATTAGGGGAAGGTGTTTGTGGTCGCTCTGTAAACTTTGGTGGGGGTGGCAAGGTTTGTTTGTGTGTGAGCTGAGTCAGCTGTTCCACCCTGTGTTGTGTCTTGTTGATGGATGGCCTTGCCGTGCAGATAGCAAGTTTCGGGTAGGGGTCGCAGAAGAAAAGATTCTCCCCTAGATCGAAGTTAACATTCTTTGTAGGATGCATAGTCTTCTGTGGCCAGCCCTGACTCAATCCCTTGAAGTCAGCTGGCTTCCAGTTATTGATTTTCTCTCTCTGAAAGCTGTGGATCAACTAGAAGATGGGTGTACTCCAGGTAAATGTACAAGCTCCCTGAACTTCACATTCAAGACCTTTGTACTTAGCCCCCTGTTACTGCAGTGAAATACCAAAGGAAACTCATTTATAAAGAGAAAAAGGTTTACTTAGATCACAGTTCTGGAAGTCCAATGACATGGCACCTGTGTAGACTTGGTTCTGGTGAGGGTAGCAGTTGATGACACCTATAGTGGGAATGTATAGGAGCAAAGCTGTCATATCACCAAGTGGAGAGAGGCAGACAGACAGACAGACATGCCCACAGTGACCAAAGGGCCTCTCACAAGGCTGCATATTCCAAAGGTTCCATCATCCCCCTATACTGTAGTGCCACCTGTAGACCAAGGCTTCAGTTACCTTGGGGGACAGTTAAACAGTTAAATAAACTAAACCAGAGCAACCCTCCACAGCTAGGTTCTGGTTCATCTGCTGACCCCAGGCCCTGATACTTCCTGCACAATAGAGCTGGTGGAGTCTACACACAACTCCCTCTATCTGGATCTTTCTGTCCTCCCAAGTGTTGACTGTTCCTCTTTCCTGGAATTCTAATGCTTTCCTTTTCTTCTTCCATCATAATTCAACATATAGTTGTATGTGTGTATCTTTTGTGGGGGGCGTTGAGAGAAGATCTCACTGTGTAGTTCAGGCTGGCCTTGAATTTCCTATGTAGCTCAGGTTGGCCTCGTACTTGTGGCAATCCTCCTGCCTCAACCTCCCAAGTGCTGGGATTACAGGCATGCACCACCACACCCGGCCTCTGTTTTTGTTTGTTTTTTTAAATTTTAAAACAAAGTCTTGCTAAGTTGCCCAGGCTAGACTCGAATGTGCAATTTTCCTGCCTCAGCTCTCTGAGTAACTGGGATTATTATGTCATATCTAGCTCATTAAAGTTTTTTAAGCAAAAGTGTCTGCCTTTTTACCTTTGAGTTGGAAGAATTTTTTTTTTTTGGTTGTAGCTAAGGTCATCATTGATAACATGAGCACTGTGTTTCTTCTATTTGAAATATACATTTATCCTAACCATTTATAAGTGTACATTAATTACATTCACAATGTTATGAGAACATCACCACTACCCATATCCCCAGTTTTTCATCATTTCTGACAAAAGCATAGTGCAGATAGCTGCACTAAACAATTCCTCATTCCCCTTTCTTTCATCTCCCCAGCCCCTTGTAATCACCATTTTACTTTCTAACTATGAATTTGCCTATTCTGGGTATCCTATATATGCTAAGAATCGTGTAATACTTGTCCTTTTATACCTGGTGTTTTTCACTAAGCATCCTGTTTTCAAGGTCATCCATATTGTAGCATGTGCCAGAATCATATCTCCTCCTCCTCCTCTTTCTCCTTTTTCATTTTCCTTTTTTTTTTTTTTGTACTGGGGATTGAAACTAGGGCTTTGCGCATGCTGTGAAAGTGCTCTCTGCCACTGAGCTACCCCCCTCCCCAGCCAAGGCAGTGGCTCAGGTTGAATGAAGATATTAGTTAATGAGTGAGTTGCTAACACATAAGCGGCAGCTTTTTTGTTTTCTTCCTGGGGATCAAACATAGGACATTGGAGAAACAAAGGACCTGTTATATCACTGAATTTCGTCCTCAGCCTTTTGCTTTTCTTTTTTCTTTTTTTTTGGTACTGGAGATGGAACTTGGGACCTTGTGCTTGCAAGACAGGCAGTGGCACCACTGAGCTAAATCCCGGCCCTTCTTTTTTGGTTTTTGAGACAGGGTCTCGCTATGTAGTTTAGGCTGGGCTCAAATTTGCTATGTAGCCCACGCTGGCCTCGAACTCATGGTGATCCTTCCTCGGCCCCTGAGTGCTGGGATTATAGGTTTGTGCCACTACGCCCTGCTCCTTTTTTTTTCTCCTTTATTTTTAAAATGAGAAAAATTCCAGTGTGAGTCTATACCATACTTTGTCTACCCATTCATCTGTTGATAGGGATTGGGTTGTTCCTATCTTTTGATTATCATGAATAATGTTGCTGTGAATATATCTGTTTGAGATTTTGCTTACAGTTCTTTGTGGGTGATATGTTAATTCTATGTTTAACTTTTTTACAACCTGCCAAACTATTTCCACAGCAGCTGTACTGTTTTACATACCCACAGCATTCCAATTTCTCCACATTCTCACCAACACTTATTATTTTCCTATTTATTTTATTAAAAAATTTAAAATTATAGTTATCCTAGTAAGTATGAAGTGCTTTTGATTTGCATTTTCATAATTACCAATGATATTGACCATTTTTTGGTGTACCTATTGGTCATGTGTATATCTCAGGAAAAGTGTCTATTCCAGTCATCTGCCCATTTTTGAATTGAATTCTTTTTGCCAGTAAATTTTTAAGAGGCACTTTCAATTTAGACATATCATTGTAGAAGTCACTTCAATGCCAGAAATGTTGGAATATGATAAAATGTATATTGAAATATACAAATATTATTTTGTATGTAAAACATACATTAACTTGCCTTTAGATAATTGCCTCAGCCTGGTGATAATTATTTTAATAGAGTAGGTTAAATTATCCATTAATACAGAGGTACCTTAGTTCATGAACTTAATTCTTTCCATAATTCTTGTCACAAATTGAATTGGATGAGAACTGAATCAAATTTCTCCATAAGGTCAACATTGAACATTGAATTTGATTTGGTTCTCATCCAATTCAGTTTGTGACCGGAATTGTGGAAAGAATTAACTTTGTAAACTGAGATACCACCGTAATTGATTTATTTTCCACTAACTATCAATATCTGCACCAGTTAAACACTTGTTATTCAAATACACTGTTCTTACTTTTGGGGGACGTTTAACGTGTTAAACATAGTAATAGCTTACTGTGTTAAGAGTGTGAATCTTTTAAAAAAAGTTGTCTGTTGATTTAAAATACTAATCATACAGATATGTTCAAAATACATTGTAGAAAAAAGTGATTACATGTTTGAGTAATTTAAGTGATACCTAAGAGTCTAACTGAGACCCCATCTCCAAATGCAAAATTTTAAAAAGGTCTGGGAGGGCCAGGCATTTAGCTCAGTGGTTCTGCCATCTGCCTCAAAAGCACAAGGTCCTGAGTTCGATCCCCTGGTACCAAAAAAAAAAAAAAAGGGACTGGGAATGTAGCTCAATGTGAAGGCCTTGGGTTCAAGCCCCAGTACTTAAAAAGTCTAATTTAAATCAACACAAGGACTTGATGATAGTGCTCATTTCGGCAGCACATATGCAAGGACTTGATGATAACGTGTCTCTGTTTTTGTCTTGGCAGAACCTGGGGTCTCTGTTCTCCATCCGGGTTGTGGGACTGCCCTTGGCCTGCAGCTACTTGTCCCCACTGGACAGTCGGCCCCTTTGCCACTGGGCAGTGGACAGGTAAGGGGAGGCTCTAGTTAGGTAAGAGAATGAATGTGCTCTTATTTGACTGGACTTCTTTGAGGCTGTATATCAATAAAATTATAGTAGGGGTCGGGATGAAGCTTGGTGGAAAAGCCTGGATAAGAGCCCTTACCCTGAGTTACTTCCCCAGCACTGTAACAGACAAACAAACAAACAAGGTTGCTTACAATACTAGCTGTTCTAGGTCACTTACCTCTCTAGCACCAGCCACCTTGATGGGTCCTTCAACACATTATGTTCTTTTAACCTTTACATCCAGGGAGGTATTATTATGGCCACTTAAAAAGATGAAGGGACACCAAGCTTCTCAGAGATAATTAACTTGCTCACATTCGCACCACCAGTTAATGGCAAGCCCAGATCTGAACCCAGATTCAAACCAAGACACTCATATCCATTTGATTAGGTCACGCTACTGCACTGGCAGGGGTGTCCCCTCTCAGGTGGGTGAGGATGTGGCCCCTGGATCATTGGCCCCAAACTGTAGAAGACTGTGACTGTGACTGGGGGATAAGGCCAGCATGGCTGTGTCTCCTGGCTCTCCCCGTGTCCACCTCTGCTGCCTGTCCCTGTGCAGAGCCTCCACAGGGCCAGCACGGTAGCTAAGGGCCATTTTGCTCTGTATTTTTTGTTCATTTTCCTACATAGTCAAAGTTCTTAGGAATGTTCAATGATTTCCTGACTTGGTGAACCAAAGCTGACTGATGACAGAGAATCAGGATGGGACAATCCAGAAGGTTCTGGAACCTATGTCATATGGTCAAATATATAGTGAATGTTTAAATTTTAAAAATTATTACAATAGAAGACACATTGCCATTAATCTCCTTCAAAATACTTTCCTTCATCTCAAGCACAGTATTTCATCATTCTTGTTATTTTCTGAAGCAGTTCTGGAAGTCCTCTTTCATGAATGTCTTTATGAGGCAGGATTAAAAATACAGTGAATGCTGCTGCTACAGAGTGCCATCTAACATACAGGCAAACTTGTAAAAACATTGCAGTGTCTTCATGTTCCTTATTCATTGAGTTTGGTACCTTGCAACTTCTGGCTCTTCCTCAAAGTCAAAATGATCATGAAAAGTAAACATTTTGAATTAATTCAGGATTCAAAACCTGTGTCTGATTGATTTCATTTCACTTAGCTTTATGATCACTTCTATAAATTTATCGTTCTACATGGCTACTACTTCATTATATATAATTATTCATGATATATAATATTTATTATTCACGAATAATGTCTCAATGACAAAAAACATAATGGGAACACATATAAAATACATATTCTATTATTTAAAACATTATTTTCAATATATATTTCACATTTTCTTTTTCATTTATCTATTAATGAGCATATAGGCCATCTCTAAGATTTAGCTGTTATGAATTGTGCTCTTATAAGCCTTAGTATTGATGCCTCATTGCAATATGATGTCTTTAACTCTTTTGGGAAGGTACTTAGAAGAGGTATGGCTGGATCAAATGGAGTTGCTATTCTTTTTTTCTTGAGAGAATATTACTTTAATTTAACATTGACAGTGGGTCTATGTAATAGCATAGGGAAAAGATAGTGGAGAGAGAATATGGTTGGACTTCTCATTTCCTAAGCAGCCTGAATTTTAACAGCTGAGCTTCCACTGGCATCTTGCCTGGCCTCTCAGTGAAGTGGGAGGGTTTGGTTGGAAACTTTATGAATTTGATTACTCTAGATACCTAAGGTAGGTGGAACAGTGCAGTATTTGTCATTTTGTGTTTGGCTCATGTCACTTAGTATCATGTCATCAGGGTTCATCCATGTTGTAGCATGACAGAATTTCCATCCTTCTTATGGCTGAATAATCCATTAAGTGGATATACTACCTTGATATTTCCTAGCATTTTTTTCTTTTTCTTTTTTCTTTTTCTGGTCTTCTTGAGGTGTTCCTCTCTGGGTATGCAGCTCCACATGTTGTTGGGCCTCAGCACTGTCCCCTTGGGCCTCTGCTGTCTCCTGTGTTCCATCCTGGGTTACCTTGCTCTTAGTTCTGTCTGCCACCTTTAGGTTGAGGGCCCCAGTTCTGCTTCTCCAGCCCAGATTTTTCTCTTATGTGGAGATCAGCTTGTACTAGTATGTGTCTTACAGATACAAAGCTTTTACCAATCTGAACACTTCTTGCTTCTCCCTTTCTTCTTCCCATCTTCAGTATCTACATGGGGACTCCCCATGGGCTCAGTAATCTAAGCTAGGAACCTCAGAACTACTTCTGATTCCTGCTTCTCACCTTCTCTTTACATTCAATCCATCACCAGGACCTTCCTCTTCCAAATCCTGGCCTTCCTCAGCTCCCTTCTCTCCTCTCCACACTCACTGTCCTGTGAGTTCATTGTTGATCCCTGTCACATGAGTTTGAGCCCTGATTTCTTGCTTGGATCGCTCTGCACCTCCTGTTTGATTTATGTGCCTCCAGACCAGTGGCCCTCTCCTCCCACTGTCACACCTGTTTGTTATGCTGCCTTCACTGGCTGCTCAGGGCCCACTGCATAATGTCCATGTGTCCAAGGGCAGCAGATAGCCCTCCCTCTCATCAGATGGCCTGACACTCACAATGCCTACATGTACTAGCACACACCCTCACTCCTCCTGAGCCCTCTGCTGCGACAGACTTTCCCCTGGCTAATGCCTGCCTACCTGCCCTCCAGAGCAGAACTCAAGAGTTCCTCAGTTCTGGTACACAGCCTGGGTGCATTCTATTGGTGTCTATGTGCTTCCTCATTAGACTCCAAGCTCCTTAAAGTAGAGGTAGTTATATACATATAGTACTTGGAATAGCATGTCTTCTCTCAATTTCAGATGATGCCTCTCTCCTCTGAATCAGGGCTGTAAGAGGAGATGATTGTGCTGTCAGACCACTGATTGTTTCCATGTAAAGAGCAAATCTCGGGATACAGCCATCCGTTTTCCTCTTCTGTGCCCCTAGGAGCTTGGTATAACAGAGTTGGAGGGGAAGCCCCATTCTCCTTTTCTACTCCTAGGTTTAGATCCCACAAGTAGACTGAGGACTGGGGCAGGAAAAGACCCATACTGTAGTTGTTGTTGAAAAGATTGATTAAAAAATGTGGTTTGGATATGAATCCAATTTGGGTTTTTGAATATGTTCTCACCAATTTAAATCATGCCTCCACCCCTGTCCCCCATCAAGGCAGAGCCTCCCAATTGTAGGGCTCCTTCATAGTGGAAATGGGGAGTTTGGGGGTCCTAAAGAAAGAGACTTAGATATAGGGCTCCCTAGTGTGTCTACTGAGTCAAATATTTATCCCAAACACCCAATCTCACACTTGCAGGGCAGTGGTGTTTCCAGGGAGCTCGGGGCACTGGTGAAGGAGAGTTCCAGGCTGCTATGCTCTGGACTTGGAAAGGAGGAACAAGAGGGGAGAGCCAGTGGCTTCTCCCAGTTCTACTGATCAGAAAAGGCACTTCTCTTGGGGACTGAGGGCGCAGGGAGCAACATGCTCATAGCTTAGTTCTTCCAAGTCTACAGGAAGATGAGGAAGGACAATCACTCCAAACAAACAAGGCTCCACCAACAAGAGCCTGGAGAACTACTCCCAGCTCCACCTTGCTCCCAGCCCCCTCTGGCTCTTGGTCATGCAGGAAGGTACCACAGCTCTACCCTAGATCCTGAGTCCTTGTCTAGAGGTCTTTGTGACTTCCATGAGCTTGAAAGTATCTCCTGAATCATTTGGCTCTGACTTCCCCCTCTTTATTTTGCTATAAATTCTTAACATCTTTTGGGTATGGACTTGCCTCCCGTCCTTGTATCTGCCCTTGTTGATGTCAGAGTAAAACCTCATGCCTTTCACTTCTGACTTGTCCCATCTCTTGTGTTAAGGCCTACCAGCCTTTTCTGAAATGGGTCAGGCCATAGCAGTTGGAAAGAGGCATAGGTTAACTCACACAGATTTCCCGGAGGGCTTGGAAGGCCGAGAATTTTTAGGTGTTGTGGGTGAGTTGGAGTGTGCTTCACCCACATTCTGTTTTGGGGACAGTTAGCAGCTCTTTGGGGCTTTCTCGGCATTGGCTACTGGTGTAGGATGTTCATGTAGAACTTTCTGTAGACACTGAGAAGGAAACTGGGGACTAATGGGACAGTCGGTCTGTGGACAGTTGATCTGTGTCCTTGTAGTGACCCCAAATCCTAGGAGCTCCCAACCTCACAAGGGCATGAGGGGAGTAAGATGTAGGTTTAAGACTAAACCTTCAGTAGAGTTTGCAACCCTAGATAGCTTGGGTTTTGGTCAGTTTAGGGTGTTTCTGTTTGGAACACCCATCCCAGCTTGCAGACCAACTGCTAAGCCCTGCAGGACTATGGGAAGGAGGCTCTGTGTTTCCTGACAGGCTCCCTTGCTGTCTCCTCAGGGCTTTGCACCTCAGGAGGCCTGGAGGCCCACCCCATGTCAAGTTGGCTGTGGAGTGGGACTGTGCCACCAAGGAGTGGTGAGTCATGGAGTCTGCCTCCTGCAGCACTGAGATGGGGGCTGCCTCTACTCTAAATCTTCTCTGGGCCCTCTTCCCCCAGTCTGGCTGTAAGGCAGTGTACACAGCCTGAAGCCATGTGCCACATCCCTCTGGGAGACCTTAGTGAGAGTTGTTAGTGCAGTGGTGGTCATGATAGTGATGCTAGGAGTAGTAAATGCTTGTGTAGTTCTCACCCTGTGCGAGTAGTCCCTACTTGCAGCACTTTATTTGCTCTGAGCAACTTACTGAGTCTTCATCCATGTGGAAACCAGGAGGTAGAGGGTACTGTTATATTTTGCATTTCTCAGAGGTGGAAATGGATGCACAGAGAGGTTAAGCAGTTGCTTAAGGTCACACACAGCTCATACATAGCAGAGCTGAGATTTGAACCCAGGTGGTCTGGTTCAAGTCCATGGTCTTTATCAGCCTTATTTTGAAAAAGGACATTTTTCAGTCCAATTAGTATGTATTAATCTCCTACCAGGTGTGAGGTCTTGTGCTAGAACAAGGAAAACAAACATGGGTAAGCAAGAACTTGGTCCGTTGAGGAGCTGGGAGGGAAGACAGATGGCAGTGAGACAGAGTGAGTATGAAGTCAGGAGTATGCATAAGAGGGCCCCAGGATCCCATAGGAAGGGCACTGCAACTTCACCTGGCCAGTGCTGTCTGCTGGGTTTGCTGTGGGGACAGACAGAGAAAGCCCTCTTGGAGGCAAAGGGCCCAAACGCCATGGTGTCCTCTCCCTCCATACAGCCTGTTTGGGAGCCTCCAGGAGGAGCAAGTCCCTGACGCAGACAGCGTGTGGCGGCAACAGCAGGCACACCAGCAGCCCAGCTGTACCCTGGATGAGTGCTTTCAGTTCTACACCAAGGAGGAGCAGGTCCCATCCTGGGTCCACTCCCGGTTGGGAAGGGGGCTGGCACCTGGCAGTGGGTTGGCTGTGTGCTGCAGGGTACCTCATGGTCCTGGTGGCTTCCTTTTCAGTTGGCCCAGGATGACGCATGGAAGTGCCCCCACTGCAAAGTCCTCCAGCAGGGTATGGTGAAGCTGAGTCTGTGGACACTGCCCAACATCCTCATCATCCACCTCAAGAGGTTCTGTCAGGTGGGGGAGAGAAGGAACAAGCTGTCCACACTCATCAAGTTTCCACTCTCGGGACTCGACATGGCTCCCCACGTGGCTCAGAGGAGTACCAGCTGCAAGCCGGTGCCAGGTCCCTGGCCCTCCTGGAAGCAGCCAGCCAGCCTGCCCACCTCCTACCCAGTGGACTTCCTGTACGATTTGTATGCTGTCTGTAACCACCACGGCAGCCTGCAAGGTGGGCATTACACAGGTGAGCCCTGCCTTGCCTCTCTGCACACAGCAGTGATGGCTGTGAGTCTTGGCTCTGGCCTGAGCCTCCCGGTATCTCTAGAATTGGCCCCTTTCTATGCTGAGCTGCCTGTGTACCCACTGTGACTGACTCCTCACCCACTGCACAGCAGGACACCAGGGTGTGTGCAAGAGGGATGGGTGCCTGGTGCCAGCTGTAGAGCTGATGTTGCTTAGGCTGGTGGCTAGAATATGAAGTTATGCTGCCCAAATTTTCAGGAGTGTCAAATCTGAGAGGGTGATTATTGGAACCAAGAGAGTGTTGTTTATCATCATCCGTGATTCTTCTACACAATGAATCTTACTTCTCTCAGATTGGTAATTTTAATTTCTGCTGCTCTAGAGTACTTGGGAGCAGTGGACAGAAAAAAACAAATTGCTAGGTAACACTCTCAGTGATTCATCCCTAGAAACCGTTTTAGAGTGTTATAACTGATCCCTTCATGATTATGTCCTTCCCTGCTTCTATCCCATCAGGGTATCTCAGGGGCCATGGGAAGCCTGCGGGAGAGCTGTTGGCAGAAGCAGCAATTGAGTGTCCACTGTGTAGATAGAGTGGAGGCTGATCCAAGTGATCCTTGTGATTCTGAGAGGTTTAGGGTGTGGGCTTCCACTGGAGGATGGTGCAGGCAGCATGGAGAGAGACATGAGAGTGCCAGGCTAGGGACAGAGAAGAGTCAGAGGACAGGGCTGGCTTGGTCACATTGGAGTTACAGTGGACACCAGAGTTGCTCTTGTACTGCTGTCTGGTGCCATCCACTTTTTCCACAGTTGTCCTTAGCTCAAGGACCATTCTGTCCAGCCCCTTCCCTGATCTTTCTTCTGTGGCCTCAAAAATAGCTCAGCAAAATTCCTTCATGACGTACATATTCCTTGGGAGATATTTCTCTTGGTATATTAACCTCAGATTTTTTTTTTAACAAAAAGTGTCATAGCTAAATTAGTCCTTGTATTCACATTAATGATGAAAATAAGGACAACTGAAAGTTGGGTCTTGTCGTTTCACATGTGGAATGTGCCAGTTTCTCAAATAAACTCCTGGAAAGGCCCCACTGTAAATTAAAAACACTGATGTAGAATCACCAGGGGACTTAGAAGCAGTGTAGGAATAGGGAGGGTTGGTAGGTGTGTGCACTGTGAGCTTTGCCTTATCAGATACAAAATCCAGATCCCTCCCACGAGTGAGCATTAAGGGGAGAAATCTACAATTTTGAAGTAACAAGGGACCCATTTTCTGCAGAATTCTCCCAGGGTCTGTGTTTGCTCACGTTACAGGGTACCACTCACTAGAGAAGACTGCTTAATACGAAACCAAAGAGAGGAGAGCCCTAAGGGAAGGGAGAGGGAACCAGCAAGGGTGGAGGCAGTACAGTGTGTACAGCCAGCACTGCTGAGAGAGGTCTGGGCAGAATGCTGTCAGCTGTGGCACCTCACAGTGTCTTCCTCCTCACCACAACCTTGCATAGCTGGTTAATGACAGAGCCAGAGGATCACCCCTGAGCCACCTAGCCTCAGGGTCCATAGCTTCTGCTTGCAGAGGGTGAATGAGTTCTAACATGAACAAGACTCTGAATCATGCAGGGTGCTGTGGATGAGGACCAACTTCTTCAATTGGAGATATAGACCTTCTTGTAGCTTCCTAAGAAGGGGTGATGGAGTGTAACATTTTGAGTCCTTGCATGTCAGAAAACACCTTTTTGGTTGACACGCTGGTTGGACATAGAAGCCTAAATTGATGATTGTTGTCCCACAGACTTGGGACAAGGATGGTTGGCAGGGAATGGGGTCTGGAATCTTACAACATGTACCTTCGCGCCTGTCTCTTTCATTCATTGTGCTAGGCACTGAGGAAACTTTGGTCTGATCTTCAGGTCTGGAAATTTCCTTATGGTCATTTTTTTACAATTAAAATGTTAATTGGCACATAAAAATTGTACATATTTGTTGGGTATCATGTGATGCTTGATACATGTATACATTGGGTAATGTTCAGATTAAGGTAAGCATATCTATATCCTCAAATATTTATCATTGTATTGTGATGAAAGCATTAAAATCCTTTCTTCTAGCTTTTAAAAAAATATACAGTACATTATTGTTATCTGTAGTCCTCCTACTATGCAATATAACACTGAAACTTACCTCTCCTGGCTGAATATCAGTCTCCCCCCATTGCTCCTCCTTCCCTGCTGGAATCCGCAGTGGCTGGTAACCCCATTCTACTCTTGTCCTCTGTGAGATCAACTTTTTGAGATCTTATAACTGAGTAAGATCCTGTGGTCCTTGTCTTTCTGTTCCTGGCCTATTTCATTTAATGTGTCTGCTTATTTTTAAAATTCAATTTTAAAAATAGGTAATATATTCCTGTGGCTCAAAAATCAAATGATACAAAGGAAATGTGCAATGAACAGTCTTGCCCTTAACTGTTGTCCACTGGACTCCAAACCAATTTTTTTTTTTTTTTTTTGGTACCAGGGATTGAACTCAGGACCTTGCTCTTGCAAGGCAGGCATGGTGCCACTGAGCTAAATCCCCACCCATGCAAACCATTTTTATTAGTTTTCTGTATTAGGGTTTCTATATGCAAACACAAGCAGACATACAGTTAGATACTCTAAAGCTTCTCTCTTCTCATACCTTCTCAACACAAGGGTAAAATACTGTACCTGGCTTTTTTCACTTAGTGAAAGATCTTAGAGAACTTTTCATAAGGGTACACAGAGAATTAGGGCATTCTTTGTTTTAAAAAAATTGTTTAATATTTCATTGTGTACATGTACCAGTTAATTTTACTAATCGCCTACTCATGGGCATTTAGTTGCTTACAAACTTTCATTTTAATACAGGTAGAATAAGCAGAATAAGAATAATGATCTCTCAAATATGTCTATGTCCTACATCTCAGGACTGTGAATACATTATCTTACCTGGTAAGTACTGTCAAGATGGTTGATCAGCTGATCTTAAGACAAAGAGATGTATTGCCTGGGTGGGCCTCATGAAATACCAGAGACCTTTCAGTGTGGAGAAGGAGATAGGAGAGTTAGTGACATGGGTGAGAGGAACTCAACTTCAACTCATTATCAATGGCTTGGAAGATGGAAGGGGCCAGAAGCCAGGGAATGTGGGTGACCTTGAGAAGTTGGAAAAGACGAGAAAGCAGACTCCTGAGAGCCTTCGGGAGGATTACTGCCCTCTTGATTTTAGATCATTGAAGCCCCATTTGGGGTTTTGGCTCTGTGGACTCTATAATATTATATTTGTGTTGTTCTAAGTAGTTGTAGGGTGATTTTTTGCAGCAGCCCTAGGAGACCTAATGATCCACAATAGTCTCTCATTTTCATTATCTTTTCCCTCTTATTTTCCATTTTATTCTCTCTCTCTCTCTCTCTCTCTCTCTCTCTCTCTCTCTCTCTCTCTCTCTTTCTCTTTCTCTCATACTCTAGGAGATTTTTTCAACTTCATCTCCTAACTCTGGTATTGCATGTTCTTATTGTGGCTGTCATGATTTTAACTGGTTACTGCTCTTTCTCTTGTCTTGGATTTCTTCACTAGAGCACCCTGGATTGTTTTTGGCTCTCACCAGGCCCAGCCTTTTGGGGTACCTGTTACTTCCAGTCCTGAGTGCCTGAGTGCATCCCAGTGAATGGGCCGCTCCCTGCCTCCCCAGCATGGCAGGCACTGTGAGCCGGCTAAGCTCCATCTGCTTGCTGGGCTCTCAAAACGGGGGCTGTTCTTCCTCTCCCACTGTCTTTTGACACTGTGGTTTTACTTCTTTCCACCTTCTGGAAGTATGGTCATTTCACTGCATTTCAGAAATGTACATTTTTAGAAATCTGAAATGCCTTCTGTTGCATTTTAAATTTGTAGAGTAGGTATTGCATTTCTATATTTCAAACGCATGCAGCCTAAAAAAACTGGACAGTGGAGAGTCTTGATCCCATCTTTGTTCCTCATCATCCCCTCCCCTTCAGTTACTTTTAATAGTTTGTCTGTTCTTCCATACTTTATGTAAGTGCAAGCAACTGGGAGTGTATCTTCTCATTTATACTCATGTAGTTCCATTATACCCCTAATTTAAGTGAGTTCAATTTTCTGAGTTGTATCTGGCCCCTCGCCTTAAAGTCTGTCTTGGGAATCTTTGTAGATTTGTAGAAAGCTCCCCTAACCTCTGTAAATGCACTACAGAGACGAATCAATTTATTTATTAAATAAGTGCCCTGTGGATAGGCTTTGGGCTGGTTTATCTTTTTGCATTACAAACATTGCTGTCATAACCTTTTACATGCGTCATTTCCTACATGAACAAGTTTGTTGGTAGGAAAAAGTCTTAGAATTGGGATAGCTTGGTCTGTGAGGTTTTTTTGTTTGTTTGTAGGTGAGTGCTTTTACCACTGAACTATACCCTAGCCTTGGGTTGGCATTTTGACAGATACTAACAAACTGCTCTGCAAAGGTTTGTAGGAATTTGCACTCCTACAAGCAGTGAGTGCTTGTTTCCCTATAACCTCCATTCTAGTGTTATTACACCTTCGGGTTTTTGTCAGTCTAATGAGGGAATGGTATATCAGTGTAAGTGGAACACTCAGCTTCTCACAGTGTAGGTAAGTTTAAGCCACTTCTCCTGTATCTACCAGCTGCTGTGGGTGCTTTTCTGTGAGCTTTCTGTCCCTATCCCTTGTCTGGCCAATGGATTATTGTAACAAGCCCTGCATAACTTCTGTCACTTGACTGTTCCTGTAGTCATTTAGCACCATGCAGAAGATTGTTATTTTTTTCTAGGTAACCAAATTATCAATTGTTACTTTTCTTGTTTCTCAAGTAAATAATGATTGGAGAGCCTTTTTTTTTTTTTTAACAATATGTTTTGCCTGTGTTTTCTACTAGTACTTTGTGGTTTTACACTTTTAAATCTTCAATTTGGAGTTTCTTGATACTTTTAAGAAAATGGGATTCATTTTTTTCCCCAAGAAGATACTGATTTATCCCAAGAAAAGTCTACTTAATTTCTTGAAACCCCTTCTACCATAGCAGATACTACATTTTTTTCTTTATGCATGTAGCCCTATGTAGCCCAGGCTGGCCTTGAACCTGCGGTGATTCTGCTACCTCAGCCTTCCAACTGCTCAGATTACAGGCGTGCACCACCATCCCCAGTGGATATTACATATTTATGTTTGGATCTTTGTTTGTTTGTTTGAGACAGGATTTTACTATGTAGTTCAGGCTGGCCTTGAACTCTGTATGTAGGCCTGACTAGCCTAGAACTTGTAGCAATCCTCTTGCCTCAGCTTCCCAAGTGCTGGGACTGTAGATGTGCACCACCATGACTGGCTTAAAATGGTTTTTATAATGTTAAAGGTGGTTAAAAAAAAAAAAAAAAAAAGAGCAAGAAGAGTATGTGACCAAATGTGACTTGCAGAGCCAGAACTATTTGCTTATCTGGCCCACTATAGCCTAAGGATTCAAACTTAAAATAACAATACCCTTTATTAGTAAGAATCTGGTATTGATCATTTCTGATTCCACAGAATTCATTTCTAGCCCCCCCTATTGACTTCTTCTCATTCTGTTCTAAGTGTGTCCATTTATCAGCCATGCCAGTGAGGAATGTCCTCCTGCCCTTTGGCATTCTGATGATTGAGACTGGGGTTTGGACCTTTGCAGCTTACTGCCGGAACTCTCTGGATGGCCAGTGGTACAGCTATGATGACAGCACAGTGGAGCCCATTCAGGAAGACGAGGTCAACACCAGAGGGGCATACATCCTATTTTATCAGAAGCGGAACAGTATCCCTCCATGGTCGGCCAGCAGCTCCATGAGAGGTGAGGCTGCTGCTTGTTGGGGTGGGTGGAGGGGAGGCTTGGGAAATTTCCTTAAGAATCAGGAGAGTTCTCAGTGGAACATCCAGGACCAGGAAGGCAGGCAAGGATTGAAAAGAGAAAGCCTTGGATGCTGCTATACAAATCTGAGCACCACAGGCTAGCAGCTCATTTGTTCCGATGTGGGATGGATATAGTATAAGTCAAGAAAGGGGAAAAGAATGATGTTGCTGGCATGGTGGTGCACACCTGTAATCCCTGCACTCAGGAGTCTGAGGCAGGAGGATTGCTACAAGTTTGAGGCCAGCCTGGGCTACTTAGTGACGCCTTGTCTCAAAACAAACAAACAAAACAAAGAATAGTTTCAGTCAGAGCAGGATGACTGGGGGTGTGGGATTCCATATTCTCAGTCTTACTCATATGAGCCAGATTTAATTAAGCTTGTGACATATAAACTTATAAGCTTGTGTTAGTCCTGTGGTAAGAAGGGTACAAGGCTCTCTAGAAAGTGTAGCTGCTTAATGGTACCCTAGCGATTCATTTATTAACCTCAAACTTGCTTCGAAGTCTAGAGGAAAAAAGTGCCAAAGCTGACCCTTTTGTGTGACTTGTTCCAGTCTGCAAAGCAGCTGTCCTTATTTTGGGGCTGGGAGAGCATTTAGCAAAAAGTGATCAGATTTTCTCTTAACCATTATTGAAAAATGGCCAAATAAGCCAAGAATTCTCAGCAAGTCTCAGCTAAACCTAATATGAGTCTAGCTTCTACATACTTACAGAAAGTAGATATTGAAAGAATAATAAAACACCATATTAGAGAAGGGCAGATTTTCTTACTGTCCAGTGCAATAAAGATAATATTGCCCTGTAGATCAAAGAGTAGACATCTTTAATGATTATTATGAAAGACTTGGTTTCCCTAAATATGGCATATGCTCCTGTAACATAGCTTATTGCACGGTGACCCTTGGGAACTGAGACCATGGGACCTAGGAATAAAACTTGGACTATGGCTATTGCTGTGAGTAATAAAGTCCTTTGGTTCTGGAAAAACAGATAAAAAACATATTTATGAAGCCAGAGTCGGTAACCAGTAATTTCATGGAAAGCATTTCAGTACTCACCAGTATTCTTTCCTTTCTGTGCCCACCTGCCTCTCCCGAAACCCGGAAGGCTGGTGGCATGGGCACTGCTGTAGGACTCTTGGGCATGCAGCACTGTCTCTTCAGGGACAGAGCCCTGGTGGGGGGGAAGTGCCCCTTGGTTGCTAAAGGGAGCGTTGGGTGCAGCCTCCTCGTGCTTCCTCTGCAGGCTCCACCAGCTCCTCCTTGTCTGACCACTGGCTCATGAGGCTCGGGAGCAACAGCGGCAACAGCACCCGAGGCAGCCTGCTGTCCTGGAGCTCTACCCCCTGCCCCTCACTGGCCCGGGTGCCCGACTCTCCTATCTCCACAAACAGCCTCTGCCACCAGGAGAAGGGTATGTGCATTACATTTGCTGATTTTCTGTAACAGCTATTGTCCCTCCTCTTGGTCAAAGTGTTGCTCTTTCTAGGCCTGAGCACAGTCAGTGTGTTCACCTGTCACGCAGGGTCTCCATGACCTGCCCGCACCTGTCCCTCCTCCTCATTCACAATCCTCTATCTATAGGTACAGTGGGCCTTCTGTGTGCACAGGTCGCATGTCTGTAGAGCCAACCAACTGCAGATTGAAAATATTTGGGAAAAAAACCCCACATCTGTACTGAACATGAAGACTTTTTTCTTGTTATTATACCTCAGCCAACTATTTATATAGCACTGACATGTATTGGATATTGTAAATAATCTAGAGATCATTTAAAGTATACAGGAGAATATGCATAGGTTCTACGCAGACACCATGCTATTTTATGTCAGGGACTTGAACAACTGAGAATTTTAGTGTCTGCAGGGGGACCTGAAAGTGATTGCCCATGGATCCCAAGGATTATTCTGTGTTCTTTCTTGGCTCCCATGGAGCTTATTGTCTCATGGGGCAGACAAATGATGAAGGCAGCAATGTGACTGAGAACAGGGATAAATACTCAGGAAGGAAATGTGGAGGCCAGGAGAGGGAAAGGGGCACAAAGTTCAAAGGGTCCAGTGGGGAAGTGCCCGAAGCGGCATTCTGAGGAGGTAGCACTGAGTGAGAGAGGGTGACTCATGGGGCAAGTCTGGGGAGTACATTCCAGGAAAGGAGCATCAAGGGAAACAGCCAGGGTGGGGTGGGGGTTGTGTGGAGAAGGGGAGTGGAGTAGAAGAACCCAGAGCTGTGGCCAGAGCTGAGTTCCTTAGCATCCATTCCTGTGCATTCCTGCTTTTTTGTTTTGTTTTCCCAGTATTGGAGATTGAACCTAGCTGCACCCCCAGCCCCTTTTTATTTTTTACTGAGGCAAGGTCTCCCTAAGTCACTTAGTTGCCTAGGCTGTTCTAGAACTTGCCATCCTCCTGCCTCAGCCTCCAGAATGCTGGGATCGCAAGTCTGTGCCACCACGCCCAGCTCCATTCCTACTACTTACTATAGTGGGTTGCAACCCACCCTGGCTGGCCTTTTTTTTTTCTCCCTGCATTTTCACGACTTCACATTTAGGAGAGTGTCTGTAAAACGAGGAAGTGTTCTTCAGACTTGTTCATCCCTGCAGCACTGCCTGTGATAAGCTCATAAATTTGTCTCAGCTCCATCCCTCTAAAGGCACGTTACCTGGGCCATTTTTCAGTTCTCCCAAGGAGAAACGTGTCTGACATTGTCCCTGGTGGAGGCAGCTCCAATGGACGAGCAACTTCTCAATGGGGCTCAGGAAGTGTCAGGCACAGTCCCCAGGGCCTGGGGTTTCCACGTAGAGGAACAGTTGTTCATCCCACTCTGCAGGGTGGTTTCCTTACAGTCCCTGAATGCAAGGAAAATTGCTAGGGATCCTCCCTAGCAGAGGGGCCCTGGGGCTTAGACTGCTCCACTTTTCAGGACAGGAGTTTTTGTTGATAAATTTCCACTGTGGCTTTTATTGGGCCTCAAAGCTTTTGTTTTTCTCTTTTTCAGCTCTTTCCAGATAGTATTTCATCTCAGTTTTCATTTCTTCTTTGATCTAGGTGTTATCTGGAGTTTCAAGTATTTCCGATTATTTTTTACTTTCACCTTCTTATTTTTTATTTCTAATTTGGTAGATTATGATCCAAGAGTGTGATTTTCAAAAGTTATTCTTTTTGTGATCAAGTTCTTGATTATTTTGTAAATGTTTCATGTACATGTCAAATAATACATATTGTCTATTTGGGAAATGTGAGCTTTATTTAATAACTGTTAGGTGAGCTGGTCATTTATTCAACTCCCCTATGTCTTTTAATTTACCTTCTCTAGGGCTACCTGACTGGGAAGATGTATTGAAACCTTCCTGCAGAGCTGTATTTTTAATCATGTACTCCTTGAATTTTATTAATTTTGTTTTATATTGTTAGCTGCTTTGTTACTAGGTAGCTGCAACTTTATGACTGTTGGATCTCTATTTTTAAAAAATAAACTGTGCTTTTTATCATTATAATGTTGCTCTTTATCCTGCTTAATATTTTTAACCCTAAATATACTTTGTTCAAGGTTAAGAATTCCATCCCTTCCACCTTTCTTTTTGTTTGCCCTTGCCTGGTGTCATTTTGCTTTTTTGCCTTTCTCTTTTGCTTGGTGAATTTTCTTTTTGAATTAGACTCAAGTGGATTGTGATAAATAATATGTTGCTGGGTTTTTGTTTGATGGTTTCATGTCGAAAATTCAGAGCCGCCCTCCCCGCCCTGCCCGCTTTGTTATACTGCTGGGGATCAAACCCAGGGCCTCACTCAAGCTAAGAAAGTGGTCCTCCACTGAGCTGCCCTCGGAGCTTCAGAGCTGGTCTTATAATTGGAGAATTCAGTCCACTCATACTAATGGGACAACTGAAATATTTTTTTTGTTTTGGTACTGGGAATCAAACTCAGGACCTTGCGCTTGTGAAGCAGGTGGCGGAACCACTGAGCTAAATCCCCAGCCCACAAGTGCAATATTTGATCTAATCCATTTCATATTTAAAAATTTGTTTCTTTTTCCTTTCTCTGGTCGTTGTTGATTTGATCATGTTGTTATTTTCTCTTTTTCCCGTGTTCATTTGAAGTTCTGTTCTTTTCTACCTTGTTACAAGTACTTGGTATTTTCTTGATATTTATAATCAAGCACATTTTCTTACTATTAAATGGATGTAGGAAGTCAACTATCTCCCCCAAGGAACTCTTTCTTTCTTTTCCTTTTGTTTCTCTCTCCCTCTTCCTCCCCCCTTTCCCTCCCCTCTTCTTCCTCCTCTTCTGCTTCTTTTAGTTACTCTGGTGATTGAGCCCAAAGAACACTTAGCTACATCCTCAGCCCTTATAGAATTTTATTTTATTTGTTTTTTTTTTTTTTGAGACAGCATCTTGCTTTGTAGTTCAGGCTGGCCTTGAACTCAGTATGTAGCCCAGACTGGATTTGAACGCCTGGAAATCCTCCTGCCTCAGCCTCCCGAGTGCTGGAATTACAGGTGAATGCCACCATGCCTGGCTAAAATTTTATTTTGATACTGGGTCTTGCTAAGTTGTCCAGGATGGCCTCAAAATTGTGATCCTCCTTCTGCCTCCTGAGTAGCTGCGATTACAGGTGCGCACATTCTGTTTCATCCCTACCTTCTTTTCTCTCCCTCAATAAGATAACTGTACAATATTTTTGCTGGCTCTCTTTTCCCTGCCAGTCCATCCAAAATGAGAGCTTCGAAGTGCTTTCATGTGCTTCTGGTCTGTTTTGGTCTCTTACCTCCCAACTATTAGGTTTTATTGAGAAAATCTAGTACTCTCTGTTCCAGGCTGTCCTTAGAATTTCTGTCCCACCCAATTTAACCTTAGGTGACCTTCTGAGGCTGTCACAGTTCCTCACGCACAGTGGATAGTTCGCAGATGTAGGGTCTGCTGTATTCTGGTTCTTCTCCTTTGTGTTCCTGTTTGTCCTGAGGTCTGGGCTCTGCTTCATTCTCACTTGGTCAAAAGCTGTTTTGGGCACGTGTGCTGTGCTATCTGAACCCTTGCAGAGCTACACGTATCCCTTGCAGCTGGGAGCGCCAGGGTGGCAGGATGCTTGGGTTGCATTCCTTTTCTTTCAGGCAGTTCTAGCTGTTTTCCCACGGTCTGCCTGGGCCCAGGGTAGCAGGTAAGAAGCCTAGGCTGTTCTTTGTCGCGTGAATTTGACTTGTTTTTGTCTTTATGTTTTTGGCTGGAAGCTTTTAAGATTCTCTTTGGCCTTTGAGTTCCAAAATTCTACCAGCAAATAGCTGGGTATGTGTTTTTGTGCATCAACCCTACCAGGGACCTGGAGATTCCTTTTTTCTTACAGACTCCGGCCCTTCTTTAGGAAAGTTTTTTTTTGGTCCTGAGGATCAAACTCAGGACCTTGCGCTTGTGATGCTGGCGTGGCACCACTGAGGTATATCCCCAGCTTTTTGTTGTTGTTGTTATTAATTGTTATCCTTCCCACTTTCACATTTGTCTGATTTGCTTGTTGGTCTTCTGAGTCTGTCTTCTCAGTGTGCAGCCTTCTCTGTGGTTACTACCTCTTTGTAATTTTGGTCTGTGCTGTGAGATGTGTCTTTATCTTTCAGGTCCCTTGGTTGACTCTCAACAGTGATCCTGCAAGCCTTCAGCTCCTTTATTGAATTTCAAATCTTGAAGGCCACATTTTCCAGTCCCCAGTGTTCTATGCTTGAATCTCCTTGAGGTTCAAGTTAATTGGTTATTTAAAGTTGTCACCTGTTTCCTCTGTTGGCTCTGTTTCATTAGGAACCTGTTTTCGTTGTTCTGGGTTTTTTTTTTTTACTTTCTGATTCCTGGACTCCTTTACTCGTGCTGTTATTTTTCTGTTTCTACCCCTGGGGCTCTGCTCTGCCCTTTCTGGAGTGGTGATGATTCCTGGACAGCTGGAAGGGACAGTGGCTTCGGCTCCTGAGGGCTGCTGGTGTGACAGCCAGCCTCTCTTCCCCAGCCTCATCCTGGGGGCCCCCTAGTGTGTGCCCCTTTCTTTGTTTCCACCCACAGGGTTGTCTTTGTTGCTTTCCTGCTGCTGCCATAGGGCCTTTGCACTCACTGCCTCTTCTGCCTGGAGCCTCTTTTTTCCCCAGATTCCCACATGTCTGCCTCTCTCTCATGAAGGTTTTTCCTCAGATATTGCTTGTCACTCCCGTAGCACCCATTTCCCCCTTCCTCTCTGCCTTATTCTTTATTGTAGCCCTTATCACACACAACATGATATATAATTGTGCTTTGGTCAAACCCAGTAAGGACAGGCACTTTATATTTGTTCCCTCAGCTGTATCCAAAGCAATGAAAACAGCCCCTGGCACATAGTATGCTCTTGTTAAATACTGCTGTGGTTTTTTTCTTTTTGTGGTACGGGGATCGAACTCAGGACCTTGTGCTTGTGAGGCAGGTGTGGTGCCACTGAGCTAAATCCCCAGCCCTCATTAAATACTTTTTGAATGAATCACTAGGTGGCAGCCCTTAGAGAAACTGAAAGCACTTGCTCTGTGGCAGGTGGGCTAGGGATGGGGAAAATAGGCCCCCAGGCTCCCCACTGACATCACACAGGGTGAGGTCACAGTGATGCCTCACTGCACTAGCTGAGGATTGAAGACAGCTGGGAATCAGCATGGCCACGCATGGACAGGAGCAGAGGTGGCATCTCTTGGAGCAGTGTCTGCCAGCTTCAGGGCTGCCATGTGGGTGGCGGCTATGCAGAGGGCTCTGGCCTGGCAGCTTCTTATGTGTACTGTGGGGTGGGGTGGGGTGGGTATAACTCTCAGGAAGATGTACCTGTTTGTACCTGTAATGCAGCTTAAGCTGCCCAGTTCTCAGGCCACACTGGCCCACAGTAAGGAAGGCCCTAGATTCCCTTGTGGGGGGCAGGGGAGTCAGAGTTAGTGCTTAAGCCTACCACCCAGAACTCTCCAAGGTCCATCGCCCCAAGGGAGGGACTTCAGGTCTTATGTCCACCTGGATAAGAAGTAGGGTACTTAGTAGCCAGTGAGCAAGTATCAGCGGCTGTGTGTTCTCATTTCCTCCCATCCTTCTGCTGTTATTTCTCAATTGTACAGAATGCCCCCCACCCGGATCCTGTTAGAATAGTGTAGCAGATAGAATGAGAGAAAACGAAGGTAGGGTGCTTGTCACCGCTGCCTTGAGAAAGAGGAGAAGCGGTTCCATGGGCATCTCTGGCTCCTGTGCTGTGTGGCACAGGCATTGATGTCAGCCCTGGCCTCTGGCCCTTTCATACCAGGAAGAAAGGAAGGACGCTATTTAGGGCAGCTGCCAGCCCTCCAGCCACCTGCCACCGCTCCAGGTGACGCCCTTGAATCATGAAAGGCGAAAAGTCGCAGCTTTGTCCTCCCTACACAAAGCTCCCCTTTCTGCCCTTCCTGGGGGTGAGGAACAGGAAAAGAGAGAACTTCACACACATCTCAGACTCCAGAATGGTGTTTTATCTGAAATATGGGGATTTAATGATGGAGCAACAAGGTCAAGCCAAAGTGAAATGACAAAGTATTTTGGGTGAAATTGTATCTATTCCCGGCTAATCTACAGGAATGCTGTAAAGAAAAAAGCATCAAAAATTATCTGTGAAAAACCTGAAAGGTGAAATCCTTGTGGAGCTTCTGAGGTGCTTTCACACTCCTATGGTCAGGAACCAGCGATCTCCTCCTTCCCCCTTGGGTCATTTCTTTTCAGGGTGCTTGGCTGTTGTGCAGTTTACCTCCTCCCGCAGCATGCAATGCGACCCCGTGGTTCTCCTGGGCTCTCACCTGTGCACCTGAAAGTCTCAGGTCCCTCCCCTGCTATCCCTGGAGGGCTTTTAGTGGCAGTGGTCCTTACTCATTCCTGGAGTTCCTCTCTGTTGCAGCCCTTTGGATGGCTGTAGAGTGGGTGGATTGTCAACAGCAGGAATTTGTTCCTCACTGTTCTGGACATCTGAGATCAGTTGCCAGTGTGGTCAAGTTTTGTGGGGTTTTTTGCCTGTTTTGAGGGATCCACCTTCATAGTCTGATCACCTTCCAGAGGCCCTCACTTCTTTACCATCCTCTTGGGGATTCAAATTTTAACATATGAATTGAAGGGAACATAACCATCAGTTTGTAACACTCATGTTTTACGGTGAAATAGCATGTTGATAGCAGCCAGCTGTGGGTGACAGGCTTGGGTGGTTGACCAACAGCTTCTCTCCAAATGCATGTGACTGTCCTTGTGCCGTGTAGCTTGTAGATTTCAGTTGAAGATTTCTTCCTCAATGGTTGTAGACATGTGTAAATCAAGACACTGTAATGGTACAGTGAGGAGGACTGGGAATTTCTAAGGAAAAACAGACAACATTGGTTATATGTATGTTCTCCTTCGAAATGTTGAAATACGGGGAAGAACTAAAAAGAGAAGCAGTTGTACACAGCACCTCACATACCTTTTGTGCTGCTGTCTGTTTTTCCATCCTTGCTTGTATGTTTCTACATGCATGCGTAATATAGACACATGTGTATATTTTTTGCCAGTTGGCTTATACTATTTTTTTAGACTCTTATTTCTCACTTACCACTATATATCAAAAACATCTCCCCAGCTATTTATAGATATTACGAATCACAATGAAGGCATATGGGCAGCTCTGATGGAATTAAACATAGTTCGGTTTTTTTTTTTTAGCTTGTGGGAGAATTTGTATTTGAAAATACAAGTACCTAATTTGACTTGGAAAAGCAGGGACTTCTGCTTAGCATTCTGGTTCATGGACATATATAAAGATGGGTGAAGCTGGGTGTGGTGGCATATGCCTGTAGTCCTAGCTACTCAGGAGGCTGAGCAGGAAGATTGTAAGTTTGAGGCCTGCTTGGGCAACTTAGTGAGACCCTGTCTCAAAATAAAATAAGAAAAAGGACTGGGATATAGCTCAGTGCTCCCTCAGTTCAATCCCCTAGTATCACCTTCTAGCCCCCAAAAAGAAAGAAAAAAGCTGGGTGATGTTAAATCTTAGGGTAGTTTCCCCTAAGATTGAGCTTTATCAGCAGTCTATACTGCCGGACATTGAGGCGCAGAGAGCCCTCTGTTTCCATAGGTTGTACACTGGCAGATTCAACCAACTACTGTCCAAAAATATTTTTTTAAAACTGCATCTGAAAAGAATTTAATAAAAAAAAAAGAATTTAATAAAAAAAAAAAAAGACTGCATCTGTCCTAAACATGTATAGACTACTTTTTCTTGTCATTATTCCCTAAATAATACAGCGTAGAAGTTATTTACGTAACATTTGCATTATATTAGGTTTTAGAAATAATCTAGAAATGATGTAATGTACCGTATATGGACAGATGTGCATGGGTTATATGCAAATACCCAAGTTATATGCAAATACTGTCTATATGAAGGACTTGAGGATCTATAGAGTTGGTCCTGGACCCAATCACCCCGAATATAAAGGGGTGACCTGTTCCTTCTTTGGCTTTGGCTTTCGCTATGACTTCAATGCATGAGTGGACTCTGGGTTGGTGACTGGGACCATTGGTCCTGAGAACAGGAATGCCATGCATCCTGCTCGGTGATAGACACATCCCAGGCCCGGGCCGAGTCTCCTATCTCGGAGGTGCTCAGTGAGTGTTTGCTAGATGGCTGGCGCTACAGTTTCACCTGTTGCAGCTGGAGGGTTATTTGGGTGCTAATGGTCTTGGTGTCTCTTTCAGGAGGGTTGGAGTCCAGGCCTCTGGTTCGGGGTGCCTGCAGCAGAAGCATTAGCATGAAGGTGCCCACCGCATCCCGAGCCAGCCAGGGGCCCTTTAAGACCATGCCCCTCCGGTGGTCCTTCGGGCACAGGGAGAAGCGACCTGGTGCATCTGTGGAGTTGGTGGAGTACCTGGAGTCCAGACGCAGACCTCGTCGAACTACCAGCCAGTCCATTGTGCCACTGCTGACTGGCTCGGCTGGAGGGGATGAGAAGTCAGCATCTCCCAGGTCACATGGTACCCTTTCTGTTGAAGACAGTGGCCAAGCTAATGGGAGGGTGCCCCGTCCCTCAGGCCCCCCAGACCACCCCCCGGCCACTGGAAACTCTGATGTTCTAAACACAACCAGGACACGGAAGGAAAATGCAAGTCAGGATATCCGGCTTCCCAAAAAGTTTGACCTGCCCCTCACTGTGATGCCCTCCCTTGGGAATGAGAAGCCAGCCCGCCCAGAGGGCCAGAAGACCTCCAGCTGGAAGGGAAGCCAGAGCAGCCCACCGTCCCCCTCCGTAGGTTTGTCTAGAAACTGTCAGGACAGTGGCCAAGGGACCTTACCCAAGGTGAGGGCTGCAGCGGAGGAGAGGGCCTCCGAGAAGGACAGACTCCCACAAAGCACGTTCACCCTGCTGAGGTCTGTGTTTTGGAAGAAGGAGAGCCGGAAGCCAGACAGGGCCTCCGGCTCCCTGGGGAGTGGCCGGCTGAGCCCTGCTGTGGACAAACAGGCTCCAGGCTCCTCTCCTGCACTCAGGATTCCCGAGGGCCTGGCCAGAGGCCTGGGCGGCCGCCTCGAGAGGGATGTCCGGTCTGCGCCCAGCTCGATCCACCTCCCCCGCAAGGCCAGCAGGTTCCCAAGACCCAGTGCCACCAGCTTCTCACAGAAGAGTGTTCCCGGGGAGCAGACTTCTTATGGCACCTTGCAGAGGGTGAAATACCACACTCTTTCCTTAGGGCGCAAGAAAACCCTACCAGAGTCCAGCTTCTGATGGAGCATTTCAGTACCGTGTGAAGCTGAGGGGATGGGAATTTGCAGGGAGTAGCTGAGGGCAGTCTGTGTTCAGAGTGAATTTTCAGGACTCCAGTTGTCTTGTAACCTGTGAAAGAAAAAATGTGTTTGATCTCTATAACTGGACTCTGAGCGCCTCCTGTTCAAATACCGTCCAAATACTGTACATACCCTATTGTATTGTTGGGTGCTTTGATATAGCCTTGCCACTAGAGGGCGATGTTGGGTCAACATTACTATTTCTAGGCACGAACTGATGATTTTGTTTAAATAAGGTCATGGTCTGAGTGCCTGTGCTAAATGAATCCAGTGTCATGTCAAATATTGTCACTGGCTTTTTCTTTTTCTTTCTTTCTTTGTTTTTAAATGGTGGGCTTACAAGGGAAATCTTTTCCCTTTAATGCTTCTGTGCATAAATTTAAAAGATGCCAAAACAAAAACAGAAACAAATAATAAAAGAAAAAAATGATAGTTATGGTAAGACAAGGTTCTAGGAGAGATGGAAGAGAAATGATTGCTATTTTAGGAGAGTATTTAATACATAACAATGTAACTATTAGACTTTAACAAGGTATTTTAAAAAGATAACTATTTTGATACCAGGGGGAAAAAAGGAAGTTTTAACAAAAAATATAAGTAAGAAATCTATGTGCCATTTTAATAAAATCGCATCAGTGAAATGTGCAAATGGCTGGCTGAGTTACTGATGTTTGATAAATGGCCTTATTCCTGCTGTGGTTACTTGGCGCACTGCCGTGGCTCTCCATGAGTAGTTACTTCTTTCTAAAATTTAAAAGTACTGATCATTAAAATGACTTCTTTGTTTAGAAGTGGAAGTCTCAGGTCTGCCTCTCTGTGGAGGGCTTGGACTTGCCAGCACCTGAGACTAGCTTGCCTCGGTGGACTGTGTGTTTTCTACAGCTTTATGTGCACGTCAGTAGCATTTGTTCTTAAAAATGTTCTGTCATTTCTTACTAAGGAGCTGTTAAGCCTGACCCCAGGCCGGGGGACCCACAGTTAAGATCACTGGCAACTCTGCACATTACTGTTTTCCAGAAATGCTTCCTTTCTAATGGGAATCATTAGTTCAAACATCTGGCCCCAGGAATTCAGTCTTCCCTCAGATACATAGTGTGACTTGTTGGCATGGCTCTGCTGTGGTGCTTTTAAAATTGTTTCCTTAAGGAGGAATGGTGTCCTATTTTATTCCAATGGAAAAGTCAACTTAACCTTTGTTCTGAGCGACAGTTGGGAAGGATGGAAAGAACTGAGATAATGAAGAAAGTGAAAGAAGCAGCTTCCTGACCCTAGCAGGCAGTACGTATCCTGAGGCCCGTGGTTTTGGATCCCAACAGAAGTCCATATTGCTTTGAGTCTTACTTTGATGTGCTCTTGGGCCATGTGGAAGACAAGGTTGTCCAAGTCCTCTGGGGTGACAGGAGTTTAGTATTCTTCCTGCATTAGTTGGTTGTTTCTCCTGTGTTGGTGGTCAGAGCAATTTATTCCTGTGCTCCCAGCTCAGCTTCACTTTCATTATCTGCTAAGAGGCTGAGTTATAACTCACATTCTCCAGGCTTAGTTCCTATAAGGATTAGCTTTGGGATAGCCTTGTATTTTTTGGAGTATCATGGAAGAGTTCTAGTTGTTAGCAGTGTTCTCTGATGCATCATGAGTTGGGACATCGACTCCAGGCTCCCAACACTGGAGGTTTAGAAAGAGGTCAGACCCTGGTGGATATCTCTGCTATCTCAGGTTTTCAACAAGGATGCTCGAGGTCCCATTGCATCCCTCTTTTGAGGCTGCTTCTCCCTCTAGAAGGAATCAGTAGGAAGGTTCATAAAAAGAAAGCATAGGAAGTGGGTGAGACAGATTTCTGCCCAGATTGGAGTGGTAGAACCACGGTTCCATCTCGACATTGCATCTGACTGCTGGCTGCAGGCATCCAATCAGATGATGCTTAATGGGGAGGTACAACAACTACTTGGGTGCTTCTTTTTCAATCATAAGATCTCCCTGGAAATTTGTAAGTCAAGGTTAGAGAAAAGTTGAAAGCCACTGAGCCAGATGGGAGCATAGACAGGGATGGAGTGGGCTCAGGATGCAGAAAAGCTGCCTCCCACACCTCCTCTGGCAGCCAAATCCTTGGCCTGGGTCTCTCTCTGCTGTATGGGGGATGGATGGTCACTGGTCTGCTGGTGATAACCCTCCCCTCACTCCTAAAGTGGCCCCCAGATTGGGTCCTCCTCCTCCATCCTCCATTTGTCTGCTAGTGCAAGGAAGGGCTTGCAAGCTTTTGGCTGGGAGGTCATACTGGTGATGCTGGAATCTACACGGGCCCAAAAGCCCCAAGGAAAAGGTGCCATAGTAGAGAAGAATTACACAGTCACAGTACTGGGAACAAGTGTCTGCTGACTGCACCCCATCTTGATATCACCTACAATGGGCCAGCGCCACCAAGTCCAGAGGAACGGTGAGTCAGAAGCACCCTGATGACTTGAGTTCATCTTGGAGCTACAAAGATAGTTAATAATTACAGCCGACTAGCATTTATACTGCACTGAACTGTGTGTCAGACACTCTTCAAAGCACTTTACAATATGAAACTAATTTGACTCGTAATATTTTGAGGTAGATACAGTTATCTCTCTCTTACAGTTGAGGAAACAGGCTCAGAGAGGTTAAGTAATTTGCCTAAGGTCACACAACTAGTGAGTGGCAAAGCCCGGATTCAAACCCAGGCAGTGGTGGCTCTGGGGTTCTCCCTCCATTTCAATGCTGCACCTTTGAAGATAGACTACTAATCCTGTCAGCAATTTGTCAGAACCAAATTGCTTCTGGTATTTCCTGTTCATCAAAATGAAGAAAAATGCATTTTCCAGATCAATAGTTTATTTCCAAGTGCTGTATTTCTTTCAGCCAGGACACAGCATTTGGAGAAGGCCTCATCATTGGCCTCACCACTTGATTAAGTCTTTGATAGATATTCTCCAAATACCACTAACTTTTTGCTCTAAACTGGTGAGCTGAGTGAACATATAATAGCAATTAGGATATAGCAAGTTGGACTTGAGTCTTTATGGCTCTAATTTCTGGGGTTGCAATTGCCTTTGATTTGCTTTATCTATTGGGAGGGCCAGCTCCAATAACACTTGTCTGATCCCAGCAGAATTTATGAACACCTGAAGGTCCACTAGATAGGAAACACAATTTCCATCTGGAACATAAGAGGAATCATTTAAATGTGGTTCTTGCTTTTAAGCAATTGGGTATTCTTGTTGGAGAAGACAAGGAGCTAGAAAACATAATTTTAGGTAAATAAATGTAAATAATTCTCGAGTATGGAAGTATACAGGTTACATGAAACTTGGTGAGAGGAAACTAGTACGGCATTCTGCTATTTCCTATTTACTATAGCCAGTGAATGAAACACTCAGAATATTGAACTATCACCAGAAAGGGCCTAGCTTCCATGGGCGTGCCAAGATGCAAAGTTGGGTTAGAACTATTTATTCCTCAGTCACTATAAGCAATCATTCAAAGTGACAAAGCTCTCTGGTATTCTGGGTTCCAGAGAATTTGTGTTCAGCCCAGGCTAATGACCGCAGTTTCTTTTGGGGATTGCTGGGAGAGAAGCTTCTGTGGCAGATGTGGTAGGTGAGTACAATGGTACCCAGACATCCTGTCACTCAAGGGAGTCTGGATCCATGAACTGACTCAGGTAAGGATAAAAAATTGACTACTGCCAGATCTGGTGGCACACAGGTTAAATCTTGGCTTCTCAGGAGGTTGAAGCAGAAGGACTGTAAATTCGAGGTCAACTTGGGCAAATTAGCAAGACCTGGTCTCAAAAAATAAAAAGGGCTGGGGATGTAGCTCAGTGATGCACCACCCCTGGGTTTGATCTTTACAAAAAAGGAAAGAAAGAAAAAGAAGAAGGAAGGAAGAAAGGAAGAAAGGGAAGAAGGAAGGAAGAAAGACTCCTTAAAGCAAGTTAGGTTTCTAGTTTTCCATACCTGAGAATTTTTGGTTGTCAGAAGTAATTAACACCTGAGTAGCCTGCCTGGTGATTTAACTTCTGGAGCACCAAGCCATCAACAGCATTCTCCAATTACATATGACCCACTTGACTCCTGATGGTTAATCAGCATTACACAGGATTGGCCCCTTGGGACTTCTCCTATTGCTACCAAGGTCAAGGTTCTTTTTGAACAGCAGCCTTACCCAGCAGCATTCCTATTTAACTTGAGTGTGGCCATGATGTGCTTCACAAAGACCTTGTTGCTTACATCATTCATCTGTTATTCATAGCCAGATGGAAAGTTTGGTAAATGTATGAAGCCATGTGTGACAGAACACACAGGAGAGAGCCACGGCCCCTTCCTGTCTCCTGAAGACTTTGGATTCCTTCCTTTAGTAGCAGTCATTTGATTCCTTTTCTTTTCTTTAACCACAGTTAGGTCTGGGTTATGTTAGCCAAACCTGCAAGCTCTTAGAATCATAGCAAGCTGATTTTTCAAGATAGATTAATTGTATCCATATCATTGTTGAGCCATATTCCAAGTCTCATTTTTATCTACTCTGACTCACTACTCAAAAAAAGTCATCTTCAAAAAGTTTTTTCCTATTTTAAGGAATTTCTAAGACTTTTCCTTGAAATCCCTCACTGTGCCTCCTTTCCCACCACCCAGCTCCATTGCATTCTAAAGCTGTGTTGAGTTTTGGCTTTGACTGCTAAGGAAGAAACAATGAAATACAGAGTATGAGGGAAATATTAGTATGATTCCAAAAGGGGGCCATAATTTGATCAGACAAGAAGTATAATGGGAATAATTGCAAAGGAGTGCACAGATTCAGTAGAGTTTAAGCCTTTTGGATCCTCTCAGATACCCCAGTTCCAATGGTCATAGCTCATTTTTCATCAAGCAATTTCTTAGCTTTCCTACATGAAACATGGTAAAATCTCACCTCGTAGAGTAATCCAGCAGCCTATAGAATCTATGAATTTATTTCTCACAAAACCAGAATTTTTGAGTTCTTAATGTATTCTAGATACAAGTCATCTTTGGAATATTTTCTCCCAAACTGTAACATGTTTCTTTTTTATTCTCTTTACAGTGTCTTTTCAAGAGTATTTTTTTTAATTTTGAAGAAGTCAAATTTATCAAAATTTTTCTTTTAAAGATTATGCTTTTGGCGCCATATCTAAGAAATCCGTCTAGCCCAAGCTTAGAATAATTTTTCTCTTATGTTTTCTTCCAGACATCTTATAATGTCGATGATGCATTGGAGTTAATTTTTGTATAAATCAATGAAAAAAATATCTTTTTCCCTATTAAATTACCTCAGCATCTTTGTTGAAAATGAATAGACTATTTATGGGTGTATTTTTTAGGGTCTATTCCACTAACCTACTTACCCAAAATCAATACTGCATTGTCTGGTTATTTAACTTTACAAAAATCTTGAAGTCAGGTAGTGTAAGTTGTGCCATTTAATTGTTCATTTTCAAACTTCTTTTGAATCTTTTGGGTTCTTTCCATTTCTATATAAAATTTAGAATCAACTTGTCAATTTCAATAAAGCTCTCAAAATGTTACTTGGGACTACACTGAATCAACAGGACAACTGGGGAGAACTTAATAGACAGTTCTTATGTTAAGGTATCTTAACAATCCATGGACTTCCAATCCATGGACATGGTATATCTCTCCATATATTTAGGTTTTTTTGTTTTAACTTATCTCTAAGTACAGTGGTATTTTGGTTCATGAACTTAGTTCAAATTCTGCAACCAAAATTGTGGAAAGAA